ATTTAACATCAAGTGAGGAGATGGAGATAGAAGAATATTATCATGTTAGCACAAGCAGAAGTGGTGCTTCATGTAGTGGCGCTACATGTAGTGACAATGTCATTACTAGACCACCAACTATATGCTGTGTTTAAATATACACAAAGATGTAAGCATAACTCTTTTATAAATATAATCTTGTAGATTAAAAAATCATAATCAAGATATTGTTTAACATGAGTAATTGTGATTTTATAACTAATGAAATATTCAACATAATAAAGTGTTTTTTATAGTACATGAAACAAATTTATGGGTTAGTTCACTTTCTTTACATAGACATATGTCTCCAAAATATAAAACACTATGTTAATTTCCATAAAATAGGAGATAATTATGTTAACATTTTTTGTGTATTCACGTCTACTATATGTTTTTTTTTTTTTTTTTTTTTTTTTAATCGGGACATATCATTAGTGCAAGAGGCTAGTGAAATATTCCTCAATGTGAGTATATAATTATTTTATCAACATTATTTCTATTTTTAACAATATCATTGACATGTAATTCCTGTAAACTTATGGAGCATATCATCACCAAACACATCATCAACCATCTTGAAAAGAACAATATATTGTATGACCTCCAGCATGGCTTCCGTCAGTCTAGACTTCAGGAATGCACGCTTTATGACGATATTCGATATAACCTTTTTCATGAATGGTCAAAATTAATTCAAGATTTTCACAGCCTTGATATAGATAATAAATTTATTGAAATTATGAACTGTTATGATATACAATATTTCCTATGCAAATTTTTATATGAATTTTTCTGGCGTAGAAAATTGTTTTACAGCTGTTTATGAAACTTTTATAAGCCTGAGATTTTTATTAGTTTAATTCTATCAAAAAAAGTAAGAATTAGACAATTTTAAATGTATGTATAATAATTTGAATATACTGATTAGTAATTTTTAATGGTCATTTTTTGTGACTTGTATGTTTTTACGTGATACATTTGAAATTTTTATAGAATTTTAAGTTTTATAGTGTCTCATAAGTCGTTTTTATGGCTGGATATTGATTGTTTTATGTGTATATAATTATAAAATGTTGCTTATACTTATGTCAATCAATATGTGACACTTTAATTAACTATTTACTTACTTACTTTCTAGATCTTGTGAAACACAACTCATTTCATTCATCAAAGAGCTCGCAGCAAATAATAACAACAACACTCAAACAGACTTAATTATAATGGACTTTGCCAAAACCTTTGACAAAGTCCCTCATAAAAGATTACTTTACAAATTAAACTATTACGGTATCCAAAATGAAACTTTAAACTGGGTCTCTGCCTTCTTAAATGACAGAACACAAACAGTTATCCTGGATGGAGAGTCATCTGACCTGGCTTCAGTCACCTCAGGTGTCCCTCAAGGCACAGTCCTAGGCCCAGTATTATTTTTGGTATATATTTTAATGACCTACCAGAATACCTATTATCCAGTAAGCTCAGCCTGTTTGCCGATGACAGTATCATCTACAAAACCATCAAATCTCAAAGTGACTGTGATGCACTACAGTTAGATTTAGATGCAGCTGCTAGGTGGGAGCAAGACTGTTGATGGCTTTCCATCCAGACAAATGCCCAGTCCTTACAGTATCACAAAAGAAAAAACCGTTTAAACATGACTATATCCTCTACAATCACAAACTTGACCTGTTCTCTTCAGCTAAATATCTGGGCATTACACTACAAGCAAACTTAAAATGGTCAAAACATACAGACAACATCATAGCTAATGGCAACAAATATTCGTGTTTCTTAAAAAGAAATTTAAAAACATAATGTCAGAACATCAAAACTCAGGTATATCTGGCACTAGTCCGACCAAAACTGGAATATTCATGTTCAGTATGGGACCCTCACACGGTTGAACAAACCTCTAAAATCGAGATGGTCCAAAGGCGAGCTGCCAGATATGTCTGTAACAGGTACCATAACATCAGAAGTCCGACAGACATGATAAACTCAATAAACTGGCCCACACTACAAGAAAGAAGACTACGCACAAGATTGATAATGTTCTACAAAATAGTTCATCAAATCGTAGCAATCCCATCTGCTATTCTCATACCATCAGACAGTAGAACCCGCAAAAATCATAATTTCACTTTCAGACACATTTCAACCAAAAAGATGCATATAAATTTTCATTTTTTCCATATACCATAACTCAGTGGAATTTATTGTCAATCCATACAGTCGCTGTCACTACAGTCGACACTTTCAGAGAACAGCTCACACCAGCTGTTCTCCACAAATTCATTTAACTTTAGAGATAACTGTATTGTATTTGAAGCTTTGCGCACGTCCATCGGTAGTTTTGCTGTCGCAAATTTAGTTTACCTGGCGACGCGTAGCGGAGACAGGTAAATGGATATTTGCGACAGTAAAACTACCAATGTACGTCCGCAAATCTTCAAATACAATACAGTTATCTCTATTCTAATGCAAAATAAACAAATCATTCAATTTTAGTCATGATTTCAGTGTAAAATTTTCATCAAACCAAAATTCCGCTAAATGATGTTATCTTCTTTGGCGCCATAACTAGGTGATGTCATAGGTATGCTTTCGGCATCAAACGTAAATACTGGGCGTTTTCTGGTTTCTTGTCCGCTTCAAAATGTAATAAAATTTGATAAAAAGAAGATTTCTAGGTGCAAAATGTGAGTTTTTTGCTTATTATTGGAGACATTACATGTCCATACATTCCGGCATTCAAAATGTCGGCTTCCTTAGTTACAGACAGGGAGATAGAGAAGTTTACGCTTATTGTCATCCAATCAGAAACATTGATACAACATAATTGCATTAGAATAATTATTAGCCTATGTACATAGTTTTAATCACAATTTAAAAAATCACGCACTTCAAATTTATTTCCAATTATTTTTGTGTTTTTGTAAATATATATGAAGGCCACGCTGCGCAAAACAGTAAACAATCTTCAGATCAATGAAGAACTACCGAAAACCTAAAGAAGAAGAAGATTGGAAATCAAATTTATATCACGTGATTAATTTCTTTACATGTTCACATGATTAACACTTCCTAATAATTTACGCAAATAATATCGCATGCTTTCCTTATATGGTCACATGATTAATTACCTAATATGGTATCACGTGCTTAGCATTCAAATAGAAAAATATTTTTCACTTGTAAAATTTAATCAAACACATAGTACTTACATGCGATGAGCATTCACTCCGTTCACCCCCATAATCTTCCCTTCCACAGTATCACACAGCTCTTTATTGGGCTAAAATCAGCAAAGACCCATCGAAACAACATCTGATACAAAAATTTAACAATACTTTTAGATATTTGGATGATATATTGGCTCTCAATAATGACGATTTTAGTGTGTATACTAAAGAAATTTATCCTGTTGAACTTACTTTAAATAAAGCTAATACTAACAATGACCACTGTCCTTTCCTCGATCTTGATATCTATGTCATTAACGGGAAGCTTAATAAAAAAATTTATGATAAAAGAGATGATTTTTCATTTTCTATCGTTAATTATCCATTTTTAGATGGTGACGTTCCCTTGTCACCATCTTATGGTGTTTATATATCTCAACTTGTACGATTCGCTTGTGTATGTAACAACGTATTAGATTTTAGCGAGAGAAATTTATGTATTACTGAAAAATTATTACACCAGGATTTTCGATATCATAAACTAGTCAAAACATTTACTAAATTTTATCATCGGTATAAGGACATCATTCGTTAATATAACTCAACATGCAGACATCTTATACGTTCGGGTATTTCACATCCAATCTTTTATGGTAATATTGTTTACAAAGCACAAAAATGTCAGTATTCACCTCAAAAGCTAACAAAACCTTTAAACAGACTTATTAAGAAGGGATATAGTTCAATACTGTTGTCAGGTCATTTAAGATTGCATATTTTGGCTTTAATATTGATTCACTTATAGGGTCTTTGCATCGGAATTAAACATATTTATTCTAAAACCAGTTGTTGGCATGACACGGGTTATGTTCTTCTCATATATTTTATGATGGTATAATACTAAACCCCTAACAGCAGGGATTTGTTTCCTATTCTGACATCGGACTCGGACTTCTCTTAAACTGAGTTTTACTGTGCGTACTGTTATACGTTTGTTTTTTCTACATTGGCTAGAGGTATAGGGGGAGGGTTGAGATCTCAAAAAACATGTTTAACCCCGCCGCATTTTTGCGCCTGTCCCAAGTCAGGAGCCTCTGGCCTTTGTTAGTCTTGTATCATTTTTAATTTTAGTTTCTTGTGTATAATTTGGAGTTTAGTATGACGTCCATTATCACTGAACTAGTATACATATTTGTTTAGGGGCCAGCTGAAGGACGCCTCCAGGTGCGGGAGTTTCTCGCTGCATTAAAGACCCATTCATGGTGGCCTTCGGCTGTTTTCTGCTCTATGGTCGGGTTGTTGTCTCTTTGACACATTCCCCATTTCCATTCTCAATTTTATAGTAAGTTCAAACACACAACTAGCTCTTACAAGGATATCTTGAATCTGTTCCCTTTTGATAATATGGTTCATCAGCACTCTGTTGATAGAAGGATCTATCTCCCCACTAAAGTATGTAACATCGTCACCTCGACAATCCATCACATCTTCACTTATATAGCATATTCTGCTTTTAACACTTTCCACACGGGTTATTGACAAGAAACAACACACGACAACAAACAAAAACATGGCGATCATCTTCAATTTCTATAATTAGTGTGTGAACAGGTTACGTCACACTACATCACGTGGGCGAATAAAGGAAAGCTTTTATTGTCTTCACCTGATTAAAAGAACGATTTTTGAAAAAAGATTTAATCATATTTTTGTTTGTTTTTATATCAAATGATTAATCATTATTTATTACTAAAAATATATAATGAATACTCAATTACAATTGTATATATGTTTTAGGAGCCGATGGAAGTGGAAGCAGATATATTAATAAACCATAACGATACAGTTGGTATTGACAACCAAAAACATTTATTTTAAAAAAAGAAACAAGAAGAAGAGAAGGGGGAGGAAGAAGAAGCAGATAAATACATCCAACAGAATAAAAAGACAAAAAAAAAACATCTTTTAAATAAATGTTTAATAAATGAAATGTGTTATTATTTTGTGTTTAAAGAAACTATATATAGATGAAACAACAAGGTGTTTTATTTTTAAACAAACTAATCGAGAAAAGAAAGAAAATAATATCAAGAATTTACACAGAAAAAAGAGAAAAGGTTTTTATTTTAGCTATCCTTATCTCGACTAGTTTGTAAGAAAATAAAGTTAACAGTTCGTAAATATTTCTTCTTTCTTCCTTGCAATCTGTGTTGTAGAGTATTTTCTGTAAAATAAAAAGGGTCTGTCTCTCTTTCCGTTACAATTCATTCCATTTAATCAAACAAAGGATCCCCTTATCTAGTCCGAAAACAAATGGATTTGAATTATCTGCAAATAATTGGTCAATTATTTAAAGTGATTCCTCTAATCTAGGATATCAATTAAGAGTCGTGTCTCTAATCCGAAAACAAATAGATTATAATTATCTGCAAACAATCAGTCATTTATTAAAAGTGATTCCTCTAATCTGGAATATCAATTAAGACTCAATCCTCTAATCCGAAAACAAATGGATTATAATTAGCAATTGTTTACTCTAATCAGGATTAAAAGGGGGGACAAAACATTGAGGATCAATAATCTAGATTAAAAGATAAGGATTATCCTTTAATCAGATTAATTACATAATAATGTGCTTAAAGTTGCACTATAAGCTGGATTAAGAAGATTAGAGTGCTTAAAGTTGTACCATAAGCTGGATTAAGAAGATTAGAGGGAATCCTCATTATCCTCAATGGAAATGAGGATAGTAAAAATCTCTATACTCACTACTACTCTGACCTTTGCTTTGACCTTTGACTCCTATGATAGTAAATCCTTGTCCAATTCGTGTCCGGTGGATAACTTTTGTACCGTAAAACTTAGGATAACTAAACTTGTTATGCAGTTGCATCATGGGCTTGGGGTGTGTAATATACCAAAGTCAGTCCACTCTAACCTTGACTTTGACCTTTGACCCCTATAATAGTAAAACCTTATACAATTCGTGTCCGATGCATAAATTTTGTACCGTAAAACTTAGGATGACTAAACTTAGTATGCAGTTGCATCATGGGATGGGAATGTGACACAAACTAAAGCCATATCACTCTGATTTAGACTTTGACCTTTGACCACTATGATAGTAAATAATTGTCCAATTCAAGTAAAACCTTATCCAATTCATGTCTTGCTCATATCTTTTGTACCGTAAAAAATACATTTTGTACTGTAGCACTTAGATTGACGAAACTTCGTATGCAGAAGCAACATATTGACCTTGACCTTAAATATCTGAATTTACAGTATATGAACCTCAGACTTACAATGTGTCAATTTAACACAGAGGCAATGATTATATAAAATGAATACTAGTAGCTGAAAACCAAAAATCTCTAAACGTCATTGCCTCAATACTGAATTTCACAGGATCAACTAAAATGCATATACGGGAGGTAATAGTCCCGCTATGAGGACAGTTCTAGTTTTCTCTCCGAATTCTCTGAATTACTGTTAAAAACAAACAACACAAATAGGTGTTACCGCTTCCATCCAACAATGATTGATTGGTTGTTGGTTGCTTGACGTCCAGTGGCAAATATTTCATGCATATCCAGGACGAAAACAAATTAATAACAAGTACAATAGGTAGGTCCTGTAATAGAGGCCGTCCTGGATGAAGGTCGAGGAAATTTGGACTGCCACATGGAAATGATGGTATATTTGATAGGGACAGAAATTTTGCCTTGCAACAGGCCACCTAAAGACCCACCAAAGAGTTGTTGCAAGGGCTCTTAACGTGCAGAGAGCATGACACTCTCTTTACACGAGACCTAGAATTCAACGTCCCCATCCTGACCGGACGTGGTTGCGTACTAGTTCATCCTGCAAAGCTAAACGGACGCCCCACTTTGGCAATGGTTTTAATGAAGGTCGGAAGAAGACGAACGTGACTATATTTCTATTCCCCATTCACCCTTATTGGCCATCCATAAACGAAGAGAGCTATGCAAGCTTGCTATAGTTTATCATGACAGTTGCAAAAAGGACAAGACGACTTACCTTAAAGACTTATAATCTATAACAATGTCGGATGGAAGCTGTAACACGTGTTTGTATTGTTGATTTTCACAGTTAAGACAAAGTATAAAGTTGCAATGTCTCTAAAGAAGACTTATCATCTGACTAATTTCTTTACAACTAAGAATATACGTTCACAGTTTTGGTCGGTAATGTAGGTTACTACAAATCCACGCCAGGAATATCACATTGCTTCTCCAACAGTGACTTGAAAATAGATCATTGAGGCTCGAATGACGTTTCGGGAAAAAGGAAGTAGGTTCCTTCACCATAAGTGGTGATTCTATGCTCAGAACAATTCTAAGCCCATAAGTAACTGCTTCTATCTACTAAGATTGTGAACATATCTTCTTAGCTGTTCAGAAGATGGGTCAGATGCTAAAAGAGAGGCGAAAGATACCAAAGGGACATTCAAACTCGTGTTTGTTTTCGACTTGTATGAGTTTGAATGTCCCTTTGGCAAAATACGAAAAACTACCAAAAGACAAACAACAGCAGACATATCACAACATAGAAAACTAAAGACTGCGCAACATGGACCCTACGTTCATGTAAGTACAAACCCGGTGATAAGTCTAATTCGACAGGTCACGTTTGAGGCAAAAAGGACGGGATTGTGATTTCGACAACTGGAACATATCCATCGTCATCTGTAAAACAGATATTTCATAACGGTCAACTAACTTACTGATGGCGTCCGTAAAATGTTTGAAGGGATGATTTCAACTTCCCTTCTTAGAACTCTTTTGTTTAATAGCTTCCTTATGAGCAGCAAGCCTCTCAAGGAAATCATGCTAGGAAAAGGCTCTGGAATATCGCATCAACTGCGAGATATATAATCCATATGCGGGTTTTCAAGTGAATAGTTGCTGAATTCAAATTAGAATTGAAAGGCCTGATTATTCAGTGAACCTATACTATATCTATCGTCAAAGAGTCAAATGTTGCCAGAAACCTGTCTTAGCTTCCTGACAAATATGTCGAGGTCCCAAAAGACAACGCCCAATGCATTTTAATTGTTTGATTGAGGAGTCATATATTGACAATTCACTTTGAAACCAATGCATATACTTCAACGACGCTTTCTAACGAGGAAATTGAAGACACATACAGCTCTGTTAATTGTCTCTTCTAGAATTTCGACCAAAGCTGTGAGCTAGATCCTCCATCATATTACTGGATACCAAACTTGCATGAGTGGCTTTACAAACAACGTTATATTACTGGGTCCGCAAAATGTTCAACGATTTTTTTTTTCAATTTAACACCTACTATCAACAGATGAAATATGGCTTTGGATAGTTTTGACCAATCTTTTCCAGTGGCGGCGTCAATCAGACGGTTACTAACAAATCTGAATAGCTGTTACAATACTACAATAATCAAATGTCCCTAGCTTCTCCTGCAATGGTAAAAATTTGCATTCCGACATTTCGGATTTACTAACTTTTAACGGTTCAGTGCTTTTAAAATAAAATTGTGATGCTCTTCATACAAATTTTACACGAAATATTGCCTGCAACAAATACAACAACGTACGGAACGTAACGTTGCATTTAGGCAATGATCACATTCGTACCAATAGGATCTATATTTGAGATACACCGATTATGATCTGATGACCGACTTCAAGTCATCTGAAGTCAAGACCGAGTCATCCCGTTTTCTTACCTTTTCAATAATTATTTCCGTGGTCATTTATAAACTTATGTATTAATGCGCAGATCGAAATGAGTAATACGATTAGCGATATTATTATCGCGAACTAAACGAAACTTTTCCTCAGATTCATCTATTGTTCAATCTATTTAAACTTTTGTCAGTTCTATTGTCCCATTCAATAAATACAATTACATTCCAGCTCCTTTGTTCTATCAGGGGTGATCTGAGCCGAATCACCACTGCCAGATCACCCTAGCTTGAGTTTCTTTGTTCTGTAACATTTTGGCGGGAATGTCAAATCCACAATAAAATTAGAAATAGTTATACGGAAAAGACTTACTATAAAAATTTGTGTAGAAAAATCCAATATCTATGCTGGTAATCGAACTCAAGACCTTTAGCATTTAGACCTACGAGTGACACCCCTACACCAAACGACTGGATACAAACTCTCTGTTAATTCAACATATTTAAACATTGTGTTCGGGGCTCATAAAGGGTATATACTATATAGTAATATATAAAGTATATTATAATGATTGTGTGGCGTTCTAAACTAGATTTTATGAAGCGTTACTGGGTTTTTATCTAATCTAGAACAGCTGGGAAGTAAAATAGTTATCCCATTCGGACACCGCGTCCTCATGGGATAACTATTACTAGCTATTGTTCTCTGTGTAGTTTATTCACTGGAACCTTTAAATTTCGTCCAAAAGAAATCCATCACTCATTGATTAATTTACCTGAGTAAAAAAATATCTTCTAAAAAGATTTTTAAAATGCATGTTTCAATTAAAAAGATGCTGCATGTGATGTTGTATTTATTCAATATCAATAATACAATTTCAATCTTTTCAATCTAAACACCGATTTAATCATAAAAAGTTGATTCCAACATTGTTCCTGTTGAACTTTCTTTTTTTTTTTTGTGTGTTTGACAAATTAAAAAGGTAAAATGACGATGTTTGAATTAAGGACTTCTTAAATGTATTCTGTAACTAAAACAAAAAGAAATGCAAATTTCAATAGGAATGCCAAAAATTTGGTCAGGTATCTACTTTTTATGATTAAAAGACAATTTAATTAAATTATCCTGATCATATTTATAAATATCTACAAGGAATTTAATATTTAGTATGGCGTTGGGATGGTTTTGTAAGTCAAGTAAGGTGGTGATATTGGATTGTGATTTCAGCCAAGTATAGTTGGGAAGCAACCCTCATTTTACGAAACATTAACGCTATGGTGACAAGGATTGCTTGCCATACATAGCATAAAAAAGACAAAAGCTCGTTGGAATATTGAATATCCAGTTTGTATACATTAAAAGCTAACTGAGCAGATTGTTCTATTATACATGAAAACAAATGGAGGAAGAAAATTCTGCGCAGAAAAGGGTTGTTGTGTTGGCAATGGACGGCAGCACTGAAGCAGAAACAGCCTTGCAATGTGAGTTTCAATGCTCTTTTTGTCAATAACTACCGGTGTCAACGCAGCTTAATAAAGTTAACGATTTATTTGTCAATGTCAAACATGATAAGTAATCAATCGAAGAAATCGTTGAACATATTTCTCTAGATTTTTGTATTATAAATATGAAGGCCAATATGTGACCCACTTTGTGACGTGACCCTTGAAATGAATCTGTAAATACAAAAATGCACACAACTTACAAATGTATGACAAGCCGTATGTTTCATTGGGGTCCCTATATTAACATGATGAATAAAAATGGATGTTTAAAAGTAAAGTTTATATCTGAACCTAGTCTTATATTGTTAAAATCTCGGCGGAAGTCAAGATATGAAGCAGACTTAACTGTGGTGTACTTTATTTTCATGTTTAATTGAATAAATGCGATCAACAAAGGTCGCCAAATTTCGATCATGAATTATTCAGTGACAGGATCTCGTCTTTATAGTAGAATGTGAAATTAAAAGAAAATGTTGACTTTTTCATTCATGCATGACATATTAATATGATTCATACGAAGTATAAACAACATATATGTAGATATCACTAAACGCTTAATTGTTCGGAATGATAACGTACGAATCTAAACAAAACATTAAAAAAATCTGTTGGTGGTTTTTGTTGGATTGGCAAAAGTGTTATACAAAACATTTTTCTGAAATAACTCCTGTCAAAAAAAGTAATTATTAATGTTTCCCCTCTTTTATGCGCTCAAGTTAAGTAATGATAGATTATTAAGCGATTTTGATCAAGATCAACATAAAAATGTTTTCAGTTTACAAAATTGACTTACAATATACACACCATATTATAACATTTGACTATACTCCAATAAATTGAGTGAATTTATGAATTTTTTCAGGGTTTGCAAAGAATATTTATAGACAGGACGACGAAGTTCTGGTCATACATTGTTTACACCATACAGCCAATCATGCCATGGGGTGTACAGAGCACATGACGATGGGAGGTCAGTATTTAAAGCCAGGTTGTCTAAAATCATGAATCTCACCTTTGGTTGTCGCTAACACTTATAAACATTTTAAGGGACCTCCATCAGCAGAAAAAGTGTTGTTTTTTTTCTAAATCCAGGATAAATGATTTAATTCATGTTTTAATCTATGAAATGAGATCAAATATGCTACAGAATGGCAGAGATCGCCTCAGTCATATTTGGCACAATTTTTTGGAACTTTTTGGCTTTCCATGGTCTTCAACTTCGTATGATTTGACCTTTCCATTGTTTCGATTCGAGCGCCTATGATGAGTTTTGTAGAAGAAACACGTGACTAGTAAACCAATCAATAAGCCTTGTAACTTTGAAGAGTTTTTATAAGGTCAATGGAACAAATCACATTTAGACATTATCTCATACTAGTAATAGGACATGTTATTTGACATCTACGACACGGTCTTGGAGCTTGTATCCTGTTCTTAGTTATACACTTGGTATCTGTAAAATTGAAAGTCTTAATTTCAACAATAAGAATTTACTAGTACAAAAACAAATTCTACAAATATGACGCCTTTTTAATATTTCCTTATTGTAATATGAATAACAGTGTGTGTTTTGCGGTTGTTCATTACATCTTCTTTCCTTTAATTCCTCGCCAGTCAACGAATGACAAAGATTTAGCATTTTAAACATAAACAATGACTGTCGTGCTGTATTGCTAATTTTTAATATCCAATTGCTTAATTCGGCAATATTAACTATTTATCAAAATTCAAAAAGACTTCATTCCAATGTAAACCTGGAAAAAAAATAGAAAATGGATTACTAAAATTTCAAGAAACGGAACAGATTTAAACGATAAATATCTGACGAATAGATTTATTTAGCTAATCTTAAATTGTATAACTGAAAAAAATACAGAAGAATAAAACATCTACGAAAATGAATCTATTATATATCTAGAAAAATCCTTTGAAAACAATATTATAACAATATATATTGGGTCCTCGTTGCTCTTCAACTTTGTATTTTGTTTGGCCTTTTATCTTTTTTTATTTTTTTGTAGACGAAACGCGCGTCTTGCGTACAAAATTTCAATCCTGGTATCTTTGATTAGTTTATTTACAACCTCCGGGTTGATGCCACTGCTGGTATAGATTTTCTCTCCCGAGGGTATCACCAGCCCAGTAGTCAGCACTTCTGTGTTGGCATGAATTATCATTGATATGGTCATAGTTATAAATTAACTGTTTTATACAAAACATTGAATTTTCGAAATTCTAAGGATTTTCTACCCCCAGGAATAGACTACCTTTTAGCATAACTTTAAGGAATGTTTGGGTCGTCAATCCTCTTCAACTTCGTACTTTGTTTGATCTGTTTATCTTTTTTTATTCGAGCGTCACTGATAAGTCTTTTGTAGACGAAAGGCGCGTCTGCCGTACACAATTTCAATCCTTGTACCTATGATGAGTTTATTGAGGTAATTATTACTTTCTTGATATTATGCATTAATAAGATATACACAGTGCAAAATGTGTATCATATCTGTCAGATGCCTAATCCTTACAAAGATTTCACAATTTGTTAGAAAGAATACGAATATAAACATTTCTAGATAATATTATTTTTGTTAGCCATCATTTCTCAAATACATGTACTAGTATCCTAAAATTTTGAAAACTTTTTTTCGTTCTACCTTTCACAAATACAAATACAGATACAAATATTTTATTGGCTCAAACACAATTACAATAATTGGCAAAGGCCCATATTTCAGTACATTATAACAATGAATACAGCATAATGAAATAATATGTTATAATTAAGAAGCTAAAATCTCATTTCTATATACCAGACATTTATGTATATAAGAACTTGTCACTTTCAGGACTTTTAAAGAGTTGCTATTAATGCAACGTTTCATATTTAGCTGACTCTCACTACAAATTGTAGGAAGTATATTTAATATAATAGTTTTAAAGTTTATTCTGTATTTAGAAAAATTTTCACAATTCAGTAAAAAGTGATTTTCATCTTCTACCTCACCCGATTTACATACATTACAAACTCGTTCATTGGTGGGTAAACCTAAATGTCGCCCTTTTTCTGTAGCAAGATTGTGTGCACTCAATCTTATTTTACACAGAGATGACCTTTCTAATTTATTACTTAGAACATCAACATAAGAACTACGCTGATTTGAATTATGAAATTGTTGATAAAATTTTAGTTTGGATGAATTGTAATTTTTTGATGATAGATCCTGCGTGCACTGATCAATCACTCGTTGTTTAATACTTGATAGATATTGTTTAATAGAAAAGTTTCCCCCAGCTAGGTTTGAAAATCCTAGATTTTTTAAAATAGAATAAAGTTTCTTTGTCCAGGGGTTATTTTTTTCAGTTGCCAGAAAAATTTGGATACAAGTGTGTTTTCAGACCTTAAAATATGTTCAAAATATTTAATAGAAGAAAATGAGATTTTTGACCACAATGGTAGCCTGTCAAGTTCAGCTCTACAAGCAGCATTAATTGCTTTGCAATGAACACCTAGAATTTCTTTTATGAACTTCATATGGAATTTTTCCAAAATGGAATTGTCTCCCGAATTATCAAAAACACCCCAAACCTCACTACAATACAGCAAGATGGGACTAACTAATGAATCAAATAATTTTTCTAAAAGTTTACAAGGATTATCCAATCCAATATATGCTTTCCTAGATTTTTCCATTAGTAAGGATACAGCTAAATTAAAATTGCCATAACACTTTAACATTATTCCCAAATAACAATATTTTGAGACTGTTTGTATGGCATTATCATTTTAAATAAACTCATTTAAATTTGTTTTACCATTAGAATTAAATACTAATACCTTTGATTTTTGTACATTAACATGTAGTTTCCAATTCGAGCAATATGTACCAAGAATATTGAGACTGGTTTGTAAACCAGTTTTGCTTTCTGATAGTAATACAATATCATCAGCATATAATAAACAATTTACAGACAAATCACCAACTCTAACTGGCTCACAGTTACCATTGATTAAATCTTTTACGAGATCATCAATAAAAATATTAAAAAGTGTGGGGCTTAAAACATCCCCTTGTTTAACACCACGCTCTGAAGTAAATGCAGCGCTAAGACCATTTGAAAATTTAATTCTAGTGGTAGTATTTGCATACATAGCAGATAAAATATTGAAAAGTTTTTTTGGTAAACCTGATTTTAAAAGTTTATAAAATAAGCCTACTCTCCATATGGTATCAAAGGCTTTACGCAGGTCTATGAAAGCAGCAAATACTTTCTCTTTTTACTTTTATAGTGATCAATAGTAATTTTTAAAGAAAATATATGATCAGCAGTTCTACAATTTTGTTTAACTCCTATTTGATTTTGACTGATAAGAGATATGTTATTAACGAATTTCAATAATCTTGAATGAATGACTATATTAAAAAGTTTTCCCAAGTTAGAAGTGATAGAAATGCCCCTATAATTGCTAGGGTCCATTTTGCTACCTGATTTGTGTAAAAGGACAAAGAAACTATCATACCATTTATATGGGAGTTGGCCAATGTTTAGAATAAAATTGAACAGCTTTTTGAGAGGATTTAATATACCGTGTCCTCCATATTTAAGCATTTCATTTGATACCAAATCCATTGCAGTACTTTTCCCATTTTTAAGAGCTTTAATAGCCTTAATTAGTTCTTCTGTAGTAATATCAATGTCTAAAATATTATTACACGAGTCATTATCTAAATTATCTTTTAATTGCTGGAAATGTTCCATTATGGTTTTATGGAAATTATCATAGTTATCATCACTTTTGTTTAACTTTTTAAAGAATTGAACAAAATTGTCATAAGGTATGTCCTGTAGGGAGTCGGAATTGGCATGCATTTTATCTAACTTATTTAACATTGCCCAAAATGTTTTAAGGTTCTTTTCAATATTATCATTTATATCATTACAAATTTGTTGTTTATACATTTTTGTTCATGTTTACAAAGTCTCCTGAATTTTGATCTATATGTATAATATAGTTTTCTATATTGTCCATTTTGTGGAGTTTTATTAACCAATTTCTAATAGCTTTTAACTGTATTTCTTAAGTCAGTACAGGAATGTGAAAACCATGGTTTCCTGGTTGATTTTCTCAGTTTTTGTATGGGCTTTTTATTAATAAATTTAGCTGATTGTTTAGCACAGTCTAGTAAAATTGAATTAAATGACTCAGTTATCGAGTCACTGTCATTGAAGCTTTTGGCTATAAAATTTGCAAATTTATCTTTAAACATTTGACTTTGCATATTTTCTGTGTATGAAGCAATTGCTTCATCAGTCCAAAGAAATTTTCCCGGCAAGGAGTCTAGTTTGTGTAAATCACAAGGCACGGATGAAAAATTGGCAAACATTGCACAACTAATTGGGCGATGGTTGGAAAGGGAAGTAAAATCATGAACTACAAAGTATCCTATTGAATCAATTAATTCTTCTGATGTAAGTGTGTAATCTACAAGGCTACTACCATTGTATGTTATACAAGTTGGTTGACCATTTAAATCACCAGTAGTTCGACCATTTAAAATTCTGATTTTGGTTTCTTTGCACATATTTGATAATAATTTGCCACTATTGTTAGTGTGTTTGTGGTCAAGATTATTCCTTGAAAATGTCCTATCAGGATGATATTCTGAATCGTTTAAGTTTACATGTTCAGTAACATTATCAAATTCAATAAAATCAAGTTGGGTGTTCGTGTAGACATTAAAGTCACCTTGTATAATGATGTCACCCATACTACTATACTTTTCTACTTCACTGAGCAGAATTGAGTATATTGATTCTATATCATTATTATTATGACTTGAATACTCAGGAGATATATAAACTACAGCTACAAAAAAACATCTCTACTAATACTAAAAAACATATGATCTAGTTTTATCCAGAGTATATCAGGATGACTGTTTGTCAAAGATTTCACTCCTTTGGAAATTGAACTTTTTGCAAAAATATTTATTCCTCCAGAATATCGTCTTGCTTTTTTATGGTTTTTTCCTGCTACTAGAATGAACTAAATCAAAATTAGGAATGGAAATGTCCTGGATGGATTCATTACCTATCCAGGTTTCTACAAAACTAGCAATACTTAATTTAGAAACAATGTTTTGAAAATGTGGGTCATTTGCTTTCTCACTTGAGAGACCCTCTATGTTCCACATGCCAATTTTTAAAAGATTCTCATTACTTTTAACTTTTTTTGCTAAAGGTCTCATCTTGAAATAAAACGATGTTGAATAGAAGATTTTAGAGTTATATAATGATACATTTTCATTATCATAATTAAAAAAAAAAACAAAAAAAAACAAAAAAAATTCAAAAACAAAATATTTAAATAAATAAAAAAGTAAATAAACAAAAAAGAAAAAGAAAAGAGAATCAAAATATACAATGTATACACATGTTATACTGCATGTATAAAAAAAATTAATAGGAATAAGAACAACACAAATGATTTCATTTTCCTAATTGAATGAAAAATAATAATATAAGACAAAATTAAAAGACAAAACTGAATTTGACCAATTCAATTATTACTAACAATCATTTATGACTAGAACTTTACAATCAATGCAAAATGACAAGTTACAATTTTGTGCTTGTTGTTGATCAGGAGGTGGAAAATGTATCCGACCAAAAGGAGGAACAGACCATGGATTTCTCCAATTATTGAAGTTCGGATTGTTCATTGAGTGGTTTGTTGGTAGAAACCATGGCATCATGTGTTGTTGGTTGAATGATGGTGGATAATGATGATTAAAACCATGAAGTGGATTTACACCCTGATGTGAATTCATGTTTGTATTATGATTTGTCATGTTTAGTCCATCACGGCGATAATATGACTGGTGGGTTGATCTGCTAAAGTTGTTATCACCCTGTCTTCGGTTTCGTTGTTGTTGGGTGTTGTTTGTGTATGGAATGTTCAGAGCGATCTTAAGGTGTTTAACAATAGCTGGTAGCCCTTTTCCATAGTTCAAGTGGACGTCATCATGAAACATATCATAGCTTGGCTCAAATCGCTCAATTTTATGGATACTAGGGTACAGATCGCATACCAACTCGATGGTATCTTTGGTGTCATTCACAATGTCATCATGAATGTCCTTTCTATAGAGATGATCGGTAGGACATAAATGCTTGAGTTATTCCATGTTTTTGTACACTGATCCAACAATTGGGAAAATTCATCCTCATGCACTCCCTCACCTTGTAAATCCCTTGTTCCAATATGAATAAGAATATTCTTGGGTTCAAACCGTTGACCATTTTTTTTAACAAAGCTTGTACATGTTTTTGCTCCTCCCCTAATGAAGCGAACTACAGTTTTACCTTGTGGGGTGAAACGTTTTGCTTTAATACGACGCAGAATAGAATCACCAAGGATCAATACATCACACTTGGTTTTGCTCACTTGTGACAACTTTGTTGAGGTATTTTTGGTATCTGATATTGGATTATTTTCTACCCGACTTATGTCATTTTGTATGGATGGGCATTCATTATCATTACAGGTTCTCCTGTTATTCTCAAGCTCTTCCACACGGTCCTGTAAACTGGTGACTATTGAAGAAAGAGATTCAATTGATGCTGATTGATCAGTCTGTTTTGAAATGACTTGCTTTAACTGGGTATCTAAAACATTTGTTTTATGTGAAGGTATAAAAAAAGATAAGTGCATGAAAACGTTGAAATGGCGTACTTATTAGTCTTTTATAACAAAATCAACAATGTACTCATAATAAAAAAAATCACGAGTCTACACATAGTAGTTTTGACTGGACAATATTTTGTGTGTGCGAATTTAACTAGTCGTATAGTATCCATATTACATTGTGTCGGTTCATCCTGATGTAATGGTCGCTTTATACTGTCTAGTAGTTAGCGGCTGATTGTGTCGTAATTTCGTCAGAAGTGTGTGTAACCCAAGATGAACTTTGAAATATATCTAAAAATAAACTTGTTGGACGTTTGCGATTTCGTGTAAAACGACGCAAAGTTTTTTGAACTTGTTATGATTGTGACGATGAAATAGCTTCTCCGTCACTATCAGAAGAATGGACATCTTGTTACTGATTAATTTCGGCATGTAAATAACATGACAGTTCGGGTGTACGAACATATGCAATTTTAGAGTGCATTTCTTTCTAACCAAAATTTTGTAAACGTTGTGTGGCGTTTGTTATCGTTTGCTAAACGCTACAAAAGAAGAAACAAATGCATCGTTTAATCCGTGTTTTCTGACCCTGTTTTGAACTTTCAATAATGCATGCACGTGTTGTTGGTAAACAGATGTATCCCCATAAGTGAAATCAAATTCGAACCATTCTAAAATATTACAAGAAAGGTAAAATATAGGGGATACTTGATGAGGATAGGCCTAGGTCTACATGACCATAACCGAAACACCTCTTTGTAAAACTGATAATAAAAACACATACCAGATATGAATTTCTATTCTTAAAATACACACATAAGTCTCATACTACTAGCATGCAAGTATGAATTATGAAAAATGTATTCCACAAGAAAAAATATGTATCATTCACAGAGTTATACCAGCTCTAAATTACTCTAAATATATGCACATAGAAAATGGATGAATTACGAAGGATTATAATAAGATATACTGGATTGGTCCTGGACCCGATTAATTTTAATATATTAAAGGTTGAAGTTAGAAACAAATGTAGCGTTTGTACTAACAAACGACAAACGACAAACTGCAGACGCATTTTTAGCGAGTGTATTATTTGTCAAAGTTTACATAAACTTTGCAAACGTATGTTTGAAACAAATGATCAAAACATGTGCGCGCTTAGTCGTTTGCATCATTTGTGCTAGAAAGAAATGCACTCTTAATTTTATCTAAATGAGCATTGTTTTTCAGAACCTTGACTGCAGAAGGCTCTCTAAAATTCAAAATATCATTGGAATTAATAGCGTGCCCAATATAGGGTTTGTTATATTTTGGTAAACAATTATTTTAAAATATGAGATATTTTAAGCATATAAACATAGTCCCCAACATTTAAATGAAATGGATTTGTCTTCTTATGATAGCAATCCGTCATCAATTCTCCAGATTCCTCAGATCGCTGGGCTTTTGCTTGAAACTCCTCTCTACTATTTCAACCGTTTAAATTGTTTTCTTCATAGTCGTGAAAGAGGGGCGAAAGATACCAGAGGGACAGTCAAACTCATAGATCGAAAATAAACTGACAACGCCATGGCCAAAAATAAAAAGACAAAAAGACAAATAATAGTACAGATGACACAACATAGAAAACCAAAGACTAAGCAAAAACTGGGGGTGATCTCAGGTGCTCCGAAAGGGTACGCAGATCCTGCTCCACATGTGGCACCCGTCGTGTTGCTTATGTTATTACAAATCCGGTAAATAGTCCAATTCGGTAAGTCACATTCGTGAAAAGGGAGGGTATTGTAGTTACGACATAAGGAACATATCCGATATCATCTGTGAAACGGTTATTCCATAACGGTCAACCAACTCGTGATGGCGTCCGTAAAATTTACGAAGGGATGACTTATCGTCAGGTAGCGTCGAGAATCGGTCTGATGTGACAATCAAAATATTAATTTAGGTCTAGAACCTAAGGTTTAGAATACACATACCTGTCAACTGAATCTGACTGATTTTCGTGTTATTTATTGCAGAGTTGTTGTTTGATTTCCAGAGAATATCACTTATCCTTTAAAAGAATAACTAATTAGATTGTATTCATTTCAGTGTTGTTCTCTTCTTTCCAATCGCTTGACTTCAAGGCTATAGAAAAGGCATTCCAAAAAGAAACAAACGACGCAGTTCGACTGTGTAGTCAACTTGAAGAACTGCTTCAAAAATATGAAGTAAGCAGAAATAAAATCTGTTTGAAATACAGATCCTATGTCCAAGCTGTGCCTGCAAGGCGCGTAGTTGTGTAAACAAAGCTTGAATACAGCATCTGCATTTTAATCAGATTGGTATAAATAGCACAATTGTTTGTTTTGTACCGTTTACTTGTAAAAATAGGGACAGGCATGTGGTGTTTAAAATTGAAATCATTTTCCAATATCGAAACTGAATAGAGGTTTCTGAATCAATGGCGGGAGAACTTGCTTTAGTTGAGACTGGGGGGAAACCGAAATGAATTGTTTTGATAAACAGAGAAAAGGAGGTTTCAGCTGGAAGTGAAACCATTATCTAATGTGATTCTTAATAGGGAGTAGCATGTCATGCTGTTTTCACGTTGCATTAACTCTGAGGGATATTAGGTGCATTATATATGGTGTCACTTATTGCTATGTTATTCGTTGTTGCATCAACAATCATTCGACTAACAGTGGATATAGTGTATATTGGCCAAAAGTTATGTGTACGGAAGTTTCATGGAGGCAGCCATACTCATTTTGTGTTTTTCTTGGCAGAAGTGAAGTCTTTTACTCTGCATGTTATCCAATTTCTTTGGGTAATCATATATGTTAAGAACACTTTTGTGATTTTCGTAAGTAGTCTGCTATCGTCAGTACTAGAATCTTAGGTGAATATTCGAAAGATGTGAATTTGTTTTGCCCTTTTAATAGACTACGACATTTTGTCGCGGAAAAGAGACATAGCGATCTTACATTCCTTCGTCGTCGGCGTCAACATTTAGGTTCAGGCTGTGGTTAAAAGTTTTTTAGACAACAATAACTTAGTCATACTTTCTTAAAATTTAATGAAACTGGGAAGCTTTTTCATTTTTATAAGACAGTATCCAAAGTAAAATTTGAAATTTCTTTTTTCTCATTTTTCTGTATTTTACTGATAAATGGACTTCGTTTTTTTCGTAGTTAATTAACATTAAGAAAGTCATGGTTTACAGTTTTTCAGACATAAATAATTGTCAAACCTTCATGGGATTTTATGAAAATTAGAAGCTTTAGAAAAAAGTATCCAAAGTAAAACTTTGAAAGTACTGTTTTTCATTTTTCTGTATTTTACTGATAAAGGACTTTTTGTTTTTGCAATTTACATTTAGTAACAGTCTGTTTTTAGACATCAAATAACTTTGTCAAACTTTCCTAGAATTATATCAAATTTTGGCAGAAGCTTTATTTATGATTTAGAGAAAATGTCTGAATCAACATTTTATGTATTTTTATGTTTTTCGTATTTTACTGATAAGTGGACTTAATTATTTTAGCAGTTAATACAGTCTTTAAACATCACGTACTTTGTTAAACTAATAAACTTTCATGGAGTGTTTTGAAAATAGAAATAAGCTTCTTCTAGATCAATTAAAAGCATTTGGAAAAACCTTTTTTTTATAAATTCTGTAATTTACTGATAAACGTGCTTAGTTTTTTGTCAATCAACATTAAGTTTTTGTAACTATGTTGATTGTACCTATCCTATTAAACATGAAATGCATGATATTACAGATACATATCTGACAGTTTCCTACCTTGAAAAGCGCTTCGGACACATAAAGTTCATAAAGGGTGATTTCATTTCAATCGCACTGGGTGAAATTATTAAGAAACTAAGTTCCAACTCCTTAAGATAAAGTGAACCTGAGATGGATCTGAATATTAATGTTATGTCAATTTTGGTCGTAAAGCTCTTAACGTGTTTCGGGTCTTATGTATATATCCTCGACTTTCAAATTTTTGGCTTTGAGCATTCCTGATGAAGGTAAATCCAGCAAAGCACTCGGACACATTACATATATAAAGTGGTTTTTCTTTCTTCATTTTTAGAGCACTGAGTAGATACAGCTGCTGGTGTACTCTTAGTTCCCGAGGGTATCTTCAGCCCAGTAGTCAGGGCTTCGGTACTGATATGATGTTTACCTTTCTTAAATTGTCGTTTATGAATTAAACTCCCTCAGGCAAAGCAGGGTTTATATTCATATCGCATTAACGCGTTCTCGTCCAGACTATGCATTTAATTTGCCACCGGACGTTATACAGCCATCCGTCCATCCATCTATCCATCCATCCATCAATTATCATAAGGTTGCTTATTCATGTATATAGCGCATATCCTAAGAAATCTAAAATCCACTAAGATTGGTCAACTTCCAATGAATTGAGGGTTGGCATTTCTATTAAATCCTCATATGTTGAGTGTCTATTTCCAATCATACAACACATTTAGGGTAATTTTGATAGCTTTCCGATTTTGAAATTCTCACGTTCACAAAACCAAATGATCATTCAAATAAAAATTGAAATTTGTCACAATTTTAATGAACGCCACTTGCAATGGTTATCAAAAGTGATGCAGAGTAAACATTATTCTTTTCATTTGGTACAGATCATATATGGATGAAAATTTATGAGTTGCTTTAGGTCCCTATAAGACTCATCATGAAGTTAAAACATAAGGCTACACGTTTCAGATGCATGTAGCCTTATCTTCCATTGATGCCTTAAACAATTAATTGCTTTGACTTGTTGCAATATGGTGTATTGCGTTGATATTAGCTTTTAGTAATTTCTATATGGACAACCAACAACAAAAAAAGAAAAACTACCGCGACAGACCAGACTTTTGAAAGTCGACTTACAATTTGATAGGGTAACATTGTTGAAGTTTTGGCTGTATTAAAATGCACAGAAATTTATTGATTTCAGATTCAAGGTAAAGTAATACGTGTGCAAGGCGATCCTGGTCACAAAATAGTAACGACTGCAGAAGAATGCAAAGCTTCATTGATTGTTCTAGGAAGTCGTGGACATGGAGCTATCAGACGGACAGTTCTAGGAAGTGTTAGTGACTACATCTTACATCATGCAACTATTCCAGTACTCATATATCGTAATTGATTCCAATATAGTGGAAATTTCTAAATTGTAGTGGACAATCGATCAAATTAGCCATGAACATCAACGGGACCAGAGAGATTTGTTTATGTCAGACTTCGAATTTGAAAATGATCAAAGTTTTATTTCTGAATCTTTCAGTCCAAAAGATACGCAACTGAAATGGACTGAGATTGTTGTGGTTTATTTTATTCTTTCTAATAAATGTTCATTCCTCTCTTGCATTTAGATTTTCCTATTAAGAAAGGAGCAGAACATTTCCGTTGTGTTTATTTCACAAGCCAATTAAAACGTTATTGTATCTTTTCTTAAAGTCACAGTATGCATCCTGAAATCTTAGATTCTGTCCATTGATTTAAGCAATATCTATGTCATGAATTGGTCAAATCTATCCTTATAATGTCAATTATCTTTTAAACCAAAGCACCTACTGAAACTTTTAACATTTCTTATTCCAATAAACTAATGTGTTCATCTGACAATGGGCGAGATGTAGTGGGACAAAAACGTAGATATACTCTTACCGAATATTTTAAAGCTGTTGGGAGGTTGAAACATATTTAAAAAAATATAGGACCTAAGAACACTATAGTTCTCATGTCATATATATCTTCAAGACTCATTTTGTTATAGTAGACACCTGTTTACCAAAGTTTCAAATATTATCGTTTTATTTTTTGTGTGCAAATCACGTTATATAAGGTGCCTGTTAATATAACTCCAATCTAGCTAACAAAAGACAATATCCTATATCCTAATCTAATCAGATCGATAATATCCCGCACTCATTGTCTTTATGTTCTTATTCAATACTTCAAACGAACATAAAGCATTTACAAAGTAAAAACTCAACACAGTTTTTGGTTATCAGCTCACCCCGACAGCACAGAAAGCTTATTTTTATTATAAACAATAAACAAATGTCCAATTTGCTGTCATCGACCGCTGCCATCACATATAAACACAATCTACAATAGAAAAATGTTCTATAAGTTGAAGAAAAAATCATTTCGATTTACATACATGTATTTTATCAACTATTTTCTACATAACATACTGATTCACATTCCTATGAAGTCTTAATAAAAGGGGTGGGTGGGTGGGAAAACGAACCTTTCTGTCGGATAGGCGAACCTCGAATGACAATTCTAGATATCTTATTATAATTTTAGCGCTAAAATTCTAGCATGAAGTTATCATGATTGATATAACTTAAACCGGTAATAACTTACTGATGGTCCAATCAAATTAAACATAAACATGTTTTGATTTAAACACACGTGTTAAAAGTAAACAAATACACGTGTTCCCGAGTAACCTTTATAAATACATTGTTTCAGTGTTTTGTGTACTGTTTTTTTTTTGCCATGGCGTTGTCTGTTTATTTTTGACTTATGAGTTTGAATGTCCCTTTGGTATCTTTCGTCTCTCTTTTAAAAGTTCTTTTGAATTACATAAAAAAGATAAAAAAAAAAAAAAAAAAAAAAAAAGGTTGTTCCTTTAAACTTCACTCCGCGGGATTCCAAAATTTCTCAAGTGTCTTACAGACTACGTTATATTGTTGGGTTCCCAAAATATTCCACGTATAACGGGTTTTTTTTTTGTATTACTTACATCTTCTCTTTCAGCAATCGAAGCGGAAATTTAGACTTACTATATATATGAAATTACCTAATCAAGTGGCAATTTAATGAAATGTGGATTCTAAAAATTTTCAAATATCTGTTTGATTACATACCAGCAAAATTTCTCTTCACATGCCAAAGTATCAAAATATGTGACGTCCTCCTCTGTAAACAAGTATTCTTTATTCAAAACTGGAAGTCCGATTTCGAGAATATGTTCAGAGACGTCGCTAGATATTGGTATTACTTCGAATAAACGTGTTCTACCTATTCTTAAACATATATCAGTAGTTATATAAAAAAAAGTATTGCTAACATGCGGTATATCAAAAGAAAGCTTATTTGAATCAAAAGTCTTTTACATTCTTATATTGAACATCGAATATAATTATTGTCAACTATCTTGTTGGTAAAGATTCACATGGTGAAAAACATTTCTTTTTTTTTAAAATGGAAACTCAATAATAAGTGAAAAAAGTGTCCTTTGAACCAATAATTTGGTATAACCGTACGGCCTCCAACAATAAGAAAACCCTATACCGTATATTCGGCTTTAAAAGTTCTCAACATGAAAATGTCAAACAATTTTAACGAGAAAACTAAGTTATTTATAACAAAATAATTTCCGCAGAAAAATTTGACAAACATGAACCAACGACAACTTCTGATCTACATGCTCCTGATTTAAGACAGGCACATTCAAAATGTGTCGTGTGTATGTTTCTATGTTTACGAGCACCTTACATCCCCCCTCCCACACAAACGTGTGATAGTGGTCTTACAGCAGTACATAAGGACTATAAAAAGCAGTCTTACTCAACCGATCGGTACGAAGTACAGAATCCACTAACGTAAAACATTAGAGATAACGCACAAATACTGTAAACTAGAACAAAGCCAAGTACAACTAATACATAACTTATGTTCTCGAAGACTGAAATATGTTACATGTAAACATTTTTATGCTCGGTCCGATGGAAAATTTAACATTTATCCAAATGACCCCTTTTTGAAGAAACATTTTGAAAAAGAACATTATGTGTTGTAAATATTTTTCCTGGCCTCAAGCATTTTGCTGGTAGCAATAGACAAATTGATTGCTAAATGATATTTGGAAGAGACGGACTTTGTGTAATTCCTTAAATTTGAAGTTAGATTTATAAGGGTTTGGATGGAATTGCATAATTTAGAAGGGTAATATAACTTTATTAATTATTTCAACATAAGACTATAGTATTTTTTCTTAAAAATGTATGGTTTTAAAAGGTAAATAACATAACACGTGACTAAATCACAATACAGGTGCCTTATTACCTTTCACCTGGTCAAGTGTGCTATAGGTGTCCAAATTTAATTACTAAAACAACAGCCTCCAATAAATGTTTTGTGTTGTTTAATTTTATACATAAGGTGAGACGTAAATAATATATTGAATTGAATTGTTTACATAAAAGGGGGGAAGTAATAAAATTGTTAATTGTATATCATGAATAGCCTAATGCAGAAAAAGTGTGATAAAGGATTTGTCACAAATCCTTGGCGTAATGTATGGTTTCCAACCAAAAATATTATAAGCATAACTTATAGTGATAGTTTGTACCTATTAAAAGTCTCTACGTAACCCCCCCAAAAAACGTACCCTTTGCGAACGCCTTATTTGACTTTTACTATCGTTTTTTCTTTTTTCTTTCACACATAATTATAAAATTACCGTAACAGAGAGAAAAAAGAACAATTTGATCATCAATTATTATAAAATTTATATTTTCAATCATGATTAAAAGTAGTTTTATTTAAATTTTTAAAAAAATGAGGAAAGCGGTTTATTAAATTTATTCATCAGACAAACCCAAATGTATGGCAACAATCCGATCGGTATTGTCTGAAAAATCGTCGTTGTTGGACTTTTCGGATGAAGAATTAATATCCTTTACTTGGTTATTTTCCACACACAATGGCTCAAATGGATCTCCTGTAGTTGGTGATCGCAATACTGGTATACCAGTATTGTCCACAATACTGGTATAAAAATTTTGTACCAGTATTGTAACTTTTTTTTTAAAAACAACAATACTGTTACATTACTGATATACCAGTATTGTAGTTGTATTGTTCACTAGCAAAATTAGATATTGAGGATCAAAGGGAGATTAAATGAACTCAAAAAGATTTATAGAGGATAATTGTGAAATCAATTAACAACCAGTTAAAAATAATTACTATACTTGTACAAATAAACAAAAATTATTGTAATTAACTCATCTTATTCAAACAATTGTTAATTATATAAATAATTGCTAATAATAATTATATTTCTATATTTTATTTAATTCAATTTAGATAAAAAAATAAAAGCTTTATTATCTGAGTTATTATTTAATAAATTCAAGCAAATTATTACACTATAACACTGTAAATTCAGCATTTACATGTATGCCATCGTATATTTTTACAGATATTTTAATACATGTATACTAAGATTCTAAGCATTTGTTTGTCTTTATTTTCTTATCAATCTTTCACAATAAACATGATAAAAGATATCAATATCCATTAAACATAAAAAGTTGCTTAATAGGGGAACCAGATTATAATCAAATTAACTAGTTTGTCTACATGAATGTTAAGGGTAGTTAAAGCAGTTGATTCAGAACCATGGGCAATACAATTTGTAGCAGATATATCTACTGGTACAAATACTCAAATACTAATACTAGACAAGCACTCCTACAGTAAGAGAGCCGTACAGGTGCTATCTAAACAAGCTTGTAATCTCTTAAGCGCAAGAGAAAGTCCACAGACTGAATACATAAATATCAATATAGGAAGTGGGGGTTGCAGAAATGCCACCCGAAGAAGAAATAAACAATACCAATGCTGATGATACAGAAGCTTTAACAGCATTAATGTCAATTTAAAATTCACTAAAATATACTATTGAGACTTGGAAAGAGAGAGCTGGAAGAAAACATAGAAACATAGAAGAAAGTAAAGAGTTTGTTAAAATGCTGAGACAGTACGGTTCCCTTAAGAAAAAAACATCAGAGGATTTAAAACTTTCTTTGATTACAATCACAGTGTACCATCAATGGCATCATCAGCTAAACATACAATCATTCCATATAAAATTGTCATGTCATATGTAATATCAGTATGCATATATATGTGACACCTTTAATAAAAGATTAATTACCTATATGTATTGTTTATTTTTAAAAAACACAATACTGGTACAATACTGGAATACAATACTGGTACAAAATTTTTATACCAGTATTGTGCACAATACTAGTATATCAGTATTGCGATCACCAACTACAGGAGATCCGCTCAAATTGATGAGGTCAATTATCTTTGTAGTTTGTCAGTAATCGGGAAAAGTGCTGTCAATACCGTCCATAGTGTACCGACATCGTCCAGTTAGAGACATTTTCATAGCTTGTAACCACTGACGTAAGCACGATCACGTGATCGTTATCTAATTAAAAATCATTCATTATGACAAGCGCTGGATTCTTTGACCTAAAAAATGCCGATTGATCAGGTTTTGACCAGCAAAATTGTACAAAACATGTTTTAAGACTAATATTTATTAATTTAATAAAAAAAATAAAATAAAAAAAAAATCGTGTCAAGTCTCCTTTAATGAATATTGCAAGTATTATGCATTGCGATGATAAGGTTATGAAAAATAATAGTGTATAGCTTCGTAAAATTGTAATTTGTGTCCTGTCCCGCGTTCATTTTGCATGATGTTATTCAATATAAAACGAATGTATTGGATTCTTTTTTCCGCGAAATTGCTCCATTTATTTTCCCATTGATGAAAGTCATAACACCTTCATGTCGCAATTTCTGTTTTTCCTTCAAAAGCGGTTGGAGTCGAATAAAATAGGAATCAGATGGCGTATAAGGTGTGTCCCGTATCACTTAATGCGAAATTTAACGTTTTGTCAGATTTAAAGATAAAAATGATAAATAAAAACTTATCAAAAGTATTATGTTTTCATACCAAAAAAAGTACTACAACTATACTTTTTCTCACTATGAAAAGTCAAACAAAATTCGTGTCCGACATTTTTATGAAATATATAGATGTCCAAAGAATTGTTCCCTTAACACAAAATGTACATTGCTGCGTTACATGTTTATTTTCAGTGCTAGAAAACTCGCTTTCAACAAGATTTATGATTAAAATTTTCACAAGTCTTGAAAAGTACAAATACTCAAGTACGTATTGGTACATGTATGCTGATAGAGCGATACCAGCTGTGCGATACAGATATCAATAAGCAGCTATGTCTAATTCAATGTTCCCTGAACTTATGTTTAACGTTTTGAACGTCGAGATGCGTGAAAGCCACAGTATACATAACGCTCTGGTACAAATAAAAGACCTACAAAAACTTCCTAATTTCAGGAAAATTAAAAAAAATGTCTTCCCAAAAAGCATTAAACGTTATAAAGAGGAACAGATTCAAAAAAGAAGAAAACGAAAAATCAAATCATACTACATAAACTGTCATGTTAAAGGAAGAACATGTAAAAGACACACAAAAACAAACAAAAAGAGCAGCAAGATTTGTCCATAACAACTAACAGACCTAACACCTGGCTGTGTAACATACATGGTAAAACAACTACAATGGGAAAGCCTGGAAGAATGAAGGAAAACCAACAGACTATGTATGCTATTTAAAATCCAGCATGGGCTAATAGACAGACACCAATATCTAATCTCCAACGACAGCCGGAACAGAGGTAGAGGCCGCTTTTATCAAGAAAGAACAAAACTGACATATTTGGACAGTCATTCGTCCCAAAGACCATCAGGGATTGGAATCAACTTCCATCTAAAGCCACCTCGGTCGACACGATAGAGGGATTCAGAGCTGCTCTGAAAGGAAGTAAACAGCACAGCATGTACATAGTTTTAATTGTAAATTGGTGAATGTTTTAAATGTAAATAGCTTTGAGAAGTCTAGCTGTGTTGCCCGACACTGCGCAAAGTTTTCGCGGGACCATACACATTGATATATGAATTCGGTTCCTTACTTGGAAGAAGAAGAAGAGAAAGTATCGAGAGAAAAAAGCGGTCTGAAGCAGACTAACATTTAAAATAACGAAACCGAAAGGTCCTTACTATGACCGTCGTGATCCGAAAAATCCATTTAAATACGAACTTGTATAACAAATACAAAGGCCATTATACTGCTACATCGGTTGCTTTTATCGGTTTCAAAATTTATGCAAATGATGATATTTTGTTACGTCGTACGCGTGTTACGGTAGGTGACACCAGTATCTTGCGACGTCTCAAAACTTTATGACATGTGATAGAATGGCCATGCCCATAGTAGAAACAATTATCTTATCAAATCACATTTTGTAAAACTAAAACCTACAAAAACATTTAATAAAAAAAAGTTGTTTCTAACAAAAGATTTTCTGAAAATCTTATCAATATGGTTTTTTTATGTATTTGTAATTTTGTATGTGTTTTCAACGGATAGTTGGATTGATATGGGGACCAAATGAACATGCCGTTTTGCCAAAAAAAAAATTTCGGGGGTAGAATTTCCATGTTTGTGTAGCAACATTACAGCAGCACATTTATATGCAGTTTAACCCTCGCTATTGGTACACTATGCAAAGGCTTATCTGTTAGAATCTTTGGTAGATGGTTGCTGCTTACAAGAACAATATTGGATTATCCATTGAGATGACCTCCGACGATCATATTATCCGTTATAAATAGAAATATAAATAGAAAGCGAGCACGTGCAATCGGATTTTTCTAGCTAGGTCTGTTCATATAGGTAAGAAATAATATGTAAATCATCGTTTTACATGTATAAGAATGATTTGTTGTGGGCCGGATCAGTCAACGAAGTGGTTATTCCTAGTGTCTCCATTGTTTCGCTTTTCAGTGTTGGCATACTTCTCTTTTTACAGTTGGAATAATATAGCACGCAAGTCAAGAGTTTAAATGCCTTGATTGCAAACTTTGTTTGGCTGCTTGATCAGACATTGTAATTAAGATTGACACCTAAATTCAATGGGTAGGCGGAGTAACGGTCTGTTTACTATATCTCACTATACAAATCATTGGCCTACCCATTTAATTCAGGTGTCAATCTTAATTACAATGTCTGAGCAAATAACCAAACAAAGTTTGCAAGCAAGGATTTTAACCTTCTTATTGCACACGAGCAAGTTCCCCTATCAGGCTATAATCCAATGGCGATATTATATTATAACCTGGTGACCTTATCATTGCCAACAACACTTCTCTAAGAAATCGCTTAGTAATAAGGTCGAAAAACCGATCCGAATGTGTTAAGACTGTTCGGTTGTTGATACAAAACAGAATTTAAAAAACAGATGTTGTAAGAACTCTCATGCTTCATATATCTTCAAAGACCAAAATGTTGCTCAACACTTTTTCTACCTCCATGGCAAATATGGTGTTGTCTCAGTATGCAAAGCCCCAAACAATGCCGTTTTTGTTTGTAAACCAAAGTGTATTAAATGCTCAATAAGGGATTAAAGGGATTGATCATTCATCTTGAAACGTAACATATATACATGATACTTTAACGGTAATTATAACACCATGTTACCAGCTGTTGGTATTGCACATGCAAAAGGTATACTAGTAACACAACTCAAAATCTGCTATTCACGATTGCAAAATCCATTGTATTTCAATGTACACCGTGAATAGCAGAGACAGTTGTTTTAATGGCAATCCGGAACACAAATCTTAGTGTATCTGTCGTAGTGATAGCCGGTGAAAGGGTTTTAATACAAATTATATAATCCTGAAGAATCATAGGTCCACTGACTGTTTACCTTTTGGAATTTCAACTATTGTATCTGTCGTTGTAATAGCCGGTGAAAGGGTTTGAATACGAATGATATATTCCTGAACAATCACGGGTCTCTTTGTTTTCTTTTTGAATTTCAACCAAAGATGAAGAACTGAATCTGCCTACACGCTCCTTATTACACAGATTACATAAGCGTCCTTAATGACAAAGTTACTTTTCTGGATCTATGGATGATGACATTTTTAGATATGCCTTAACATGAATATGCTCGAAAATTTATTTTCCATAAGCAGCACGACAGGTGCGACTAGTGTAGAAGTAATTGCTCATCCTTCCATGGAATTTGAGTTTTGGTGGGGTTCGAGTTGCATTAGTTTTCTGTGTATGGCTTTGTTGACTGTTGGTTGTCTTTTCAAAGGTCGTTTATTTTGTTCATGGTGGGTTTTTTTCGACTTGTATGGTTCCGATTGCCCCGGTCATTTTGGTTTCTTCTCCTTCTTTTCGGACAAAATTTGAGGTTCGTCTTTTTTTTCAACAACAAAAAATCAACAGAATTCATATTTCTTTCGTGATATATATGTCTGCAAAATCTCTTTGTCTTATTGTTTTGTCCGTTAGTTTCTTATATTCAAGTTTAAAGTTTTTTTAAGGGTGAGGAGGGTTACAGTTAATTGCTTTATTCATATAACCATATACATTTTGTCACATTTGCTAATTCTGATCTTTCAATGATAGCTCGCTATCGTCATTATATCATGATGTTGAACTAGTGATAAAATCGATCAATCATCTTCAGCAAAATTTAGAGAGCATCTTTTACAAAGCCTGTGAGATCTTTTTTACATATGAAGTCTATTATGTGTTGTTGTTGTTGTTATCTGTTGTTGTTGTTCTTCTTCTTCTTCTTCTTCTTCTTCTTTTTCTTCTTTAATTATTATAATCAGAATCCTAATTGTTGATTTTGGGGTCCATGACCGGGATTGATGTCTTTTAGGCAATAATTGATTTTGAACCGGAAGTAGTTTTGTTGGCGCTCATATTATTTCAAAATTTTGAAACAGGAAAAGGTAAACAAAGCCCAAAATCACTGTTTTTGTGAAAGCTCACTTACTTATTTATGTATTATTATTAGAGAATTTTATAACAAAAATAGTTTAAAGGTCATAAATCTGATTATCTGTTGAAATGTCATGGACTGTAAAACACAGAATATATCTATTAAAAATTTAACTGGTTTAGCGGATTTTTTTTACAAAGCAGTCTTTAAACCACAAAATCTGCCCCGAGTATAGTCAATCTTTTGCATCTAGGAACGTTTACGGCATGGCTGGGCCTGGACATATAAAAGTTATATGCATTTTATGATTAAGAAAATTGAAAAGTTACCTGTGTTTTGATGTGCATTTTATTTTCAGTCTGCATACATTTTTGTAGATGGCTAAATAAACAAACACCTGTCACTTGATATGGTCCACTCTGTGAACCAGCTCATACAAACCCGTACCTAGGTCTATTTCATGAACCTGTGCATCCGCTAGACTCGTCCTGATACATGTAACACTCTAGATGACGGATAACATAACTGAACACCGCCTTAAAACATGACTAATAATATTTTATAAAGTTATTCACGGCCTTATTGGCATACCATCTGAAAAACTATTACCAACAGACAGTAGAACAAGACAAAACAACCCTAATACTTACAGACATGTATGAACCACAAAGGAAACATATAAATGCTTTTTTTTTTCCACACACCATCATTCAATGGAAGAGCTACCAATATCCACAGTACAGTCAACCACAGTTGACAGCTTCAGAGGAATTCATGACAACTCGCCCATTGCCAAAACGCCCCAACTTATTACCAACTCGTCCTACTTTCTACCAACTTGCTCCACTCGTGTTAACCAACTCGCCCCACTTATAAAAAATAGTTTAATCCCGCTTAATTTTGGCCTACCAAATCAGATCCACTATTGAAAAGTAGTTTAATCCCGATTAATAAAGGTCTGCCAACTCGCCCCAATTGTTTACATGTATAATTTTATTCTCAAATCATAAGTTTGCACAACAATAACATTAAAAAGCAAACATACAATACATTAATTATGACAAGCACAGGATTGAGTACATAAAAGGAAGCACTAGATACAAGAACATAAATACACAAAGATGGCATACTAGATTGTCATAAACTCTCACTTAAAACAGTTCAGTAGCTTTCGGCTACCACGACTGGACACGAAAACACTGACGAGTCTAGTTGTAGAGATGTTGCCAGCAATGTACTGCTCCCACATGTTGAAGCATCATTTAATTTCAATCAGAATCATATATTCAATTTTCTTTTTTATGGCCCCACAACAAAGTTGTCAGGGCCAAATAATTTTACCCTTGTCAGTCATTCCGCAACAAACCATTATACGCAATTTTTTTCTAAACGCCTTAAAATATTGGGCTGATTTTTGGTATGTGAGTTAACCATGATGAGTTACAGATCAAGTTTTAAGTTTCGTTCCGCTCTGCTAATTTTTGCCAAAATTACGGGCTTTGGACTTTGATAAATTGTTGAAAATCACAGTTATACAGACTTTTTTCTAAACGCCTTCAGATATTGGGCTGATTTTTGGTATGTGAGTTAACCATGATGAGTTACTGATCAAGTTTAAGTTTCGTTCCACTCTGGTAATTTTTGCTGAAATTACAGGCTTTGGACTTTGATAAATTGTTGTAAATCACAGTTGTACGGACTTTTTTTTTAAACGCCTTCAGATATTGGGCTGATTTTTGGTATGTTAGTTAACCATGATGATGAGTTACAGATGAAGTTTAAGTTTCGTTTCACTCTGCTAATTTTTGCCGAAATTACGGACTTTAGACTTTGATAAATTGTTGAAAATCACAGTTATCCAGACTTTTTTTCTAAACACCTTCAGATATTGGGCTGATTTTTGGTATGTGAGTTAACCATGATGAGTTACAGATCGACTTTAAGTTTTGTTCTGCTCTGCTGATTTTTGCCGAAATTATGGATTTTGGACTTTATTAGATCAGCAGTACATTCACTTCCTGTTTGCTGATAGTTTGAAATTTAACTACTCATTGATCAAGGAAATTTTTCATCAAAGTAGTATTGGTCTTGAGAGCTGGATACTATCTATGCATGTTTGTGTCCACATGTGTTGTTGAAATTGCAGGTTTTTCATCTTTTTGATATGGGGCCATTCGTGTCATTCCAACACATCTAGTTTATTTGTATACTCTACAAGTGTTTTTGTTTGTTTGTCTATTGTTATTTTAGCAGTTCAGATGGGGAGATTGTGTAGATTACACTATTTTTCATAAGTGGGGCAAGTTGGCAGGACTAAATTCATCAGGATATTACTATTTTGCTTAATTGGGGCAAGTTGGCAGGACTAAATTCATCAGTATCCTGAAGTTTTGATGTACAACTGAAGAAAAAGAAGAGGCCTGTTATCAGAATTACCCCCGCTATCAAAAAGTAACTGAAAATATGCTTCTTGTCAATATTTTTACCAGAAATTTACTTTCGTTTTCATTCATTGCTATGCGTAAAGATAAATCCTGAAAGAGTAAAAAATAATTATGATCACATGATTAACTTGCACTAATAGGATAAACGCCAAGAAGATCGAAATTTGTTTACATAAGCACGTTTACCAATTACCGGCAATAAATGTGTCAAAGAACCCTAGTAATTATCAAACGATTGCAACCCAAATATATTCAAATGGATAATTGAATTATGTTACACAAACAATAAAGATGATTAAGGGAAGTAGAACTAGTTTGATGCAATTAGCAGGAGAACATGTCCAATAAAAATAATAACAAACTTGAAACATGAGGTTAAGAAATAAGTTGCAATATTTATTTATTTTTTCAAAACTAAAGGACTTTAGTATATTTACTTATATTTGGTCATTTCCATTGTTTTGAATTCAGAGCATTTTTCATTGTAGTAAAATTGAAGAATTTGATTAAAATCATTGTTCTTTCAACAGTTGCACTTATAAGTTATTAATTTAAACTATATACATGTATGAAATCATAAATTGGGATGTGGTATGATTGCAAATGAGACAGAAAACATTAGGACAGGGATGCAAACAACTACAATTCACTTTACAGCCTTCAACAATGAGACAACCATACATTCAACGTTTGTGTTGGGATTAAGTTAACAAAGATTTGTTTGTTGTATATAATCATAATGACTTAATCAGTGTGCATGGTGTTAAAAAATCACTCCATTCATTTGAGAAAGTGCAATAAGCCAAATAAGACGGTTCATATTAAAACGACATGACACACTATGGACTTGTCAGAATTGGCTCCGAGACACCATTTCAAAAAGTAATACTTGTAGTTAAACCTTTATCTTCAAGACTTTCAACATTAAATCAATGGTCAGTGTAGGAGGCAAGACATTTCAGAGTGTGCACTCTTGTCTTATTTTAGGTGACTGCATATTTTTCCCTTTCTAACTATAGCAAATTCATTTAGGCCAACATGAAGCAGCCATCAATGAAAGAAGTGTTTGAACAGTGCCAGAACAGTATGAAAAGCCACAGTAACCTATTGAAATATATGGAAAAATTGTATGACAAGGTTAGCTGATTAAAAATATAAAAACATAGTAGTACAATAGCATGACAAACTCTTGAATGCTACATATTCTTATTTCTGAATTGTGCAATTTTGGAAGCCTAATATTATGATTTATTAGACTTCATATTCAAATTCAAGTTTTTAGTGGTTAATATATGTGAGACAATCTACTCTAAGTTCTAACACATGGGTGAGTGGGTGGCCATTTACTCTCTCTTGCAGAGCAATCAATAATTTAAAAGACAAAAAAATAACAGACCATTCAATATAAATTAATAACACATAGCTGAGAGGTATGTGCTATTTATATAATGACATCTTGTTATCCAGCAATGCAAACTTATGTTTCGTGTACATTATATCAACTGATAGAGTGATAGGTGTATCGCAGGGCTTTTCCATAAAAAAAGTACTTTTTAGAAGCAACTACAACAAATATATTTTTCACTGTATACCTAAAGTAATGTTTATGTTCTAGACAAACACACATAGGAATGCACATGCAAGTGCCTTCAAGATCCCCAGGCTACTCTTTTAAGAGAACTGAAAAAAAAGTTTTATCAAGTATTTTATTTTTTCAAACGTGCACAAATGACAAATATACAACAGAAACAAAAATAAGTATATAAATCTGTCTCCTTTTTACAAATTTACTGATGAAACACTTGTGGAACAAAATTGGGCTTTTCCTGATAGTTTAAAATATTAATAAAAAAAAACACTAGTAATGTCTTCCCTTAATTCTTATAAATATATACATACACACAAAAGCCATTATATCAATATTGAAATTAGCAGTCCCTTTTGTGAGAAAGAAAAAAAGTGTAAAGTTTGGAAAAAATACTTGCAATGTAATGCATTTGATATATGCATTATATTTCTGAAATATATATGGAACAATTATACAAAAAACTGCAAAAAAGTAGTACATGTATCTACATCTTATCATTCTTTACATTTTAGACGGAGTTTAGCAAATTTTGGTCAGATTTTAATCATTATCTGAAGTATCCTATGATTGTGTTTCAACGTGAGCCTGTTGTAGAGAGAACTATAGATTTTATTGCCAAGTTTGTGACCTCAGTCAATCCTGATCCTGAAACACCTGGTACTGATAAGGATGACTCTTTACTGGATGAAGTCTCACAGAACAGATTATTGTTGACGATGTTTGAATTTCTATTGAAGGTAACTACATCTGTTGTGTATTCATTTGTTTCCCCTTAACTATCATGTTGATGAACAGCCTACGTTTACAATTTATTTCATTCATATCAACAGCAAATTTATAGCATTTTAGTTATTTGTATCTTTCAATCTTTAGCTACCTGAACAAATTGGTTGGTATTGTTTCTATTAATTGACAATAGTTACTGTTAACTACATTGTTGTAACAATAGTTACACGTAATATGAACTAGTTGTTATTCTTGAATCTATCAACAATGGTTAATGTCTAATTCAGATAAATGGATTCTAATCCATTAGAGTATTATCCTTTGGGATTTTGATTTGCATTGCATTTTCTATTAACAAAAAATCTTCTGTACTGTTGTCATAAGTTATGAAGAATTTGGATGATTATGGTACAATATTTGTGTCCTCTGCCAGAAAGACATAGAAATACCTTCTGTCTCAATTTGTAAGTACTCTCATGTCTACGTTTTTTGTAAGATTTTTTTGTAATTTACACCAAATATTCATACCAGCAATTTCGCATATATTTTGAAAATTAGTGTCATGGAATAAATGTCGTGACTATGAAACCAAGAAAAGTATATCTTTTTTATTTCATAGGCCAACATTTTATTCTCTTTCTCTAAAAGAACCCATCAGATATTGTAATTTACAATTGATAGGGGTATTTATTTTTTTAAGAATTGAAAAGGGGGGATTAACCGGGCCAAAGAACTTGCCTTTTTTGATTACAATGACATTTTTCAAAAAGAATGAAAATAAAAACAGTCTCGGTTCACCAATTTCGGGCTTAGCAAATATTAGTACTTTCACATGATTGAATCCTTCATGTGAAATCTTTAAAGATATTTTAATCATACTCTTATTTTCAGTCTCGTAATGTAATTTCTAGGGCAGTAATTAAAGATTCAGATGCTCTCAAACCTTGGAAGACACTTAAAATTATTTCATACTTTTATTTTCAGTCTCATAATGTAAATTCAAGGGCAGTAAGATTCAGATGCTGTCAGCTGATCAACAAAATTCTAAATAATCTTGGTGATGATGCCCAGATTGATGATGACCTATATGACAAAATATATCAGTGCATGCTTGAAAGATTACGTGATAAGGAACCTGTTGTCAGGTTTCATGCAGTTATGGCATTGGCTAGACTTCAGGATCCTAAGGATGAAAATTGTCCGGTTATTAAAGGTAAAGTTATGATAAAAAATGTTAGTGAATTATTGATATTTTCATTTCTCCTTAATTGATGCCAGTTAGCAATACACTTGTGAAAGTTGCCAAAAATGGGGATGACACACTTATTTTGATAGAATTATCAATATTATCACTTTTAGACATAGACATTAGAAAGAAATTGCATGTTCACTTTTGCTAAAATCTTGATTAACCCTTATAAAACAAGATAGAAATATCGTATACATGTACAGTCGACTCCACTTAATTGCATACCGCTTAATAGCATAATTCGGTTAATTGCATAGTTTTCTCCTGCACAAAACCATTTCCCATTCATCTAATGTTAAATTGTCCGCTTATATGCATAGCTCTACAAGTGGCCTTTCGGTTTATTGCATAGAAAATTATCGCCATCTAGATATGCTTAGTTAAATCTATCGAAATTTTTGACCGGAAACGGCAAGTTGGTGAGTATATTTTTCTTGAATGCATCATTATTTTCATTATTATTTCATATTTACTTTTGTGTTATTCAAATAAAGTTTTAAAACAGTTTCTTTCGTGTTTATATGATTGAATTTGAATTAAAAATAAACCCTCGATATCTACACAGGTAAAGTTTCCCATGTTCTATTTTAAGCCTCGAGGTCATAAAAATGTCAAACAGTTTATTGTTGTAAAAACACTGACCATTCTATCTAAAAAGGTGTAAATAATTGATTGGATTTCAAACACTGTCAATAGATTACATTTGGGGTGAAATTCAAAAACAATAACGCTGGCTAATTATCGATCATTATCTAATGTGAACTCCCGTAATTGGGCTTGGGGTGATCTGCATTTATGTTAAATATTACAGGGCATTTTTATATGGTTCAAGAATTTTATACATCAATCATTTAATTTTAATATATTTTGAAAAGAGCATTTATTTCTAATTATTATATTTTCTCACTTTCAACATTCGTGTCCAGCAAATAACCTGTACAGGGCCCCTTTACTGCTTTGCATATACGAAACTAACGAAGTCAAATAAACAGTGTTACTTCACTCTGCAAGCTGTAAATATTGTATATCAAAGGCAGTTTAGTACACATCTATTGTTAAAATGATTATAAACTGTGTAGTTTTGTTAAACAGTTTATTTTAATCAAAGCGTAACAATGTACATTGTACATACGGGTCATAGAAACAAATCTATTTTTAGAACGAATTTATTTTCGTATCCCAGGTAAACTGGTAAAGGAAACGTCGGTACGCAAATAAACTAAAACAAAATGTGTTTATAATCTTTATTGAAATAATACAAAATAAAATAACATGAATGACAATAGACATATAACTTTTATTAGAATAAATCAACATTCAATATGTTGTAATTGGATTATAGACGTTCATCTTTCTTCAGGGATTTCCTTTACTGATCTGTTCTATCGATGTTGTTTGACTCCGTAATTTGGCATTTCGGATATAAGCATACTCCGCTTTATTGCATAATTTTGTCTGACAAATAGGCTATGCAAATAACCGGAATGTACTGTATTATTATTATATTTTCAGCATACCTGTTTTTAATCCAGTCAGATCCTAACCCAGAAGTAAGACGTGCTGTGATGTCCTGTATAGCACCCTCACCTAAAACACTGCCAGCTATCCTAGAGAAAACACGAGATGTTAAAGATACTGTTAGAAAGACAGCTTATAATGTATTGGGTGAAAAAGTTCATATCAAGGCTCTGTCCATAGCTAACAGAGAAAGACTTTTACAAGAGGGCCTGACAGATAGAGTTGGTTGGTATTTTTTTCCATCAGAAAATAAAACCATAATTAGATTAATTTAGGCATGCATAAAAAGAAGAAGACCTGTTAAAAATTGAAGTTTTAATTTAAAATTTAGGACAGGCTTTGTTTGATAATTAAGATATTATTAGAATTTGATTATGACTTATCATCTATATGTATTATTAGGAAGCATAGACAATAATGAAAATGATTTTTAAAATTGTAGCTGAAATTTAAACAATATGGAAAGAGTTGTTTCTATATCTGTAAATAAGGATGATATGGAAATCTATTCATAAATACAATTATTTTAGAACAAATATGAGCTGCCCATTTCTAATACTTATTTGCTCTCTGTAACATATCATATTTTAACAGAGATGAGATTTTAAATAAAAGTTTAGATGTAATATTTTGATATCATGTATACTATTAATGACAATTGCGTAATATATTATGTATATGTTTGGTTTTTTTTTTCTTTATATTTTACATTATATTACAGAGAGTGTAAAAGAAGCTTGCTCTTCAAAATTACTGCAGGCTTGGTTAAGAACATTTGGTGGTAATGTTTTGGAACTCCTTGGTGCACTTGATGTAGAGTATGCCACAGACACTTGTGAATTGGTTCTCAACACATTGTTCAAACACACATCAACTGCAGAATTAATTAAAAACTTTGATATCTTGAACGAAAAGTAAGATTTTTTCAAAATGGGACTTGACTAAAAATCTAACTTCATGTAATTTTATAAATCATTACTGCAAACTAAATTTGGTAATGCTCAATCAAAATTCCAGTAATTTTTCAGTGATTTCCCTTACAAATTTAATGAAATGGGAAGCAGTTACTTGTACATCAGTATTAATTTAACATGAGTTTAATCCTCACAATCTTAGTTGATTTCTCATGGAGTTTCTCAAAGACATTTTTTAACAAATGAGAATTCTCCAACATAGATATTTATGTGTAGACTGAATGTTTAAGATAAAACCAAGACAAACTTTCGACTTTAACATTCATTTTTAATGTTTTTGTGTATATTCAGGGTGTTAATACCGCAAGAGAAATTGAACGCAGAGAGTGTTATGTATTGGAATATGTTGTGCAAACACATTCATGGACTTGGAACAGATTTTGATGCTGATTTGGAAAAAGTTCTACCAAATTGTCTGGAATTTTCAAATTATATTAAGGAGTGAGTGTAAAAAGTATTATATTCAGATTAAAATTTGATAGAAATTTGTTTACTACATGCACTGGCTACAATCATTTGAAAACTAAATAGTATCAGCTTGTCTGTCACTATTATTTCTATAACTTTAAACCCATTGGAGTAGGTTATGAAACTTGGAATGATTATTTAACACTACTAGAAGGTATACTGCAAACAATGAAGAAAACTGTACAGTGAAAGCTATGGTCAAAACTTATTTCAACTTTGTCCCCACTGTGCATATGCTAAAAAAAGATTGTTTCAGCTCTCTAACTTTAAAACTCCTTGGAATTGGGTAATGAAATTTGGCAGGATGATTTATCACTACTAGTACAAATGTAGATGTGTTGTGTAGAAGAAAGAAATTGTATAGTGAAAGTCATGGTCAAAAACTAAATCGTTTCTGCTCTCTTACTTTAAAACCCCTTAGAGTTTGGTGATGAATTAGTGATGCATCTGCAAAATTTCTGACTGCTATTGCTATATGCTATGTTTACAAATAATTACTATTAAAATTGCACCACAGTTCACTTATTTACTTGAGTATGTGTGTGATGGCTTCAATCACTAATAGATTATCATTAAGATTATACTCAATGTCCTGAGTTAAGATTACATGCATGTGAGAGATGTAATAAAAGTAAAGTTGAAGAAACTCCATATGTAGGTGTACATTTTTTTTTCTTGTGAAAAACAAATTGACCAAAAACTTTATAAAAAACACATACAAGAAAATGCAAACATAACACACACATAAAAGAAAATGTAAAGTAGAGATTGAATATTTATATTAGGATGTTTAGGCCAATTAAAATTAATTGATAGATTTTCATCCCAACCCGCCCCTCTGAAATCGTCCTGCCCCGATTTTTTTTATTTAAAAATATTTATGATTTCCAGATTTTGTTAATTTCCGTTACCGGTAACGGAAGATAATTTCGTTTCATTCAAAACTTCCTGTTGGAAATTTTTGTTTTCATATCTCTTCGAGTTATTTAACAAAAATAATTACGTCGACATATTCTGCTGCTCTATGATGACAATATTATCTTCTGAGAATATAGATTGATTACGGGAAGGGCATGAAATATTCGGGTTACGAGCGAGTAATAGGCTGTGTCCAAGGAAGCAAATTGCAGCCGTATTTCACAAATTTCAGTGATTAGAAAACCGTTGATTTTTTTACTTATACAATGACTTTGTGTCAAGAAGTTTGGACTGTGAATGATATCCAAAGGGCAAGAACCTTGGAACATATTGATACAAAAAATATGACTGGAATAAAGAAATTGACACAAGCACGAACTTGTGCGATTTATGGCCGTATATTGAGTGCTCCATATTGAGTACAAAAAGTCGGCCAATGTAAAAAATGAATTATAGTAAGCCCTCAGATTTACTCAAGGCTGTCGTTTTTTGTTGACAAACAGCAAACACCCTCTGTCCCCAGCACCTCAATAGAGTCATTACAAAACTTCTTTTTGTTAAGTTCATGTTTTACATTGTAATTATATTTGCACCTTGCATAAGAATCTTAAAGCATTAACCCTAGTATTTTCAACACAGTTTGAGTTTTTATTTCTCTCTGTACTCATAACACTTGTTTTGCATACCAAGGCTTATGCTTCATTTTATGGTCACTACAAACCATAGCTTAGAAAGCAAAATAAATTTGATGTAGGTAGTCTTAAAGAAAGCATTTCTCCACCTTTTTGCTATTAACTGAAAATAGGTTTCTAAAGTGGCAATTACATGTAGAACAGTGGTTACCAATCAGAAATATTTATTTAAGAATTTGAAAAAATATGTAGAATTCCTTATATAGACATGATATATATAAGCTTATTATTACCCTTGCATATGCAGAACACATTACAAAAGGGTTTAGAAGGAAATGAAAATTAAAAAATAAAATCCCCCAATGCCCCATTTTTTTCAAAAATCTGGATGAAAATCTACTAGTTAATTTTAGTTGGCCTTATAATGTTGTTATTCTAAATTTCCAGATATGTTGATACCTTGAAAGGCTGTGATGACATTGATATACAGCTACAGAAACAGTTTGTCATACAACAGTTGTTAGCTATTACTGTTTATATGGATTTAGCAGATACAGTGTCAAGGTAGGTATATTAATAGATTAATCTATTAATAGGACACGAGTATAACCCACTATGAACATTAAGAGCATAAAACTTGATACATTTGTATTTACTAGTTTTATGCAACTGATAAGTTCAAAATTAATTTAATCAAAAGATAAATTATTATGGCTAAGCAGATTGATCCAGGTAACTTTACCTAGCCTAATATCTACCCAAGTTGAGTATTTACACCTGCTCTTTTTGTTGAGCCTGCAATATTTTTGTAGTGGAAGCTAGACAAAGCGATCCTACATTGCATCATCAACATTAAGGTACAGTTTGTTGATAAAGATTTTTACACATCAATAACTTTGTCAAACTTTTATTGATTTTTTTTTAATTGGACAGAGGCTTTTTTAAGACCAAAAGACAATATCCGTAATAAATTTCGAAAGTTTTTTTTTATTTTCCCCTATTTTACTGATTGGACTTTTGTCAATCAACAGTACACTTTTACACTGATAGCAATTGTAGGCGAGACACATGTTTCTGTGGAACCCTTTACAAATTATTTTAGGATCAGGAGCTCTTGAGAATAGAACTGATCACTTGTAGAAAAATTGGTTAACATGTTTATGAATGATTTATACTGCAACTTTATCACCACCTTTGTAAAAGATAGAACTGTTTTTGTTTCAAGTTTTTTTAATCTGAAATGAAATTAAAATTTGGGTTTGAGAAAAATGAATTTTAATACAAATATTTATCTTTTAGAAATGGAGTCATATGGCTGTTTCAATTTTAAGAAAGAATAAGTGATTAAAAATGCCATTGATTAGACATGTTAGAGGGGGTTCATTAAAATTCAGAAGCCAATTGGAAAATATTAAGTGATTCATTAATTTTGTTATTTTTTACACTTCAGAAAAGCAATGGAAAATTTGTTGAGTTCCATGTTAACTGCAGACCATGTGGCTTTCAATCTTGTAAAATTTATCATTCCTCGACTGTGTGAGATAAAAGATTATTCTGATAGTTTGGTCAATCAAATGGCAGTGACAATATCAGATATCCGAGAACCAATCACCACTGTAGAGAAAGATATCAATGAGGAAATGAGACGACAAAATGACCTGAAGGTAAATAGTTAATCTTTCTGACACTTTTGATTTAACAATCAATTTTCTTTTTATGTGTGTAACAACATTGTATCAAGTGGAAAAAAGTTATTTGAAAGTATTATAAACAATGCAGTACATGTACAGTGTTCCAGCTAGGATTTCAAAAGGGCAGGTAGCCAATCATGAAAAGGGCACTTTAGCACGATGATTGATATTTCAAAAAGGGCATGTCAAACATTGTCTGATGTAAACTGCAGGGGTTTCAGCTAGGAGTATTTTGGATAACAGTAAGGGACCAAGGACGTATATTACAAGCTATACATATGCCATAGTCCTCAGTCAAGAACAATGATCTTTGAAGGCCTTAGGCATGCTACAAATGTAGGCAGTCATGGTATGATTTTACTGGTGTGATGCTTAAATATGAAGATAAGAACAAGGATCCGGAAATTTAGTTTTGAGGGGACATACTGATCAACAAAAGTCGGGTTCCTCTTTTTTTCAAAGCAAGGAATCACAGCATAAATGAAATTGTGACGACTATTTCTCTGCATATCCTGTAAAAACGTTTTAAAATCGATATTTGGAATTCATTTTTATGAGCTTGGAATAATTAAAAAGACTGTCTATTCTAAATTTATCAATAGATCACATTTACTTTCAATTTTTAAATGAAATGAAAACAGGAAGTGACAATTCAAGAGGATAATAAATTTAGAATGAATCCGGATTCATCTACTGATTGGTTTGTGTTTAATGTAAAGACAAGAATTTATCATTTTTTTAAATTCAGTTGCTCAGTAAAAAATATATTTGTCTCTCTGGTTAATTTGATACTAAATGATTTCATATTTTACATTGAAGTGTCTATTAAATCTATATAAAGATACGTTCACGCATGCACGGTTCATGATAAAGAAAACACGTGTTTGAATCGTGAAAAATTTTTTTGATTGTTTTGAATAAAATTTTATCTTTATAATCGAACTTGTCAAAAGATTTCAATGAAAAGTTTTTAAAAATGTGACAAAAATACGTTCAAATGACGAAACTACGTCAACCGAGCTGGAATAAGTAATCGTTTGAGAAATTCTGAAATTAAATAAACACTGTTTCCCGGGACAACAATTTTGTTAAATTGACGAGACTACAAAAACGTCTACGGATAAACGAACTGCAAATTGTCATCTTTTCAGAAATATTGAAATTGAAATGCTGACTGACCAAATTTAATGAGAAAAATTATTAAAATAGTCAATTATGAGGTTTAATGAACGGATTAATGACCCATCCGATGTCGTTAAGAGGATTATCTGTAATCACAACTTATTACACCTGCTGTAACTGTTAATAAGCTGAGGGTAATAAACTTGTCATAAATATGAAGACAGGTAGAATAATAGTATTTTCATCAAAAATATTACGACAATAAAGGCATGGACTTATGAAAAAGGGCAAGGCTTCTTAAAAAGAGCACAGGGCGGCACTCGGGAAAGGGCGGGCAGATCGCCCTGTTAAAACGACCAAGCTGGAACACTGATGAATTTAAGTAATGAATTAAACCTTTAATGAATTGAAACATCAAAATATGTTGTTAACAATGATAGGATATTGTTTATATGAAAAAGAAAATTCATTGTCAAGCAGTCGAGTAATTTTTCTCATTCCAATTTATTATTATCGGACACATTATTATTACTTTTCTGACACATATTTCGTTAGAATGGTAGTACCACTAAAAACATGGAATCTGTGGTAACTAATTGCAATGAATTTAGGGAGTTCCCAAAGCAGAATAACCCTTCTAACCAAATGTCATTGTGCATTTCCTTTTTAATTATAATTCAAATGAACTGGAGAGAGGGTTGTCCCTTAGCAAAACATAGATTTTGCTATATCTACAAGGATCTGTAGATCCTATTAAAGCAATGAATTGATTGGATTGGGATTAATCTTCCACAGAACCCTCATTACTTAGAAACTAGGTTCAATTCCCATTTCTTATTATTTTTTGAATGACTCTTGCGAAGGCTGAGGAGAGTGGATGAAGTTGATTTCTAGTATTTTTGCTGTCAACATGAAAAAAGCAGATGTAAGGTTAATGTCTATAAGACTACAACCCAACAATACCATAAAACATAGAGATATCTACTATAGGTTAGTAAATGAATCATTTTAAAATTATATTTTTGGATTACAGATAGCAGGTATTCGGGTAAAAATCAATCAGTTGAAGGAAGATATGGATGAAAGTATTCGCAGTCAGGATTTCTCCAAAGCTGCAGAGATCAAAGAGTCAATCAAAAGTCTTGATGAAGAAAGGGATATGGTTTTGAAAGATAATGAACCACAGACAGAAGAGGTCAAGTCAGAGAAGGTATTAGACAGAGAATAATTATCAGTTCAGAACAATAATGTACTGCAAAGTGGTAAATTTGAGCAAGGCTTTCATTTTTTGCTTATCTTACAATAAAGAAACAATAGCATAAATGTCTGGCATGCTTAAATTTGATCTTTAAGTGTAAGATCATAAAAAGGTACAAGAAAAACAAGCAAAAACGAAATATCTCTCAAAGATTTGGTCCTAGACAATGTGAAATTACTAATTGAAATAAAAAAATTAACGGTATACATTTGTTTATAAACTATAAAAAGGATGAACAGTTTGACATGCTAAAAGTTTAGATACGTAATTTAGCAGTTGTTAATTTATCTGGGAATCAATTTTGAATGTGAAGGAAAAATATAGTTCTACTTTATGAAGATGAAAAATTGTTTAATCAAATTCCACATTTATATATTTGTTGAATATAAATGTTTTAAAAAGCAATAAAGAAAACAAAAGAGCCAAACATATACTATAAACAGTCAGGGATATAACTCTATAGAGTTATTAGAAAAAATAACATACATATGTTATTGTGGACTAAAAAATCAAAAAACTGTGATAACATATGTATGTTACATGTTTCAAAGGGCAAATATACATCATTTGTTTTGTTAAAATGTATTCAAGTTCTATTGATATTATCATTGTCTTTGTGTATACTAAACTTTAGAAAGATATAACAGTTCATAATATGCCAATCATGCATAGTACACCTATGTTATTACAGAAAAAATATGCCTGAAATAACTAAAGGGTGTTATTACAGCTTCTCTACATCACTTCAAAGCCTTTGCTTGGACATACATCATGCTTAATCACAATTTATTTTAATTTATTGTAAGAAACAATGATCATAGCATGTAATGAGGTTCTGCGCAAGCTTCCCAGTAATTCCCAAGTGTCTCATACAATAAATTATATGCCTTTAATAACTAAGCCTTGTTATTACAGCTTAGTTTGTCCCTTAAAAGCCTTGCCTCATTGATTTACCATGGTTGATGAAAAATGTATTAAGTTAATTAGAAAATTAGTTATCAAGGCTATGTATTTAGTTTCTGCGCAAAGTTTCAAGATTTCCCCAGTGCCCACTAAAAATTAAAATATGTTTGATTTATTTAACAAATAACAAACATATGTTACTACAGATTTAGAAAATTTAAGAAATAAGGAGTAGACAACTCATAAAAGTATCTGTAATAACACATGTATGATATTTTCTGTAATAACCCTATAGAGTTATATCCCTGACTGATAAATAAATATTATATTGTTATTAAATGGGTGTTTTCATAGTAATCCTGTATTATGTTTCAAGTACAGTCGTATTGGGTCAAGGTTAGATGTATTGGGTTTAGCGGTAGTGAAGGGCCAATACAGCTGATCGAGACTCAATATGACTGTACGAGGACATCATACAGGATTGATATGAAAACACCCATTTTATGACACCTTTATTAACCAATGACTTAAAATAACCACAAAAGTTGATTGAGGATAAACATGACTGTAGGAAGACTCGTACAGGATCACTATGAACTATTTGGGTTAATTATCATTTTAATGTAAGGAATAACACTAAAAAAAGTAATAATATGATACGAATTACCCTTTTATTTACCTGTAAACAAAACCTTTGAACAATTATCGAATTTTAATTTTAATTATTCAGGCTATAATTTTTTTTTTAACATAGCCATATTTCACAGGACATAAACATAGCATACAATTATATGATACTGGAATCCATTGATTTTATTGTAGACTGATGTAGCAACATTACTGAAGTGTCAGGCCATTGTAGCTGAGATGTTAGAAGCATTGCCACTGAAGACACTGAATCCAACGCTTCAGACTTTGATAGAAACTTTGGTATGTTTTATGTTAGATTAAGACTGTCATTGATATGATACACAGGGCCTAAAGTTGTCAGTTTATTTATTGTTAGTTTGGTCATTAGTAATCACTATCCTTGTGTCATCATTTTATTGACTTCACTTTTTTCTAAGTTTTTTTTTTTCTCAAAATATATGAGAAGGTTCTCTCACTTGAAAGCAAGATGTCTTCTCAGAAAAATACTTCAATATGTTTTCAATGTTATATTGCAGATATTTCAATTTTATATTACAGATATTACCAGGAATAATGAACGAAGATGCAGGAATAAGAAACATGGCTGTCAGGTCACTAGGGATGTGTTGTCTGTTAAATAAAGATCTGGTTCTAGTACATCTACCACTGTTTATGCAGGTATAAAAAAAATGTATAAATTTTGTACAGCCAATATAATACAGTTCAGTGTTCCAGCTAAGCCGTTTTCACAGGGCGGTCCGCCCGCCCTTTCCCGAGTGACGCCCTGTGCCCTTTTTAAGACGCCCTGCCCATTTTCGAAAGTCCATACCTTTATTGCTGTAATATGTTGATGAAAATACAATTATTCTACCTGTCTTCATATTTATGACAAGTTTATGACCCTCAGCTAATTAACATTTACAGCAGGTGTAATAAGTTGTGATTACAGATAATCCGCTTATTGACATCGGATGGGTCATTAATCCGTTAATTAAACTTCATAATTGATCATTGTAATAATTTTTCTCATTAAATTCGGTCAGTCAGCATTTCAATTTCAATATTTCTCAAAAGATGACAATTTGCGTTTGATGTATCTGTAGATCGTCTGTTGTTTATATATGTCAAAGATTTTTTTTTAAATTGATCTTTTAAACTGTTTTAATCCAGAAGAAAGTAAAAACAATGCTTGACTGTACCTTTCATTGAATATCTATATCCAAATTAAATTAATTAAAGCTGTAATCCATGATCACAAATTGACTGCTTTGTTTACATTTGTTGAAAGCCATGTGCTTTTTTGGCGGGAAAATTCGGAAAACCCCCTTAACAAGAAACAGTTACATTTCATTGTTATTTATAGACAGTAAGATTTTCATTTTGATTAACTGCTAAGATTATTTCATTAAAAATGAATACTTTCTTGGGTGAAACTGATAATACTTTAATACTCTACATCTAGGGTGTGTAAAATGGTAAAGGGGGGGATTTTTTTTAATATATTTTTATATATATAATATTACAAATATAAGTTTAACAGTCTGAAAAGACATGGTTAAATGGATTTTAATTCTGAAAAATTCAATGTGGTTTATTATAATTCATTTATTATTTCTATCATAATCAGAAACACTGGGCTACATGTATTAGGCATTTCAAACATTTATTATTGCCTTTATAAGAACATTCAAGACTATTAATAAGTATGTATCTGTAGTATAAATACCCTGGTAGGGCCTTAAAATTTCTACTGGGCCCTTGGAAAAAAGTTTTGGGATCCAGGTTGGCCCCTGGAGAAAAAATAAGGTATTGTTCCTGACTGTATTGCAGATCTAGTGTAGTATTTTAACTGACATGCACAATTCATTTCACTAATGAAATAAAAATAATTCTACAAAACGCCGCTGCACTCTGCATTGCAACCTAATCTTAGACCTACCATGCATCAAAAATGTTCTAGGGAAGACTGAGCTAGTAATATACGTCCTTGCATGGTCCCTTTAATATTGTTACCCAAAATAAGGTTGATTTTCATCTAGCGTAAAAATGACTAAACCCCCTCAAAACTCCTAGCTGAAACCCCTGCAGTTAACATAAGACAATGATTGACATGCCCTTTTTGAAATATCAATCATCGTGCTAAAGTGCCCTATTCATGATTGGCTCCCTGCCCTTTTGAAATCCTAGCTGGAATACTGATAATAAATAAGGAGACCTGTTATTTTTGTTGCTTCTCCATCTTCAAGATCAAATAAATTAAATGGGTATCTACTCCTAAGTTAATGTGAAAACTGATGTTTGTTATGGTACCTAATGATTATTACTTTTCATTTAGTTGGGGAATTAATTTTGGAAGACAAAATGATTTCTAGATATCCTTTCCATCATATCTATCAGTTTTAGATTTTATGCCTCCTACTTCCACTTCCTCCATGAGCACACAAATTTACTTTTCTTGCACCCAAAGTAAAAGTAACAAACCTAACAAAATAGGGTTATCCAGAAGGTTTTCATTACTGGTAAACATGTCCAAGACAAGTGGAAAAAGGAGTTGGACAAGTTGAATCAACATATAAGTTGTCCGACTGGACAAGTGAAAAATAATCAAATAAGAACTAATTCCCTTATTAAACTTCAATTGTAAAGTTTACAGAGTGCTCCATTCTGACACCCATCCAGCTGCTCAGGGAAAATTCTGAAAGTATGGAAAAAAAGGAGGATTCAGACAAAACTATTGCAAGCTGAGAAAACTGTTCACCTAGTTCACTGCATGACTTCATCAGATGACAATACCACTACTATAAATCTGGCTAAAAATAGACATACTATAAAATCAATTCAGTCACAGAGATAATGTGTTTAGGTTAATAACAAATTACTCAAAGTATTTTTAGCTCACCTGGCCCAAAGGGCCAAGTGAGCTTTTCTCATCACTTCGCGTCCGTCGTCGTCATTAACTTTTACAAAAATCTTCTCCTCTGAAACTACTTGGCCAAATTAAACCAAACTTGGCCTCAATCATCATTGGGGTATCTAGTTTAAAAAATGTATCCAGTGACCCGGCCAACCAACCAAGATGGCCGCCATGGCTAAAAATAGAACATAGGGGTAAAATGTAGATTTTGGCTTATATCTCTGAAACCAAAGCATTTAGAGCAAATCTGACGGGGTAAAATTGTTTATCAGGTCAAGATCTATCTGCCTTGAGATTTTCAGATGAATCTGACAACCTGTTGTTGGGTTGCTGCCCCTGAATTGGTAATTTTAAGGAAATTTTGCCGTTTTTGGTTATTATCTTGGATATTATTATAGATAGAGATAAACTGTAAACAGCAATAATGTTCAGCAAAGTAAGATCTACAAATAAGTCAACTTGACCAAAATGGTCAGTTGACCCCTTAAGGAGTTATTGCCCTTTATAGTCAATTTTTAACCATTTTTCGTAAATTTTTGTAATCTTTTACAAAAATCTTCTCCTCTGGAACTTCTAAGACAAATTTAACCAAACTTGTCCACAATCATCATTAGGGTATCTAGTTTAAAAAATGTGTCCGATGACCCCGCCCACGAAACAAGATGGCCGACATGGCTAAAAAATAGTACATAGGGAAAAAGGCAGTTTTTGCCTCATATCTCTGAAACCAAAGCCTTTAGAGCAAATCTGACAAGGATAAAATTGTTCATTAGGTCAAGATCTATCTGCCCTGAAATTTTCAGACCAATCAGGCAACACTTTGTTGGGTTGCTGCCCCTGAATTGGTAATTTTAAGAAAATTTTGCAGCTTTTGGTTATTATCTTGAATATTATTATAGATAGAGATAAACTGTAAACAGCAATAATGTACAGCAAAGTAAGATCTACAAATAAGTCAACATGACCAAAATTATCAATTTATCCCTTAAGGAGTTATTGCCCTTTATAGTCAATTTTTTACAATTTTCATAAATTTTGTAAATTTTTGTAAATTTTTACAAAATATTTTCCACTGTAACTTCTGGGCCAAGTTCATTATAGATAGAGATAATTGTAAGCAGCAAGAATGTTCAGTAAAGTAAGATCTACAAACACATCACCATCACCAAAACACAATTTTGTCATGAATCCATCTGTGTCCTTTGTTTAATATGCACATAGACCAAGGTGAGCGACACAGGCTCTTTAGAGCCTCTAGTTTTCTTTCGACTTTGGATTAAGTTCTATTACTCTAGAAAAATTATGTTTATGAGTGTATTACCTTACAGTATCTATTGATGTTCATCTTCCTTGCCATGAATTCAGGAAGAAAGAATTTTCTTTTTTCAGGCTTCCCAGATTGATGTTGAATGTGTCAGAGTGACTGCTCTGAAAGTCATGATTGATTTGTTACACATGCATGGGACAGAAGCTATTAAACATGCTGGAAAGAAGCCTGTTGAAGAACAGCTCAATACTAGTAGTGATCTCTATGAGGAACCAGCTGATAATTCTGAACAAGCATCAAAACTGGTAGCATTCCTTACAGCTTTCTTGGATAGCCAGGTATTCAATTAAGACAATTATTCTTGAATTTCTTCTGTGTAATAAAAAAGGTTAGCACTCTGTCTGTCTGTCAGCACTTCTATGTCAAATGATTAGATTGCCTCATGTGATTTCCATAATTTTCGTGCGCAGTCTTTATACCTATTAAAGGAAAGCCTCTTTCAATTTTTGTGAAAATTCGATCATCAAGATTATTCTCTTATTGGTTAAAAAATCCAAAAATTTGAGAAACATCTTTTTTCTAATCTTGGAGAGGGTGCTTTATTGCATTGACCTTGTCAGTCTGTCTGTTTATCCTAAAAAGTTCTCTAACACTCCTGAGGTACTACTAAACATAATGACTTCATAGTGTTCAACAGCTTGACAATGATGAGTTGTAACATGTAACACTTTTCTCAATCAAACACTTTCACAAATGTGCAAGCAGGGTTCTTGCTGCCATGTTAGTTTTCTATTTAAAATAGGTTTTTCTGATGGTGTATATAAGAATTAAAATTTAACAAGTGAACATATAATAACCAATTTCCTATCATGTTGATTTAATTCCAATGTTTCACTTTGTGATATACTTGACATGATGAAGTGCTAAAGATTTCAAACTGTTATACATGTATTTAGCATCTAGGATCAACTAAACAAGTTTATCTATATTAAGACATTCTGTTTCAGAACTCTGAACTACGTACAATTGCTGCAGAAGGCATGTCTAAGCTAATGTTGTCAGGAAGAGTGGTATCTTCAAAGATCCTGTCTCACCTATTATTGTTATGGTATAACCCAGTAACTGAAGATGATACACACCTACGTCATTGCCTTGGAACATTCTTGCCAATATTTGCTTTTGCTGGAAGGTAATTAATATACAGATTACAAACTTTTGAATTCAGTTAATGATATAGTTAAATGCTTCACACACAGTATTTATCTGATGTTCTTTTAAGCTTTTAAAAACTAGTAATGCCTGAAACATAAGCTATAAGCAGTGTTTGTTGAGTAAATTCCTATATCTGGATTAATATAAAAATAAGGAGATGTGGTATGATTGCTAATGAGACAACTATCCACAAAAGTTCAAATGAAGTGGATGTAAGCAATTATAGGCAACCGTACAACCTTCAACAATGAGAAAAACCCATACTGTATAGTCGGCTATAAAAGGCCTCGATATGAAAAAATATGAAACAATTTAATTGAGAAAACAAACTTCCTAATTTATAACAAAACAATTTACGAAAAACAAATATGACAGACATGAACCAACGACAACCACTGTGCTACAGGCTCCTGGCTTGAGACAAACACAAAAAGAATGTGGCAGGTTTAAGCATGTTGAAGTACTACTTGTATTTTCTTTAAAAAGATTGCATATCTTTTCTTAATTTGATCTGGAAGTATACAAATGTTCTTTTATATTTAGAAAAATTCCTTCTTATTTGAAATTATAACGGACACAAAATGCTACCAAACAAAACTGATCACTTTTCTAGAAAGGGATCACAGTTCAGTTTGCCATTATTTATTTAGTGGAAGAAGACTTTGAAGTCTTCTGAAATCCTATACTGCCGGCTGTAAAATCATTGAACCGTCACCAGGAGTGTTGCCGTATCCTTTTCTGTGCTTTACTGTTTCATAACTTCCGTGCCATATCTTGACACCGATGTTTACACATGATCGGTTTCAAGTTTGTCAAATAGCATCTGCATCATTGTGTAAAACAAAAGTACAGTTAGACTTGAAAAACAATCACTACCGTTTGTGTTATAATTTCTCATGTTTTAATGTTTTAATATCTACCTTTTTATTATGTCAATTATAAGATTTCATCTCATCTTACATGTACGTTACTTATTATTTACTTGTAACAGGATGTTTTTAAAGTTAGGTAGTACGCATGCGTTAATTTAATTATAATCAGAAACTCATTCGAATGATTCAGCGCTCTCTATTCACTGCCGTTTCTCGTTGGAGTAATCGGAATTAAACAACTGGATTATTAGGGTTAATCCAAACCACATTGGTTTCGTATCTGCACATGTGCATAAATGGGAAATTTAATTGTGCATCTGAAAGTTTCAAAATAATGATGAACAGAATTTTCATTAATTCAAACAATGCATCTTATGTTAATTTCAAGTATCTACGTGGAGAGTACGACTTCAACTCAATGATGCTAGACAAAAAATACACGGATTTAGTTGTTCCGTCTGTGTTCAAATCTATAACGCAATCAAGTCATATTCCGGTTTTAGAAAACATGTGTTTTTTAAAACGAAAGTTAGAATATTTCAGTATGTTATTGCGATAATAAAGAGTCAAAAGCACACTTATATCTGCTGGTGCTTTTCACTTCAAACAATGCACTGTCAGTTGACAGATTGAGAAATATCAATGTACGAACTAATGTCAGTTGACGGAATCCATATCGAAAGTTCGTAGATTTTATGTCAATCATTGTCGGAATGTCCCCAACGATTACCTTTATTGCCTTACGTTTCAAAGTTTTAAGTGATCAAAAACGGGATTTAACATATAAATAGTCCAGCTTTTTACCGTTATTCGTCATGAAGGTACCCCCATTACGACCCTCGAGTACGGAACCAATAATTTGTTGCCATCAATCATTCATGAAACATTTCAGAAAATGACCGTTTGACGCCTGATGGAAAATGGCATTCCTACCCTCGTACTTTTGTGTAAAAATATCAGACATGTTAGATGAAAAACAAATATTATTAACAACAGCAAATTAGTGGTTCACGATTTGGGTCAAGCACATACAGAAAATGAACGGGTTTGAAATGTTAACAAGTGCTCAAAACCCAATCCCTGACCTCAGACAAATCTGCATTGGATATATTTAGCATTTTTCAATATATGTTTATAATGAGAAAAACAAGTAACTGTGAACAACTAGAACAATTCATGATTAACTGATTGATGTTTGATGTTAAACCCTACTTTAAGCACACTTGACTAAAATCATGGTGGCCAGTTTTTTTTATACGAAGGAAGTTGGAATACCCAAAGTGAACTATCTACCTTTGACAGAAAAACTTTCAAGTGAAACCTAATTAATTGCTAGTATAATTGCTTGCATCAAGTTCCCCATGCTGAGACGAATGTATGGAATTATAGAAAATTTAATTTGAATCTACAGAATTGGTAGATTTTTTAGTTTAGTATAGTCAGTTTTGGTTGAGACATGAGTATTATTAAAGAATATTATTTTTGGAAGAAAAAAATATGTCGAAAGCAATAATGGGACAGAGCAGACTGGGTTGGTGTGGGCTGCTTTCACGGTAATTCAAGTTACCTTTTATGCATCTTCTTCCACTTCAGAGCTGTCAGCTCTTTGATTAAAATTAAAGATGCATAAACAAGAGTACATAACGATCAGAGCATTGAAATATCCACTTTACTATACTTGTAGGATATTATTCAGCCATTTCTGACATTCAATGTATCGAATAAATTCTTAAAAATTGAAAAGTAGCAAAGTGCTGCAGTCATTGTGAATTCACAGCGACAACAGATAGAGGTTTTATAATGTAAAATTGTATTTGTTGACTGACTGGAGTACAATGGAAATGCAGAGAATGGGTTGAAACATCACTTAAAAATATGAATATCAAACCAGTGGAAAATATGATTCACACATGTAGTAACATACAAATCATTACATTTTTTATTAAAGACTTCTTTGATTTTCAGATCTAACCAAGAAATGATTGAGGAAGCCTTCCTACCAACATTGAAGACCATAGTCAGTGCTCCATTGTCTAGTCCACTTGCTGAAGTCAATCCAGACAATGTGGCTGAATTGTTGGTACAACTGACAAACTCTAAATTGCTACTGGAAAATCAGAAATCTGAAGAACAAACTACTGTATGTATGCTTATCAAATACTATTGTATTATTAATATTATATTTATTTATTACAGCTGTTATCCTAATGCTAGTGAGTTAAAGGTTTGGTTGGCTTGCTTGCTTTGTTTGTATTCAAGTTTGCTCAAGCATTGTAATTAAGATTGACATCTGCAAACGATATAAGTAGGCAGAGTTAAACCTGTATAGAGGTAAATTTGATTATTTGATAATGTCCAATCAAATTTAAATATAATGTATACAAGTTTAACTCAGCCTTTTTATATTGTTTTCAGATGTCAATCTTAATTACAGTGCTTGAGCAAACATTAATACAAACAAAGCAAGCAAGCCAACCAAACCTCTAACTTGCTAGCATTAGTATAACAGCTCTAAATGATGATCTAGAATCAAATCTACTGAAATTTTCATGTTAGATATATTAACTGAAATATGAATTTTAAGTTCTCATACAAAGTTAGGGTGTAAAACAAACCAATAAAAAAGAATTGTCTTTCATAATATATTGAGGTATTGTGGAGCGCTATCAAGCATGTTTAGCCCTGCCACATTCTATATGTATCTTTTCATAGTAAGAAGCCTGTTTTTCAGTGGTTTTCATGTTGCTGCCTTTTATATTTGCTTTTGGTTTATTTTGTTACAAGAAAGGCATTGGTAGTTTGTTTGAAATGTTTCACATTTTGTCATGTTTGTGCCTTTTATAGCTGACTATACAGTATGGGTTTTGCTTTTGTTGAAGGCTGTAGATGACCTATAGCTGCCTAAATCCAAGTCATTTGGACTCTGGTGGAAATTTGTCTTTCTGGAAATCATTCCACATCTCCTTATTTTATAGCATATGGATAAATGATGAAATCATTCAAAGGAGTGTCGACTTAATTATATGCCAAGAATAAAATGTATTAGGCTAGGGAAATGTTGAGACCTCTTATCATTGCTTTGGTATTCTATCTAAAGTAAATTTAGTGACTAGTTTTCTTGATAATAGAGATGGCATTGAAAATTATAAGATAAATTAGGTCATGGGAACTTGTCATTACATGCTGTCTGCTAATACTTTTTAGCTATTACTATACATAATGAAATTCATTCTGTTTTTAGTCTTTATAGTAGAATTAGCTAATGACAACTTGCAATCACATACTATATGTTTATATTTTTTAGAAGAATCAAGGCCATGATAATTTAGCAATTACGATACATAATGAAATTCTGTCTGTTTATAGTTATAGTAGAATTTAGTGAATGACAACTTTTAATGACGTACTATCTGTTTTATATTTTTTTAGGAGAATCCAGGCCATGACAACTTAGCTATAACAATATGTAATGAAATTCTGTCTAACCCTGAGGCCAATACTCTGAAGGTGTTCGTCAAAGTCTTAAACCAGCTGGAATTTTCACCTAATAATGTTGTTAACCTTAAAGAGATTGCAGTGCTAACTGAGAAGATTTCAAAAGTAATTATACATACTGCATTTACTTGTCCGCTCGTCCAATAATTATTTCCGTCACACTTTCACAGGTACTACAGAACAGAATTTGATTCAGGAGCTTGATAGTGATGAGTTGTAATCTGTGAGCAATATTTTTGGGGTCTGTCAGACACCTTCTTCCTGTTTGCCTATTCTTTGAATTTTTCAATTTGTTGAATGAACTTAAAGTTTTTGTCACACAATTCTTAAGTTCTACTGAACAGAATGACATACTATTTCACCAGCAGCTTGAGAGATAAGTTGGAAGGTGTGAACACTTTTCATATTTGTCAGACACCTACTTCCTGTTTGCTGATACTTTGAATTTTTCAATATGTTGAATGAACTTAAAAAAATTTGTCACACTATTATCAAAAAGTGTTGAACAACATGACTTTATATTTAGTCATTAGCTTGGCAGTGATGAGTTGTAACTTGTAAGGGCTTTTCAGATCTGTCTGATAACTATTTCCTGTTTCCGATAATTTGAATTTGGAGTGGGGTTATGCTAAGCACAACAATGTGAGCAACTTATATTTTCTGTTTACATATCTAAATGAGGAGGCCAGTTTTAAGAGTATTGCTTCTGCCACTATCAGATCAAATTGATCAGTATGACTATGTCCTGAAGCTAACATGCACAGTGTAGTTTGTCACTTTTCATTATGCCGCTAAGATTATCTAGGAGATCATTTGGAAAAGAAATTAATTTTGACGAATGTATTTCTGTCATCTGATTTGGTCAGTGGACAACCAAATCTAACAACACATCACAATATAACCTAATGAAACAATTCTGGTCCAAAAACCACTAGGAATTTCTAACAATGTACAACGAAACTCTTAAATGTAAATAGAATTGGTAAAGTAATAGCTTAAATTTGAGTTCATGACAATTCGAATAAATACTGTGGATTCAATAATATTCGTTGGATACTAATTTTAGCGGATTTCGTGGGTACTGGGGAACCATGAATATAAATGTTCAATGAATTACAAATTTTCTAAAGGAATGTATGCAAACTTTGCCAAAGACACGAAATTAAATATCCAAGAAAATGCAAGTTTTCATCAATCCACGAAAATTGGTACCCACGAAAATAAATGAATCCACAGTAATAATAAATAAAAAATGATATTCAATTTATTTTAAAGGTTATAAAGGACAACCCATGTCTGAAGACAGTAGAAAAGATCAAAGCTTATGTTAATTCATTGCTTCCTGAGGAATCCCCAAGCATGGAAGAAGATAATAACACTGATGAGCAAACAGAAGGTAATCAAAATTTGTAAGAATGACAAAGAGGCTGTAAAGACAAGATAGCAATGTATATTTTACTTTGTCCTGTCAAAAGTATTGTACATGAAGAAAATTTGTATTGGTTTTAGGAGAGCTGACCCAAGAGGCCTTTATGAGTTTTTGCTATCAATTGTTGTACAGGGTTCGTTTTCATATTCCTGTCTTATAAAAATAAGGAGATGTGGTATGATTGCCAATGAGACAACTATCCACCAAAGTTCAAATGAAGTGGATGAAAGCAATTAAGCAATTATAGGCAACTGTACGGCCTGCAACAATGAGAAAAAAACCATACCATATAGTCTGCTATAAAAGGACCTGACATGAAAAATATGGAACAATTCAATTGAGAAAACTAACGGCCTAATTTATAATAAAACAATTTACAAAAAACAAATATGACAGACATAAACCAACGACAACCACTGAACTACAGGCTCCTGACTTGGGACAGGCACATAAAGAATGTGCGGGGTTAAGCATGTTTGTGAGCGCTCAACCCTCCTCCTATCCTGGGACAGTGGTGTTACAGGACAACATAAGAACAAACTATAAAAATCAGTTGAGAATGGCTTAACTCATTATACTTTTTTTAAACTTATTTCTTGGCAAGAATGTAAAAGTACTTATATCTGAATGCCTATAAATTCTACCACCTTTTATGTATGGGATACTAGTTTAATTTGATGTTATAAGTGCTGATGTACTTTTTTGTTTCACCTTGACAGAGTCAAAAAGCGAGACATAGGTATGTTGTTTCTGGCGGCGGCGTCAACAATGTATTAGTTTGTGATTAGGTCTAGTTTATGGTGAACCACTAGTGGTAGGTCAATGATATTTGGTATGCAGTTGTATTAGCATTGGCACATCTCATTTCCATCGATTATTTGGCCTGCCCCCTCAGTCATGATATATTGGCTTTGAAACTTTTGCTTAGTTTACATGTATTAGTTTGTAATTAGGTCAGTTTATGGGGAACCACTAGTGGTAGGTCAATGATATTTGGTATGCAGTTGTATAAGCATTGGCATATCTCATTTCCATGGAGATTATATGGCGCCGCCCCCTCAGTCATGGTCTATTGACTGAAACTTTTGCTTTGTTAACATGTATTAGTTTGTGATTAGGTCAGTTCATGGGGAACCATTAGTGATAGGCCAATGTTAATTAATTCGTATGCAGTTGTATAAGCATTAGCACATCTCATTTCCATGGAGAATATTTGGCCCTGCCCCTTCAGTCATGGTCTATTAACTTTGAAACTTTTGATTAGTTTACATGTATTAGTTTGTGATTTGATCAGTTTAAGGTGAACCACTAATGTTAAGTCAATGATATTTGTGCAAGTTTCATTTCCATGGATATTATATAACCCCACCCCTCATCATGGTTCATTGACTTTGAAACTTTTACATAGTTTACAAGTTAATGTTTGTGTTTAGGTTTATTTAAAGGGAAAGACTTATGATAAGTCAATGATATTTGGTATGCAGTTGTATTAGCATTTGCACATCTCATTTCCATGGAGATTGTTTATCCATGTACCTTCAGTCATGGTTCATTGACTTTGAATATTTGCATAACTTGCATGTTAAAGTATTACTATTTTAATTTCAACATTTGCATTATCAAAAATACAAAAAGGCGAGACATATCTCTGTGTTAACAGTTTATGATAGTTTATAATACCTTTTTGTAGCCACAGAGGAGAAAGGTGATGAAGATGCCAACACTACAATTGACCGTTCAGCTCTTAATGACACAGCTCAACAATTGGAAGGATCCTTGTTTCAAGAATCAAGAACTTTGAAGAGAAGTAAATAATTGTTTTGTTGAATTTTCAGAATTTTATATTATTAACTATAAAATGTAGTTTTACAATTTTCCCTTATGTGCAGGGGTCACCACACCAGGCAAAGTGAGCGACATAGTCGCCCTAGCACTCCCCACTTTGCTCTAGAGAAGCCCCAGGGAGAAGTTTATGTCGCCCTCGATTTTTAGTAAAATTCCCCAATGTCCCCTCGTGATTTTTGAAAAATCCTCAAGCCAAACATAAACGATCCGATAATTGACGAATATACAAAATATGTTTTCCCAGAATTCAGAACTGATTTGTCCGTGGTATTATACTCCAACATTAAAATTGCTTGACAGGATGTACTATAAGCAAGGAACAAGAATAAAACTAGATTTTGCGATGTTTGTTTATTGACCGCCATCTTTGTTATTGAAATTGTAGAGGGCGCCCTTTTATCTTTTCAAAACTCTTATCATTTACCTAATCCATATTAATATGCAATTTTAATTTGATTATCTTATATTTACTGATAGATATCAAAATTTGATGCTTCATTAAAAATTTCTCATTTCTTTTCAAATGTTGCATAATGTGAACTGGAATCCGCTTGTTCTTTTAACTGTACAAAGTTTAGTAGTCAGCTGGGAACCAGGACAATGATGTATAAACTACAAAATGTAGTAGGTTTTTCAGGATTTGGTGTTACAGACTGCTGCATGTGCTTTGTTTTAGCTAAAGGTCCTTTAAACAATATTTTGATGAATACTATAACATTAATTCGCTAAAGGACGGCACTATTTTACTTCCAAAGTCGTATATTTTTGTAAACTAGTACGTACGAATTTTCCGCTGCGTCTCGCACCATATTTGATTTCGATTTACAAGTGTTTATTCAATTTCCGGTAATGAAAAATACACAACTTTTTTTATGTTACTTTTTGTGATTTTGTCATATTTTAACACTCGTGAAGTGTTCTAGAATTATTTATATGCATTTCCAATGGCAACTTGATGCTGGGAAACGGCCTTTTCCATGAAAATACCACAAACAATCGCACACGGTTTGAAATTAACAGAGTTTCACTATACATTTTCAACAAGTGACAAACAGTTTTTCTTTCTGAATTCCTATAAAAAATAATTTAAAGAACAAATATATTTTTTAATTATGATCTTAGCAATGAAAGACATTGAAACCGTATTCAAGATATTTTAACTTACTTATCAATTGATTATTATTTTTTTAAAGGGTTCTTGCTTTATTTAATGTTGTTAAACACAATTGTGAGCAATTCAAAACATACTTTTGTTTGAAAAATCTTTGAGATGCAGCAAAATTTGACCAATCTCAAATCTTCAATTCATTCAGACCTAGCTGCACAACTGTAGCTCTTATGGTCCTTATGATATTTTTTGACAATTTGCTTCGGTAGGTACAAATGTAATTCAGACCACAAGCATGGCAAGGCGAGGAAATACTACCTTAGCAGTTGTCATGCAAAAATGTGTTGAAAAATAACAAAAAGATGAAGATGCTTGGAAAATTTGATTCTTAAAAAGTATTAACGCGATCCTTCAATTTTCCCTGAAGTGTCCCTGTTGGGGCTTCACTTCTCCCAGAAGTATCCCTGTTGGGTCTTCACTTCTCCCTGTTTGGCAGCCAGGGAGAAGTCACTTCTCCCTATAATTCTGAAGTGTGGTGACCCCTGTATGTGAACTTAATTTTTTCTTTTAGAATTATGATTGAATGCACACATACACAATGAAGTATGGTTTCTAGGAACAATTAAAATGAAATCTTTGAAATAAAATTCAAAAACATTTAGCTGTTAAATTTATCATACTTTTTTTTTAAATTGTATGTCATATTTATTTCCTCACTTTCTATTATATCCTCACAAATGAATGGGAAGTATGCTGCAATAAACTTACCTGTCTGTTCATCTACTAGTCTGATGGTAAACTCACAATCTATAATTTTCTTTACATATTTCTCAGCATTTGTTTTGAAAAATAATTTGATAGCTTGTATAGAATTTGATAATTTTGTGTGGTTCTGTTTAAGTGATTTTCATATTTGCTAGGCAGTCACTTCCTGTTTGAAAGTCCTTGGAATTTTTTTTATTATACCCAATAAGCATGGAATTTTCCTGCAATAGGTAACGTGTTTGGTATACTTTGCTTGACATTGCTTGCAACTTATCATTCAATATGGTGTTGCTTGTTAGTTTTTATTTACAAAAGTTATTTCTATTGTAAGAATTTATAGGTTTTACTCATTTTGACAAAAGGAATGTAAAGGGAATGCACATTTGACTTTTTTGTTTTTGAAAGAAAAGGCATGGCATTTAGAAAAAAACCTATGATGGGGAGAAAAGGGACATGGAGGTTTGTAGGTTGGTTATGATAATTCGCTTTACTCATTTGCTTTTCTAAAGTATAAAGTTATATTTATCTTTTCAGTAAAATCAATAACATCAACCAAGTCATTAGATGCATCAGAGTTAGAAGCTGATATCAGAGAATTACCAGTTTTTCCAGAAATTCAGGAAGAACCAGATACACCAAGGTTGATTGGAGTAAAAACACCATCTAAAAATGTTAAACGAACACCAGCCAAAGGTATAACACCTCTTAAAGGTCAAACCACCAAGACAATGAAACCATCTAAACTTACAGATGTAGAAAGCAGAACTGCTACATCTTCTGAAGATAACCCTGACACTGAATCTGTATCTTCTGGGAAAGAAATTACTTCAAAGGAAAAATCTACATTAAGAGGCAGAACACCAACAAAAAGAAAAAAAAAAGATGAGGAAGAAAGCCCTGTTCAAACCAAATCACCTAAGAAGAGTTCACCTGTTAAGAAATCTCCAACAAGGAAAGAATCCCCTTCTAAGTCTCCAGCTAGAGCAGATAAATCTCCAAGAGGGAGAACACCCACAAAAAGGAAAACAACTACCGAAGAACAAAGCCCAGTTCACAGAAAGTCATCTAAAAAGAGTTCACCAGCTAGAGTTGAGAAATCACCTGGTAGAGGAAAAACACCTACTAAAAGAAAAGCAGCAGCAGAAGAAAGTCGTTTGCAGGGCAAATCACCTAAAAAGCTGACACCTGCTAAAAAATCTCCCCCAAAAACAGAAAGTATTGGTAAAAGCCGAACAGCCACAAGAGGCCAGAAAACTGCTGAAAGAGTGCAAACCCCTGCAAAAAGAAAATCTCCAGCAAGAGGGAAATCAGCAAAATCCCCATCTAGATCAGAAACACCTTCAAAAGGAACACCACAAAAAGGCAAATCTCCAAACAGGAAAGAGACTGCAGCAAAAAGCAAATCTCCTAGAACAGAGATGCCTACAAAGGATAAATCGCCTAGAACAGTGACACCTACAAAAAGCAAATCTAATACCAGAACAGAGACTCCAACCAGAGCAACACCTCCAGTGAAAAGAACAACTAGGGGTAAATCTCCAAAAACATTGACTCCAACAAAAGGACAGCCATCAGCCAATGCCCCAACTCCAGGGGACAAAAAGATACAAAGCAAAGAAAAACCTTCAGAGAGTCCAGCTTCTGTTAGAAGTAGAAGGGCAGTAGACCAAAAGAAAGATGGAGCTAAACCAGTAGGTAGTACATCCAAGAAATCACCATCTCCAGTGAAAAATACTGGCAGGAGTACTAGAGGAAAGACATCATCTTTACTCTCTGATGATGAGCTGTCATCAAATTCCTCAGTAAAATCACCAAGGGTCAATAAAAAGGCTGTATCTGCTTCATCAGAGGATGAGGATGATATACCATCAACTGACTCATCTGTAATCTCTGTCACAAGAAGTACCAGACGCAATAGAAATGTGTCAGGAGAGCCATCAACTAATTCTCCTGTTGTTTCTGTGACCAGAAATACAAGACGTGCCAGGAATATGGTATGTGACGATGACTTACCCTCCACCGATTCAACTCTGAAGACAAGCCCAAGAAATACTAAGAAGAAAGTGCTAGCCAAAGGTACCAGATCAAAAGCCATAAATACTCCTTCAGTATCTGACGAGGAAGATACAATGTCAACTGATTCATCAATTAAAAAAACAGTCAGGGGTACCAAGAAAAAACTCATATCAGACAGTTACGAGTCTGTAAAATCTTCAACCAGATCGACAAGAAATAAGCCAGTTGATACCTCAGATGATGATTCTGTGAAATCTACAGCTAGTGGTAGACGTTCTGCAGCAACTAAAAAGGTATCTGATGACGACACAGATTCCTCTGTTGTATCAGGGACCAGGAGAACCAGGACAAAAGGTTCTACCAAACCTTCCATTACATTACAAGAACTAGCTGCAGACAGGTATGGTAGAAAAGTGACTTGAATAAAGGGGTTTTGGGTCAATAATAAAAATGTTATCAGCAATGAGACTTGAATACATGTTTTAGAAAAAATATTTAATTAGAAAAGCCGAATTTAAGATGTTCAAGTTTTCTTTTATTAATAAAATATATTTGATGTTAAAAACTTAACAGATAAAGCAGTAAACTATTTCTTTCCTTATAACTTACAGAAAACAAGTGGTCAAGATTTGGTAGAAATTTTCTTTTTGAATCCAATCATAAATGTTGAAACAACAGAACATATGAATTCTTACTCAGTTGCCAGAAAATTAAAATATTTCTCCCAGTTGAAATTAGATTTTCAACATTCAAACTTTTAAGAGCATGTTTTTTTCGAAAAATTTAAATACCTCATTCTATCAAAAATTAAGAAATATTTAAACTCATGTTAAAACAGAAGGGAAGAATTGGTTTCCCCCAAATGTTTATAGGTCATTGTGTAAAATCATATTTTCAAATAGGATAACAATGGTGCTGTTTCCAATGAAGCTACTGATAACATGACTAAATTAGCTACCAATCACAACACCTAGAAATACTGTTATATTGTGTAATTTAACCATTAATAGTTGTATAATTTGCCATATAATGAAAGTTTAATAACTTTCCTTTTATATGAGAACAAACAGCATTTTATAAATTTCCAGATTAAGCATGGTTAATTTATTATTATGTCTATTTTTAGTGATTCTGAAAGTGGTTCTCCAGCTAAGGTATCCCATCATCGGATTAAATCAACTAGGAAAATGACTAAAGACCTGGAAACTGTTTTAGATGAAAGGTAAAGATAAAATATGATGTTAAAATTAAACATTTAATCCTAGATTATAAGAATTTTTAAAAAGAGGTCTTAAAACTTTACAAGTAATACTGATCTTGTAATTAACTATAGTTTTCAGGCTTGTTTTCTGACATACTGCATGAAAATAGTTTTAAAATAGACAGCTGTTTAGAATATGATTTTTTTTTCAATTTGCTAGACACTTTTCGGATATTGTAATTATGGATATTAAGTGGTCACAAGTTAATGATAAAGGTCTTGTACAATTCCAGAGCTCCAAATTATTGCTATAAATTTGGAAGATAAAACCATCAACTATGGTTTGCATGGTAATAAATGATAAAAATCTTATATTGCTTTAATTTTCGTGAATAAGCTACCTAAAAATTGTGTCAAATATATTGTGTGTGTCCTGTCATTTGTAAGAGACATTCTTATTACCTCCTATAAAATTGTTGTCAGTGGCAGCATCATGTAAACAAAAAGAAAACTGCAGTGTCTTTAATTTATTTGATTGTTTTCTCCACAATTGTAGTGATTTGGATACCGTATTTGAATCTCCATCCAGAGGAACAAGGTCAGCAAAACCAGCTAAAAAGGCTAAAGATGAAGAAGTTTCAAAGTAAGAACTTTCAATGTGAAAATGTCAATTCCTCAATGATCAGTTAAACATCATTCTTACACATCTGACCTGACATTTATAAAAGAATGATCTTTAAAAAAAGCCAAAGTTATTTTGGGTTTAAGGCTTTGTTATATTATGAATTATTATGTAAATGTTCATTTGTATTATTTATTTTAACCAAATGATTTTCAATTGTTTTCCCTTTAAGGTGGTACATAACACTACAGGGAGATAACTCTGTAAAAGTCAGCTGAATGTTTCAATCACGTCCTATTGTTAAGGAAATATTAAGATTCTCAATGATCAAAATTAGTGTTTGTCAAACTGCTATATATCCAATGAAATTTTTCCGATAAAGTGTGTGGTTCAAGTTTTTTGAAATTTTTATATTTTTGTCAAAGGGTCAAAGTAAATATTTGTCAAAATTTTATGAAAATTAAACGAGCCAAATTAATTTTAGTCAGGGTGTTTGGTACCACCTTAAGCATGTTAAGTACAATTTATATACTAAAATAAGTATTTATAAACTTGCATATAAGGTCATCAGCCCTACAAATAACTGTATATTTCTAAACATTGTGAAAAATAATTAAATATTATTTGGTTAAAGATATTGATATCTATTTGTTTAAATGTTTTAAATATTTTTTTGATAATTTAAAAATTTCCAGTGAGAAGAAAGGTAAACCAACATTGAGGTCCAAACAAGATAGCAAGGCACCAGAACTCGATCAGCCTAGATCAAGGTAAGTTTTACATATCAAATTGAGTAACAAAAAACTTTCAGAGATTTGAGAATAGTAGGAAGTATATTCTTCACAGTAAGTTTACTGGTTTATAATGTCAAAGGCAGGATCTAACTTCCTGTATAATTAAATATAGAGTTTTTGATCTCGTAGCTTTATTGATTTTAGCATTCTGAGAAATAATATATAGATTACCTAAAAAAAACTATGAATCTAATAAAGCATCATTTTGATAAAACCTCTAACTGATACAGAATTGTTTCTTTGTCGATGGCAATTAGTAGCAAGACATTCAGTTTAACCTGGGTTTGTCATTTTGTTCTTGGAGAATTCATTTTTTGAGTGAAATTTTGTAATGTGGACTTGCAGGTCTGGCATTTGACTAAATTATTACTAAAATATAAACTCAAAATGAAAAAAAAAAGAAAAAATCAGTAACAGTGCACAATGCAAAAATGTTTGCTAATAAAAAATCCTGAGAGAAGTTTTCTTCCTGCACAATCAGACTTAAAATTTTTCATATAAGTTCAAATATGAATAGGTCAAAACACAAACAGGCACATATATTATATCGTCTACTTGCTTTCCCTAGAAACTGTTGGTAAGAACATGCAAAACAGAAATCTCTTGAAAACATTGACAAAAAACCATAGAATAAAAATAAAAAATTCTACTAAAACTTAGAAAGGGGGATCTCATCCACAGTGAACCTAATATAGTTTTCTCGTTTGAATTGTTTTACATTGTCATTTCAGGGCCTTTTATAGCTGACTGTGCAGTATGGGCTTTGCTCATTGTTGAAGGCCGTACGGTGACCTATATTTGTTAATTTCTGTGTCATTTGGTCTCTTGTGGAGAGTTGTCTCATTGGCAATCATACCACATCTTCTTTTTTATATAGTTGAATTGTTTTAAAATCCCTAAATGAACAAAATTACAGGATTAAAACAATATTAGTATAGTGAAGAAAATTATAGAAATCATTTGTACTCTGCTAGAAACAGAAAAAAAAATTGATCGGCCAATCCTCGCATTTTCTATCTCGGCTTCATACAAATATTTTAAACACTACACTATGTATACATGTAAATTATATAATTAGTTGACAGTAGAAATACTGAAAATGCATGCAATAGTTTTTTTCAATCACACAGCTGCTATTTTGGGGGGTATGTTCGTGTAATTATTTATGAATGAATTTTATTTTTTTATTTTTACAGGAGAACTCTGAGAAGCAAACAGACAGATTAATTAACATTAGATGGCAGCAGTAGTTTGCTCTTATTAATACCAGAACATCAATATAAACTTTGTTAATTTATACATGCATTAATTAAGCAATATTTGATTAGTCTATTTCATGTGTTCATTTTTGTAAAAGTTCTGACATTTTATTATTTTAAATTAAATAATTCAAAATTTGTGTTTTATTTTTACAACATATGGTGTAGAAAGGAAATATGGGAGTTATGTGGACAAGTAATACTATTATAACCCCACCACATTTTGTGCCTGAAATAATGTATTGTTTGTTGGTGGTGGTTGTATGCTATTGTACTGTACTTTTTTGTTGTAACTACTTTTATCTCATTCATGTCTTATTAGAAAAACAACTGATCACCAGCTTGAAGGGAATTTCTTTAACTTTAAATTGACCTTTATGGAGTAGTTTGAAAATCATCACTAATCAATTATTTTTGCAGGAGCTTCATCTCTTTTGAATGTTAGTTATATTGAATATTGTATTGTAAGCACTCTCTCACCTACATTTCTTGTTGAATTTTTATGAAGTTTATATCAAACGCTTTTGGTTTTTTTGGTTAATGTCCATGGACAGATAAAATTGTGCATCAAACACTGGGGAAATTGTTATGATGTTTTATTCTTTAGAATGGACAACTAGTTTTTGTTGATAGTTTAACCTTTTTAGCTTTGACTGAAATTAAAATATCCATTTACCTTAGAACCAACACAAATTATTGTTAAAGTAGGTCTGAAAGGTAAAGAGTCCAACTTTAAAATCACTGTGACCTGCATGTCATGCTTATTTGACTGTCTTCAATTTTTGTCGAGCCTGCGACTTTTGTCACAGAAAGCTCGACATAGGGATAGTGATGTGGAGGCGGCGTTAGTTAAACTTCTTAAAAACTTTATATTTTAGAAGGTGGAAGGTCTGGATGCTTCATACTTTGTATATGGATGCCTCATGTTACGAAGTTTCTGTCAGTCACATGTCCAATGTCCTTGACCTCATTTTCATGGTTCAGTGACTACTTGAAAAAAAAGTTCAGATTTTTTGTAATGTTAAATTCTCTCTTATTATAAGTAATAGGATAACTATATTTGGTATGTGCGTACCTTGCGAGGTCCTCATGCCCATCAGACAGTTTTCACTTGACCTCCACCTCATTTCATGGATCAGTGAACAAGGTTAAGTTTTGGTGGTCAATAAAATTGAGAATGGAAATGGGGAATGTGTCAAAGAGACAACAACCCGACCATAGAGCAGACAACAGCCGAAGGCCACCAATGGGTCTTCAATGCAGTGAGAAACTCCCGCACCCGGAGGCGTCATTCAGCTGGCCCCTAAACAATTATGTATACTAGTTCAGTGATAATGGACTTCATACTAAACTCCAAATTATACACAAGAAACTAAAATTAAAAATGATACAAGACTAACAAAGGCCAGAGGCTCCTGACTTGGAACAGGCGCAAAAATGCGGCGGGGTTAAACATGTTTTTTGAGATCTCAACCCTCCCCCTATACCTCTAGCCAATGTAGAAAAACAAACGTACAACAGTACGCACAGTAAAACTCAGTTTAAGAGAAGTCCGAGTCCGATGTCAGAATAGGAAACAAAAGAAAATAAACAAAATGACAATAATACATAAATTACAACAGACTACTAGCAGTTACTGACATGCCAGCTCCAGACCTCAATTAAACTGATTGAAAGATTATGTCTTCATCATATAAATATCAGGCACAATCCCTCCTGTTAGGGGTTTAGTATTATACCGTCATAAAATATATGAGAAGAACATAACCCGTGTCATGCCATATCTCAGATACTATAAGCAACAGGTCTAGTATATTCGGTGTATGGAAGGACTGTAAGGTGTACATGTCCAACTGGCAGGTGTCATCTGACCTTGACCTCATTTTCATGGTTCAGGGGTTATAGTTAAGTTTTTGTGTTTTGGTCTGTTTTTCTTAAACTATAAGCAACAGGTCAACTATATTTGTTGTATGGAAGAATTGTTAGCTGTACATGCCTGCCTAGCTTGGTTCATCTGACCTTGACCTCATTTTCATGGTTCATTGGTCAATGTTTAGTTTACTTGGTTAATGTTAAGTTTATGTGACAGTTGTAATAAGGCTTTATATTTAGGACTATCAACATAATATCAATGATTAGTAAAGAAGGCGAGACATTTCAGCGTTTGCACTCTTGTTGACTTCAGACTTCAAAATTTGCATAGAGATGTATCTTTATGAGTACATTCAGATTTGAGCAAACAAAGGTCACTATGGCCTAGATTTTATGCTTCATTGACATTGATATAGTGTTATATCTTGGTTCCTTCCATTGATGCCTATGAATAGGAGGATTGTCTAGATTTGTATAATTCATCTAAATTAGATTTTTTCTGAGGTTATTGCAACTGAAGTTTTTAAGGAGCTAAATGGAATTGATGCCCAATATAGTAACTTTTCTTATTCAATTTAAATGATTTTTTGGCTGGTTGCACAAAGTGCAAACCTTGCCTTTAGCATGGTGAATGTCAGGCTAATGGGAGAAAAAGTTAATTAGTTTATGAATTAACTCCTATAGTTTCCAACAAGAATATTCAGACTATAAAAATGAAATAAATACTTTGTATATTGTGTCTGTTCTAAGCATTTTGTGGATTTTATCTTCACTAGGAACACTAAAACCTAAAGCCAGGGATGTGTTAATATGCTGAAACGTTAGGAGAAATATGACCAAACAGGACCTTAACAGAATAGCCACATTCATCTAGGTTCAACTTTGCCTGATGGAAAATGTTCAGATATACTTTGGAGGTTTTCACCTCTTTGTGTACCAGTACATACCGGGGTAATTGAAAATGTTTTGCATATTTTCAAGAGATTAAAACTAATTCAATTTTCAGTAACACTTGATGAAAAACTACTTATTTTTGTCTCACCTAGGACAAATTTCCCTAAACGCAAAACATAGGGATGCTTATCCAGCAGCTGCATATTTCACAATAACTGAATAATATTTATCTCGAATACAGAGGTGTAATATTCTTTTCCTCATTTTCATGGTTCAATGAATGCTTAAAAAACTTTTAAAAAAAATCATCACTTAATTTTTTCAATTAATGAGTAGTAAAACAACCATATTTGGTGGTTCAGTGTTCAATGACGTTATGTTTTCATGATAAAGTCTACTATATTCAGTGTATAGAATGATTGTAAGGTGTACGTAATAGAAAAGAAAGGATAGGGGGCATACATCCATGATATAAAAAAAGGTACACGCAGAGCAAAAAACACAAAAGCTAAGGAACCACACTTTTATTGTTGTTCTTTATCTCCAAATTACATGTCCATCTGACTGACTTCATATAAGCTTTACCTCGTTTTCATGATTCATTGTTCAAGGTAAATTTTTTATGAATTGATGTTTTTCAGATATTATTAATGGATCTCTTATTTTTAAGTTACATTGATACCTTTAGTAAGACCTTGATCTAAATCTTTCAACATAAAATTAAATCATAACCACTACAAGAAGGGCAGGAGAGACACTTCAGTCTGTATTGTCTTGTTTTATTGATTTTTGTTATTTTAGCAAGTTCCTCTAGAGAAAGAATGTGGTTTCCCTTTGTTTTGCTTAATTGTAGAAGTCGGTAGATATCTTCTTTACTTATAGCAATCAAATAGATGCTTTCTAAAGAATAATTTATATAGCCTGTCAAAAAAATCAGTACCTATGATTGTTGCAGCAATATTGCGGCAAATTAGTTAGCTGCAATGTTGCAGCAATATTGCAGGAAAATTAATTTCTTGCAATATTGCAGCAACATTGCAGCAAATCTTTCAACAATTTCAGTTGAAAAATTAGGAATTTTAAAAAACTAAGCATTTAAAAAAGTATGATTTAATAATAAAACAAAATTTTCTCTGTCCTCTATAGGTTGTTGTGTTACATATCTGTGTATCCTTTAGTTCTGTTTCTCTGTACTCACTGTCCTTAAAGTTTAATTTTCTGATCTCAAATACTGCAAAAATAAAAGTTGAAGAATTTAGCATACATTAAAAGAATAACTAAACATTATAAAGATATAAAGATTTAAGTTACTACTATATATTGTAAATTCTGGACTTGTAAAATGAAAATAACTCTTTATAAAGAGATGATTACAGACCAATTTTTCCATCATTTGCTTCACTTAAAGGGTCAATGTCTAAAAGTGATCAAGTCCTTCTAGAAATTGCATATTACTATAGAATACATTTAACCTTATGCCAGTACTAGGTTGTTATTGCTTTTTTGAATATTTGTTTTTCATTGAACTACAACATAATTGATCTTGTCTATTCTTTAAAATTTTTGAGATTAGTTGTGTATATATAAAAGCTAAATATTGTTGCCATTTGTTGATAGACCTCTTATTGGCAGTCAAATCACAGATCTCTAATTTAATACCAAACTGCTTTTATTAGAAGATTTCTTGTTTCAATTTAAGTAATGTACTTTCTAAAACATATAGTCTTAAAAAGATTTTAAAAAATATCTCCTGTCTTACACAATTTTAATAATATTCATGTGCATAAATCTATTGTCTTATACTTTTGTCAACTCTATTAAGTTAAGAAAACTCTTTAAATATCACTATTTTGAACTGTAAGAGCAAGCACTTATTCAAAATGGTGGACATTCAACTCCATTGTACTTACCAAAAGATGTTATCCAAATTATGTGTAAACACCAATCTTCCTAAATCCAAGAGTCATGTCAACTGAAGGCTATCATATGCACTATCCAGTGGCAATAGAATTAGTTGGAACTTTTGGATCTAAATCCATTGTAAAATTCATATTACTTTGTTCATGATAGAAGACATCTTTGTTTGTTGTATGCATGTTCATGTCCAGTTCAAATTTTGAATATGTTGATCAAGGTTGCTTAAGGTATTGTGACAGTGTGATCCCTTTGAAATTTGCCCCTAATTATAAATATCAATTGCCTAAATCTTGAATATTTGTTATATATTATAATAAAAAAATAATTATATATATATTTTTTTTTTATCTTTGATGTTATAAGTTATAATGGAAATATATACAAAGAAGAAATGCTCTACCCTTAATTTGGCCTCAAACTCTGTGTACATTAATTTATGGTACTTCCTGTCTTTACCACTACACAGAGATAAATGGAAACCAGATGGCACATTACATTTCTATCACCAGCTCATATTACTAATTGAGATGAGAAAGATAATTTGTGTATACATAGTTTTAAAATAATGATACTAGAAATTAAACAAAATGCAACCTGCAGGTGAGGCTAAATTCATTTGATGGAAAATATTAGAATTAAAAATATTGTTCATAGAAAAATGTCACAAAAAAGTGACAAAAAGGCATAATAATACATGTAGAACAAAAATTATTATGACTCAATTATTTAGATTAAACTTGTTGAAATAAATACCAAAGTATTCTTGAAATTCTTTCCGTACAAAATATCATATAAATGTGATGTACAGTTTAGGAATTCTAAAAGTATAAGCATTGTTATTTGAAGATTTATTTAAAATAAATTATTCAAATATCCAGATATTTCTGAGTAAAATAAAGTATGACGACAACAAATTTAGATAGTTAGAAGTATCCATAACCAAATGTTCAAAGAAACAATATGTTGTGTATTTAATATTTGAACCTTAAATCTTAAAACAAATAATCATATGTAATATTTTAAAATGCTTGAAATATTGGTGCAAACTATCTGATTGTCTGACATTATTAAAGAAACTTTTCTTGCAAAGTTGTTGCAAAAAGTCATTCCTTAAATAATAAAAGAAAAGGTTCCTGCAACTTTCCAGCAAACAAATTCTTTCTTGCAACATTGCAGCAAACTTGCTGCAATTTTCTTGCAAACAAATTTTGTTGCAGTAACATTGCGAGAATGTTGCAGGTAGCTGCAACAACCTGCAACTTTCTTGCAAACACTTCTTGCAAACAAATTTGTTTGCTGCAATATTGCCGCTATATTGTTGCAATATTGCAGCAAACTTTTCATTTCTGTAAGGGTTACCCCAAAATGACAATCATTAATCTGTGCAAATGCTATAAAGTTGTTGTTAACCACTAACAACTTAAGAATATTAAAACTGACAAAAACATTTTGCTAATTTTATTTTCAACATTCCTTCATTGGATTGTCATAATTCATATTTGTAAATAAATAATAAAATGTCTAAGAAACAACATAAGATGCTCATATAATAAATAACATAGAAAATCAATAAAACTATCAAAATTTCTACAGAACTATAATACATGTATCAATAATTTTTCAATAAAAAAAATCACTTTAAGTAAGTCTCCCATACATTGTAATACTAACTCTTTTTTATAAGGCCATGAGGTTAAAAGAGAATATGCTGGTAGCTCATAGCTGAAGTTTTCAAATATATCAATACAAAACGTTTTGATTCATAAATTATTCAAAGATGGAACATTGAAATGAAATCTTAACATTTTTATCCTTCCAAAAGCATGCATATTACATATGCAGTGAAATGTATTTATACTGCAACTAGTTGTGTTTATTTCCTAAATTTGTAACAAAGCTATATTTGTGCAATGTCGATTTCATCATGGATCACTTTTTTCCACAATCAGGGGTTCATTTAGGGATGAAAATAAGTTTGAAATTTGTATTACAATTCAAATAGCTATCAATGTATGAATTTAAGTTGCAGTATAAAAACAATATTTAGGTCAATGTCAGAAAAAGATAAACTTTTTTGGTTAAACCTCGCCCTTCCCCAGTTTCTCAGCCTCATACAAAAAAGTTTATAATTTTCTGACATTAACCTAATATTGTTTATTTATTTGTATCACAAAAAGCTAATTTAATGTGAATTTTAGCCAAAAATAAAATCATCTTTTTTTGGAACAAGCTAGTGATCTTTCAATGCCATACCCTGTAGACAGGTTGAAATCTGCAATGTTTCAACAGTGTATAAAGATGACCTGTCTTCACAGTAGCATACCAAAAACATGAACATTTTATTTATATCATTTTTGTTGCAAAAAATTACTTGATGTGATCAATTTTACCAATATGTAAATGAGTCATTTATGTATTAAAGGTTAGTTGTTTCCTGTGGACATTTCATCTTTTTAAAACAATAACACTGTGTAAAAATTGTTTCTGATTTAAACTTTCTGTAAATTGATATTTAGGTCACAGTGATCTAAACAGTCAGTAAACAGTAGCACGCTGTACAGTCGAGACAATGATAATCATACTGTTCAGAGGACTACATGTAAAATGAATATTAAAACAGAATGTCACTGGCTAATAACATTTTAATTACTATTAAGATTAAAAAAAGATGTTTGCTTTCAATTAATCAGAAAATTAAGGAATTCAGCAGACCACTAGAACTAGGATCACTCATTGTATGATTGTGAGATTCAGCAGGCTATATGATAAGGTTCATCAGTTAAACAAAAGGTCACTATAGTGATTCAGCAGGCTAACAATACTGGTACAATAGTTTGTAGTGGTTCGAACAACCTTTTGTCTATCTGCTCTTTCAAAGTTTGATTTGACCATCTCGTAATACTCTCCATCACTCAGGGTAAACGATTTCATGTATGGACATCTCAAGCTAAAATATGAAAACTTAATTAGACAGATAATATTTTAAACGATTACTGGGTCTGGACCTGTGCTACTGCATGCAATTGATTGAGGTAACATGTGTACTGAAACATTACTGATGAAGATGATTTCAAAATATATGTTCAATTGAATTTGAATAAAGTAGTCATTGATGTAATGTTAAGGGATAAAAATGTTAGAATACAATAGTTTATTAAATATAACAATTATTATAAAATATTAATTGCTTCAACAAAACCAAGAAAAGATTGACAAAAATTTCAAACTACCAGCAAACAGGAAGTGGCTACACAGCAGATGTTAAAATTGTTTACAGGCTACAACTCAACATTATCTCCAGATAAAACATGCCACTTATCCAGAATTAAATTGCGGATGAAAAAGAAAAACAAGGAAAAAGTAATATACAAATCATTGGACAAGCATAGAAGAATTGAACATGATGATAGATGTATATTTTTGTTAGGAGTAACAATAATATGTCTCAGATAGATGATATGCCTTCCAACACACTATTACCTTCGTTGTGAGCTAGCATGTTATAATCAGACTTGCATGTTGGTCATGTTCAAAGCATGTATAATATACTGCACTAAGCAATCATTTATCAATCAGAATACCAACAGAAAAATTTAGCAAATTGATTACTTAACTCATTTTGATATTTAAAGTATGAGTAACGGATTTAGTCAAAATTATTGTACTTAAGGAGATGTTGATACATTTCAGGACCTCCACTATTCAAATTCAGGATATCCTGAAATATTTCAAGACCTCCATAATTTGATTTCAGGATAACCTGAGATATGTCAGGAACTCCATAATTAAATTTCAGGATATCCTGAAATCCATTAAATATCTATTTCTGAGAACATGATACTATATATAGTACCAGTATATGAATAATGTATTATCACTATGATGTTTTATCTACTATAATAACATTGCTCATTAATTACTCTGTCATCCTATACTTTATTTCAACCTAAAGCCAAAAGGTAATGCTTTGATTTAAGTTTTTATTACAGAAGTTCATGCTGATTTTACCCAGCAATTTTCCATCTTACTTCATGGAGTTATTTAATTACTTACCATATATTTTCTATTAAATAAGTACTCTTATCCCTGTTATTTCATTACTTACCGTATGTGATCTATAAATTTACTGCTCTTATCACTGAATCTGATTGTATCAGGGTCCCACTGAATTTCACATCTCAACATTTTTGGGCAGTTTTGTGCAAATGCTTCAATGATCTGATCAATATGAACACGGCTTTGGATCTTCAGAAACCAACCATTAGCTGTTCCAAGGACACAGATTCTAAAAGAAGAAAAATAGGAAATGATTTAAAATTAGTATTGAATATTTTTCAATATTATTCCCCCAGGTTTCACTAAGATAATGAGATAACTAATGGATTAATTCTTTGGTTTTAATAAGAGTACCATTAACATCATAAACCTTTTTTTTTCAAAGGCTCATCTTTCTTTCAATTATAACATGTAAAACAGTATACTTCAATATATATTGTTTAATTTGCTCATTTGTTATAATAAACATGTAAATGATTTAAATGTGCAGACAAATGATACAAGATCATACAACAAGAGTACTATTATCATCAGAAACAAGTTTTTTCATGTTTTCAGACCTGCCAACTATCCCGATTTATGGGGGATATCCCCCATGAGAGGTGTTTACCTGAATTTTGAAATTCTTTATCATACAAACTGAACACCTCAAAACAGTCATTCAAATGAGTTAAAAGGGTATTAAGCACATACATACTCATTCAAACAATAAAGTAGCAGATTAAAAACACTTATGACAATATAAGAGGGGCAGTAGGTCCTCTTATGGTTAAAATCCCCCATTGAGATTTTGAAAAGTTGACAGGTATGTGTTTTTTTTTTCCAAAGACTCATCTTTCTTCCAATTATAAAATGTAGAACATTAATAACATTACTTGAATATAGATTGTTACATTTGCTTGTTTGTTATAATTAACATGTAAATGATTTAATAATGCAGACAAAGTATACAACAACAGTACTAAAGTGAATTATCATCATAAACTAGTTTAGGTTTTTTTTAAAGACTCTTTCTTCCAATTATAAAATGTAGAACATTACACATGAATATAGATTGTTAAATTTGCTAGTTTTTTTATAATTAACATTTAACTGATTGAAAAGTGCAGACAAAGAAGATGGATTCTTGCAAAATATAAAAATTTAATTATCTATCAGCAATACTGTTGAGACATGTAAAGTTGTATGTAGGAAGTGTGAGATAAATCTTAATTAGAATTTCTACAAAGTTCACTTTAAACTGTAATCAATCTTTATCTATCTTTACCCTTTTACTTGTACATTTTGATAATCAATATTTTTGTCTGTCAGTAAAAGCAGATGTCATACATAATGTTAAATTGATCATTTGCATGTTATCCATACAAAGCAATATATTACTACTTAAACATATTTAATTTGTAAACTAATGGCTGAAGATGTTAATAAGGCAAATTAAGTGACCTTTGACACTTGTAAGAAAATGAAGTGTTCCTTACATATTTTTCTATTTGTTCATATGACTAGCTCTTGTTACCATTGGTCAAGGTTGTGAAAAAAATAACTTTGAGCATATTGAATACCTCCTGCCATTCGGATATATCATTTTGACCAGAAAAATAACCCAAACTTTAGCACACTTTCTAACACATTCATGTTGTAAATAAAGTAATGTCAGAAGCTATTGTCTAGAGTTTTATTTCATTTTGTAATGGGCAATTATTTTATTCTCTATCATAGATTTTAAAAGTGAAACTGCAAGCAACTGCTCACTGATGATACCCCCGCCCAAATATTTCGGTAAACAAGAAGTTGTTGAGTGATGAATCTGAAAATGCATCATACGGTATAGATGACTTATATAAACCCTGAAACCAAATTTCAGAAATCCTTGTATTGTAGTTCCTGAGAAAAATGTGACGAAAATTTTCAACTTGGCTATCATGTGTAAAATGATACAAGTGTTCGGTAAACAGGAAGTTGTTGAGTGATGAATCTGAAAACGCATCACACGGTATAGCTGACTTATATAAACCCTGAAACCAAATTTCAGAAATCCTTGTTTTGTAGTTCCTGTAAAAAATGTGATGAAAATTTTCAACTTGGCTATCATGTGTTAAAGGATACAAGTGTTCGGTAAACAGGAAGTTGTTGAGTGATGAATCTGAAAACGCATCACACAGTATAGCTGACTTATACAGAGGTAAAACAGTATACCCCCACTTTTTTAAAGCGGAGGTATAATAAACTTTTAAGACTTTATCACAGAAAGAAAAAAAAGAAGTACCTACTGTAAATTCAGAAATTATTGCGAGGTTTTAATTAATGCAAATAAAGCGACTGAATGAGTATTGCAATAATAAGAACTCGCTTTCTTATATCTGATACATATAACTGTATGCAGATTTTCCTGAAATCACAATATTTAATCTCGCATTTTAGTCCATTCTACAAAATTCGCAATAATAAATGCACACAATAATTTCTGAATTTACAGTAACATGAAAAATACGTTTTTTTCTTTTACAAACTAATTTCTAGATGACTTCTGTTGTTATATGTATTGGTCATCATAGAAATAATCCTAGATAGGTATATCTTTATTAAAAGATTATGTTAGAGAGTGCTTGCACTTTTTTCTTCTTTGCTTCGATCACTATTGCTGATATGAAAATGAACCTTTAATGAGTATTTTTTATAAGTTTTAAATAGCAAATTCATAAAAAGAAAATTGGATTGGTGGTGAATGCAATACACTGTAGGGATATGTTTTAATTATGGTCTTACTAGCAATTAGTATCTGACGACAGAGGACGATTATACTAAAACAAAGCTAAAAGGTACAAAAATAAGTTTTCACAGTAAATATCAAGAAAAAGAATCACATAAAGGTTCTTCTTGTTAGTGTTTGATGATAAAATTATATATAAAGAAAATAGGGTAATCTGTGTCCATTAAAAGTCTTTTAAACTGTTTCCTGAAACCAAATAATCAGTAAATCAATCACACAGAAGGTATTTAAGGAAAAACTAATAAATAGATCAAGTTATTTCTGTAAAACAAACATCATGTTGAAACATTCAACATTGTTTCCTTATCAGAAAGTTAAAATTTTACAACAGAATCAATAGCCAATTTCAGCCAATACATAAGTTTCTGTTTTCCAATAACAGAACATTAATTGATCAATTATGTTGCTACAAATAATTTAAGTGGTGAAAGTATGTTCAATTCTCATCATATGACTGATTGTTTTGTACTTTACTGATCAGACTTATTTAACATACAAATCATGTCAATACATGAAAGCTATGATCCTCGCTATGATCTCACTTCCAAACATTATTTTTGCATTTGGAATTGATAATTTTTTCACGCTCTCACACAAATCAATTGAATCATACTATGTCATTTTCATATGATTATTTCTTTCCTTTTAAACTATCCTGGCCTATAAAGTCAGTGAAGGTGGACTGTTGTCATCAACTAGTAGTATCTTGTATTCATCCATCTGTCTCTTTGGCTGTCAGTCTGTCTGTCATTAAACATTGAACATTTTTTTTAAATCTTGTTTAACTGATTCCATGATAGTAATGGAAAAAGTCTAGCCTGATGCATCCTTAAAGGTGTCTACTTAAATAAATTGTGGTTTTAACAGGGCATTAATGGTTTAAAATACAATGAAAATGACTGGTAAAAAGCTAAAAAAAAATTAATAATAAATATGTGTATGTCTAATTGCAAATAAGCTTTTTGGAAAATGTTACATTTGTGATCCCCTTTAAGAATAATAGTTGATGGCTTATAGCCTGCTTTCACACATTTTTCCCACTTTTTTCTAAAACAGAAATTTTGGGGACATATCTTGAGCATGATAATAAAGGCGTATTGTCATACTACAGACCAATACATACATGCTTTTTTAAACAAACTCCCATTCTCTCTTAGGATTAACTGTACTATTATAATACACTAATCCTTCTAGAATAAATAATGATTACTTCTATGTTCTCCTTACAACTTGTCACATTGACAACTGAAATCTCCTGACAAGAATTCTTTCTCTCCTGATAAATCTTATATCCGTTCTATCCCCTCCAGACTACTAAGTGCCAAGTAATATTATTAGGGTTAATTTTTCAAGCTCATAAGCTTTATAGATTACACTGCTAATGTTTTATGATGATAAATCAATAATACGGCTTTAGTATAGGCCTGTAATATCACTTGCTAATTTATTGAATGGGTTGTGTTGGGTTTATTATTTCGCTAATACTTTCCTTAATAATAGCTTTTTGAAAAAGTGTTCTGTATAGAGTTAATAACATTTTATGACTAGTAATGCTTTTATTTCATCAGGTCTTTGAATTTTTTTGTCAGTAAATGTTTTTCATCATTTCTTTTATGGAAGACCAACAGCTTAAATTTATTGCATAATGGAAATAACAATTTTGTTTCTTTATTGAAATAGCAATTTTATTGCACTATTGAAATAGCAATTTTATTGCACTGTTGAAATAGCAATTTTATTGCATTATTGAAACAACAATGTACTTCTCTATAGACTTGCTAATTTTTTTGCATAAAGTCAATTTTTTGCAAGGAATCAAGCAAAGATACAAATAAACCATTCAATTAATTAGCAAGTGATATTGCTATTTACCTTAGTTATGGTTAAATAAATTAGCTTATGGTAAAAAAAATTAGAAGAAAGAGAGAACATTGATTTTTCAATTGGCTATTCCTACTGTTTCTAGTGGCATCTAATGAAAGGAATACCAGAGGATTACTTGTATAGCAATGCTTCAATTTTCAACTGAATGTCCAGGCTTTAAGAAACAAAAGTACACCAGTGATATATTTACATGATAAACCTATATGACCCAGTGACCATTCTGGGATGTTTGGCTACCATAAACTTCTGTAAACACCTGCTTTAGATGTCCTTTAATCTATCTCTTATCAGATGTGATTAACTATTACCTTCTCTGTTCTTATCTTGAACACTGAATGAAATTTACATGAGATACAATGTCCATTAATTTTCTTGCAACTGGTCAGTTTAGTTAATAAAAATTCAGTGAAAATGTAACATTTAAGATAAAATTTTGATGCAAGGACTTGAAAAAAATGTCCTCTAGCTAGAAAACTCAAATTTTACTATCAAATGAATCTTGCTTAAATATTTGCAGTAAATATGTTTTTTTTTAAACTGAGTTTTACTGTGCGTATTGCTGTGTGTTTGTTTATTCTACATTGGCTAGAGGTATAGGGGGAGGGTTGAGATCTCACAAAACATGTTTAACCCCGCCGCATTTTTGCGCCTGTCCCAAGTCAGGAGCCTCTGGCCTTTGTTAGTCTTGTATGTTTTTTAATTTTATTTCATTTACATGTTTTGGAGTTTAGTGTGACATCCATTTTCATTGAACTAGTTCACATTTTTGTTTAGAGACCAGCTGAAGTGCGCCTTCGGGTGTGGGATTTTCTCGCTGTGTTGAAGACCCATTGGTGGCCTTCGGCTGTTTTCTACTCTTTGTCAGGTTGTTGTCTCTTTGACACATTCCCCATTTCCATTCTCAATTTTATTTGCATTCAGAATTATTTTGTCGAAAAGCTTCATATAAAGATCTCAGTTGAACATAGTCCATAAATGTTAAAATAACTGCTATAATATGGAGCATTTGGTTTTTATAATTAAAAAATTGAAAAAAAATGGTGTTTTAGTTGTGAACTCTAGGGTAGTGCTTATGGAAATACAGATACACCAAAAATAACACAAGATCTCTTTCTTGAGGCTGTTTCAATTTTAATTTACCTAGAGCTATCACATTTTTTAAGTGTTTTGAAATAAGTATTGAACATGTAAACACATTACTTCAGTCACTTTCTTGTCTGATCACCTGATATTTTTGACAGCTCTTCTTAATATAAAAAAAATACCAATGGCAGTCACTGGACACACTAATAGGAAATTGATTCATGGTTTCCTTTATATTCCAACAATCAATTAAAAGAAATATTCTTTTGCTTTTTCTTGTAATTAATTATTTATATAAAAGTATAGCATAGTTTGTGTGTAAAGAAAATAAACCTATGATCTAGTGTAAAAATTCCATGATTGAAGTTTTCCCTAGGGTTTTATTTATATTGTAATAAACACATTTGTGTGAAGAAGTAATACACTAAAGCATTTCTTGTACCAGAAATTCTACACACCAAGACAAAAGTACGCTTACACCTAGTACTGCCTGCTTCTTGGTTATCATCAATTTCTGTATACATCTGCTTTGAATGTCATTATCTCTGATAAAGTGAGAAAACTAATCTGTCAGAACATTGATCATGTCAGTCATTATAAAAATAAGGAGATGTGGTACTTTTGCCAATGAGATAACTAACTATGCACCACAGTCCAAATGGTATAGATGTAAGCTCACTAAAGGTCACTGTATGGCCTTGAACAGTGAGCAAAACCCATACTGATATATAAAAGTCCTGACATGACAAAATGTGAAAGAATTCAAACAAGAAAACCAATGAACGGCCTGATTCATTCTCTCGTTTTATATTCAGTTTACTTACTGTATATTTTTCAGCAATGGTATGACATTCAACCAAAAGTTTTCTGTTAATTTTGGTTTTCCACTTAGCATCAATCCAGTTAGTTGTCCCCCATGTTTCTGGATAAGTTTGTAAATGGTGTTTTCTGACAAGGCATTTGTGTAGCTTAAATCAATAGCCTTAAGCTGATTTAATTTCCCTCTTTGTACCAGTGCCTCTAATATCTGCAAAGTAAAATTATTTTCAGAAACCTTATTGATAATTCTTTTGAAATGAGAACAGTGAGTAAAACAATTTTATTTTGGGATTGTTTGCTGATCATTTTGGGCATCTTGTTTTCAATATTTTGCTTACATCCTTGTTATTTTTAAAATGATTTTAACATTGCAAACATATCTTAACAAAATAAAGAGAAATCAAGCCAACTACTATTTTCTGCCAATTATTTAAATGTCTATATCTCAAAAACAAGTGCACAAAAAATTGTTTCTTGTTTGATATTAACTCGTCAACAATCATGTCACTGTAATTATTGTAAACATATTTTATTAAAGAAATCAATATTATATATAGCTACAAGGGTAAAGACATAAATACGAAATAAACAAGAGATTCAATAATTGGGATTAGGAAACAAGAGCAGTGCTCTTATTTAAATCCGTCTCCAACTGTAATTTGAGGAGCCTTTCATTGTGTTTTTTAATGTTTTTTTTAACATCTACCCCTATAAGGTTCCACATTTCATAATTTTTCCCCATTTAAATGCCTTATGTTTTAATATTGTTATTTAACAATTCTACCAAATTGCTATATTGAAATAACACACACACACACACACAAACAGCAGACTGCCTGACAGTCTCAATCTTTTTTCATCAATTTTCAAAGAAGTTCCATAATTTACTAACAATTTGTAGAGGATAAGAAAAAAAATATATGGTAGCTCAATTATCTTAAACAAATTTTCTTTGGATAATTGAGCTTGTTGCTTGTAGAAAGCACCAATGAGAATAACAGCCTAAAGTAATCTTCCTTGAATAGTATTGGCAATGAATGGGATCAAAGGAAAAACTTACAAAAAAAAACTCCTTATAATTGAATAAAAACCCATGCAGTCATTATTATATTTCTATGGTCAAATTAATTTGAGACTGTCAGAAATCCAGGAAATAAAAGAAGCTCTCCTGCAATCAATAAACTGATTAATTACTATATATAGACTTTTTTCTCGATAACTACCAGTGATCTCTATGATAATATCTTTGTTCAGCACATTTTATTGTATAGTTACAGACAGGCTGATTATATTACAAGACATCAGATCATTTGATTCAAGTACATTTGTCCTTATTCAAATAAATTGAAAAAAAAAAATTGGTAAGCCTTCTTATTACTTTTGTTGATTTTGGTTTTGGTGGAAAAAATATCTATAGAATAGCAACAAAGGATGGCTAATTTTCAGTTATTTAAACTAAAACTGTGAGTCTCAGTAAACTCACAAAAGATTCCTGTGGCCAACAATACTACATTGGAGAAAGTTATTTGGATTATCTCCCCTTTTAAATGTGGGACCAGGTTTATATTCCGGGCCTTTAAGCACATCTTCAGGCAGTATGGTTTAACCATGTAAAGTTTCTTTGATATCTGTCCCGCAGTTAAGGAGGAGTTTTGGGGGCTATTAACACATATTACAATATAGAAGTTTAAGTAGTGTACTGTTTCATCAATATTCATCCAGCCATTAAGAAGAAGTTGTGCTGAAAAGGCACATGGACAGACAGACAGACAGACAGACAGACAGACAGACAGACAGACAGACAGACAGACAGACAGACAGACAGACAGACAGACAGACAGACAGACAGACAGATGAATGGACAGACCAGGTAATTCCTATATACCCTCAAAATTGCATCAGATCTTTTTTTCTTTTTTTTTTTGCTTTGAAAATAAACTGCATCAGGTTCTATAAATGCAGAAATTGTTTTGATGTTTTTATTAATGCCAACAATGTGACTGGGTGAATATTGCAATAATAAGAACTCTGATATCAGATACATGTACATTTATAAACATGCAGATTTTCCTGAAATTGCAATAATCAATCTGGTATTTTTGTCCATTCTTCAAAAATCGCAATAATAAATGCATGCAATAATAATAAAGATATAAGAGTATTAACTGTCTAGGCATTATTAATATGAATAATATATATATATGAGAAGCTGAATACAAACCATAGAGACAGCAACTCAAACAGAACAATAAAACCAGAAAATTTATATCTATGCTTATATTGCAACACTGAACTGTATTGGTGTCTTTAAAAAATCTACAGCCCTTCATGCTCTATCACTAAATCAATATTTGGATCATTAATTAATATCTGTAATTACTTTTTATGATTAACATCCCCAGTGTTTATATCATTATTTGGAAAACATTCCATCAATCAATTTTATTGCAAATAAGTGTTTATTAATAAGAGATTTTCTTACATCAGAAATAGATTTTCTTGTGTGACATAATGTAAAGCATTCAAAACCATTTTCTACTCTGTCCCACACTCCCTTAAAATGTTTTTTGAGAAAGTAAACAAGTCCAATATTACGCTTTTATGATCTTCTGTATAAATCTCGCAAAACTCATATTGGATAAGAGAAATAAAATTGGTCATTATTAAACATGAACAGAAGAAGAGGTGTGGATATGAAAATGACATACAAAAACATATATAGAGGTATTAAAGCATTCAGTCAGAATTCAACAATTGACAGGTGTTTATACTGTATGTCATATCATAAATTGCCCCTTGTCATAATAAAGTTGTAAATAGATTTTACATATATACTATCAAAGATCTGGCAAATTCCCCAAATGACCAATAAAAAAAAATTATGATGTTAATATTGTGAATAAAATGACACAAAATGTGTCAGAGGCTTGTATAGTAGTTTATATCATTATAATTATCTTGTTTTAGGAAAGCTTAAAAACAACTGAATAATAAAAGGAACAAGCATTCTGAGAGTATTGCATGGCAATACATAGTCCCCTATCAGGTAAAAATTCATTATACTGGAACAAAATGCTAACTTGTTATATAACATGCCATGGTGTAAACAAAAAGTAAATATCATGTCAATATCTTCAAGCATGACTAAAAACAGTGTGGAAAACTGATTATATGAGTGAATTTTTCAAGTCCAAGGACCATAACTCTGCACAAATTATTAGACCGAAACAAAAATTTGAACTTGATCTGTAACTTGTCATGATAAAACTATATACCAATTATCAATCAATATCGTATAAGCATGATGAAAAAAACATTAGATATGATTAATAGTTCTCTAAAATTAGATATGATGTAATATAGTGTATATCTATTTTCAAATTATAATCAAATATAATTAATAGTTCCAAATATTTTTTCTTTCATTTGTCACAAACTAATATAGATTTGTAACTTATCTATAAAATGTCAACAACTTTTATCTACACAATGTAATGTATTGAAATATATACATAATAAAAATAGATTATCTAACTAAAGGATTTCTCTTCATAATTTTTTTTATATATATAGCATTCAGAAAATTAGTTTATACTAAATAACTAACAAACCTGCCAAAAAATTCTTCAAATAATTGAACAAAGAATGTCTTTTAAAAACTTAGTTATCTCCCTTTGTACAGAAATATGGTTTAACATAGTACTCTAACATTAGATATGGTCCAGAGTTATGGTCCATATCTCTGGATTAAATCATCAGACCAGAGCAAAATTAGAACTTGATCTATAACTTGTCATGATAAAACTATATACCAAATATCAAATCAATATCTTCAAGAACGAGGAAAAAAAGTGTGGAAAGCTGATTTGCCAGACTGACAGAAGGACAGACAGACAGACGGACGGAGTGTAAACCTAAAGTCCCCTTCGACTTCGTAGGTAGGGGACTAATAATTTACCAAAATTTTCCTTGCCAATGCAGAAGCTGTCAAATCAAGAAAATTTTATTTACAAATCTGCCAGGATCTGACATTGATGATGTGCTCTTATGTTAAACCTCTTATACTCTATGCTGCAACTTTTGACTTCACAGCTGTACCTGTTCAAAATCTTAGACACATAAATACTATGGGAAACTAAAAAGTTAATTCGGATACATTTTGGTGTACGATAAGGCTCAATACTTGGTCCTAGGTTGTTTGTTTTGTACCTACATGACCTTCTATTATATACCAGGCCCCCCCTTTTGTGGGAAAAAATTTGGTTGATTATATAGGGAATCACTGAAGCATGACTGGAGCGGGCCTCCCCTTAGGTCAGTCAGAGGCCCCCCCTTTATAAAAAGTTCTGGATCCGCCACTGGTTCTTATGAAAGTTGTGTTCATAAAAGAATTGACCATAAACTCACATCAACTAGCCATATTACGGTAACTAATTACTTGTGTTAATCTATTTCATCTAGTCTATATTATTATACTTACTTTCTAATGAAAGAAATATGGATTCCAGAATCATTTTCATTCTCCCACTGATTGATTGCTGTTGCATAAACATAAAACTTACCCTATCAGTAAAGAACTCACAGTATCCAAGTCCCAGATAGGTAAAGCTTGGAATACGAAGCAAAATATTTTCTAAGCATTCCTTTGAAAGTTCTGTTGATGTCAAATCAAGTTCTGTCACAACAGATGATTCCCATGGTGCATTCTTCATGTGCTCATCTTCAACCCCTATGAAAATATTAAAAGTCTGAATTGATCATTTATCAATTACAAAAACACAAAAGACGCAAAGTATTGATCTAAGAATACTCAAATTTACTGAAAGCTAGTTCAAAGCACAATTTCAACTAAGAAATAAACCATGTTCTCCAAGACTAAAATGTCAGTAAGTACACACACCTCCAATAGATTTAGTATAAGACATCATGAGTAGTGTGAGAAAACCATTAAATTGTGCAATGCTTGAATTTAAGTATAGACTGAATGTGGAACCATAAGTAGGTAATGGTATTCTCTCCTGAAGTGCTGACAATAACTCAACAAACCTTTTTGAGAAATTTACTGTTTTAACTTTTGACAGTAGAAAAAATGGTAATATTAATCTTTGCTTTTATGTTACACTTAAAAAATAAATGGGGAATGTGTCCATGGGACACAGATGATGCCCCTGCTTGCATATCATATAAAATTATAAAGGGACATAACTGAAGAACGATATACGTGACTCTACCCAAATTTGTACTTGATCTGATTGTTGTGGTAATAAGTATTGTGTATAAGTTTCATAACATCTGGTTGAGGCAACCTTAAGTTAGAGAACAGAAATGAAAAAATCAGCAATTTTTCCATTTGTAAAGGGGCATAACTCTAGAACAGTAAAAGTGACGCCACCAAAATTCAAACTTGATCTGTATTTTGTGGTAATAAGCATTTTGTATAAGTTTCATAACATTTGGTTGAGGTAAACTTAGATGTAGAACGGAAACGAAAAATTCAGCAACTTTTCTATTTGTAAACGAGCATAACTCTGGAACGGTGAAAGTGACACCACCAAAATTCAAACTTGATCAGTGTTTTGCAGTATTAAGCATTGTGTATAAGTTTCATAAGATTTGGTTGAGGCAAACTAAAGTTAGAGAACGGAAATGAAAATTTCAGGAATTTTTCCATTTGTAAAGGGGCATAACTCTAGAACGGTTAAAGTGACGCCACAAAAATTCAAACTTGATCTGTGTTTTGTGGTAATAATCATTGTGTATAAGTTTCAGAACATTTGGTTGAGGCAAACTAGAGTTAGAGTATGGAAACTAACTTTGGGACGTACAGACGGACGGACGTAAAGACGGACAAGGGTAAAACTTAGTGCCCCCTCCGCTACAGCGGGGGCATAAAAATTTCAGAATACATCAATAAGATAAAAAATTGTAAAAATAAATTCTGCAAAGTTGTGAAGAAATTGCTATATGCGGAAAAAAGTATCTCTGCAAAAATATTTTGGTTAACAGTTTCTAAATTTTTGTTCTTTCTATAAATGAACTCTCAAAGGCACAACAAAATGAAAATGATTTATTTTGTGCTCTTTGTGTGATACGTTGTTTTTTTCAAAAATTAAAAATGATGAAATGAAAATTACATCATATAATATGACAATTTCCCCAAGACTTAATTGTTCAAAAACCATTATCTGAGTCATGTGAGGAAAAGCAATATAAAGAAGTCATTAAATGTCAGAGTTAAAAACTTGGTTTAATTTGAGAGGCTTGGCATGGAAAGTACCAAAGTAAACATATAATCATGAAATGTTAATAAAGGATATCATGTTATCATTATATAACATGGGACTAGGGAGTACTTAAAACTTAAAATAGTACTTCAGCAGAATCTATCCATCTGATCACATATCTCTTTGTAATAAGTAGATTCTTTTCTCATTGATGTACCACATACTTTTAAAAATATGAATGTGTTGTGCGAGATGTACATGTACAACAACTGTTATTAGAATGTAGAAAGACATTTATAATTAAGTAGTTCAGTACTTTTTGTAGATATTACATTTAGTTACTTCTAGCATTCTGATAGTATTATTTAGTATTGTTTTACTTATTCTTTGGATTCAATGCCTATACTGGTATTGAAGAATTGAATGTTTTTTCCTGTACTGATATTTATTAGACATTTTCAATATACATTTGGTGATTTTAGTAGGTCAGATTAAAAATAAGTCATAAACTGTGTCAGTGGTTGGTTTAATTTTTGTCCTTTGGGGAATTTGGTATTTTGGTAGATATTTGATAGTCTCTGTTAAATCTTTTCACTAGTCTCCTTGTTTAGACTCTGAGTAATTTAGAACTTGACATATTGTATTGACATCTGTCTATTGTTGGAGAAAGTATGTTGACCTCTGATGACTTTTGGTTTTGATTTTTTTTTGGTGTCCACGGTTTCTTTCATATCTTTTTTTTTTCTTTTTGTCATAGTGTTCACTTTGTTTTTTTTTATTGCTACTTGAAATCTTCTTACTTATTTTGTCAGCTTAATTGGCATGTTAAAGTTAAGGCTAAACATTGGCATTCAGCAACTAACAAAGTGCAATATAAACCCACCTGTGTGTTGCAGCAGTAGTGATTTCAGCTTTTTACATCTTTGGAGAAGAGTTTTAAATGATGTACCTTTGACTCTCAGACAGAAATTCATGGCTAAAGTTTCTAGATGGATACAGTTGGAAGTAAGTAGTTCAATGTGAGAGTCATCAATAAATGAAATACCATATAAATTCACAACTTTTAAATTTGGTGTGTGTGATTTGATCTTCCCAATATTAACAACTTCATAGATATCCTCTTCAGCCTCAGTTGACATTTCGAAAGTGCCTACAATTTTCAATAATATTCTAAAATATTTCTTATATGTTTATCAACATAAAAGATAATATGATATATAAAACTCAGTTTTTACATGTGAAAAACAATTTAAATATGAATATGTCATAAAATATGAATAAATTAGTTTGAAACTTTTTACAGTTAGACTAAGTAAATAAATCAAATGCTATAGTACTTAACACTAAAATGAAGGTAGTTTTTACACAAACTTTTAATATAGTAAACTTTCTGTCTAATGCCATACCTAGCTTTGCATTTCCAAAGCTGCAAACCTAGGAATTAGATGTTCATGGCAGATTTTTAATAATCTCTGTTAATCTTTTTTCATTATTTGTATAGAGTGCAGTATGAGTTTGACATATGAAATTGATATTTGTATATTGTTGAAGACTATATGTAATTCTCTCTAGTTACTTTTTTGTATTTTTGTGTTGCTGTCTCATTAATGTTTACCACACATTACATTGTATTTATTATTTCATTATTTTTACTTTTTAGCTTATCACAGGAGAAGCTGTGACATTCTAAATCAATAAAAAAATATAAGAAATTAACCTTGTTATATTTGGTCTATGAATAAGCAATAAAGAAAACTTGTGATAAATGTACTAACAATACAAACTGAATACTCTGTGTTAAATGAATTAATTTGTAAAGAATCATTAGGACAAATACAGTAATACTAAATATTCCAGTCAAGTGTTATATTGTTAGGATTATTTTATTAACATCATTATTAAAGTTTAATCTATCAAAGTATAGTTAACCATGCTTCATAAGCACAAATATAAACATACTAAAACATTTTATTGACTCCAATATCCTATGAAAAGGAAGTTGCGGTCTTAATTATCGGCTGTTTTTCTACAAATTTATTGCATAATATCGTTACAAAGCATAAAGCTGCTTTCAACAATTCACTTTCAATTTTTCAAGCCAGGGTGCACTTACTGCAGTAAGAAGCCTAATTGAGAGAAAATTAGCCAATGATGGTCTTTCTATTGATTATCTTTAAGTGAAAAACAATAAGATTGGGAAGGTTAGGCAAGAATGTTACCACAGGTTTCTATGGTTACTAACAACTTTAACATTATAGTTTGATATGAAAGTGTAAAAATAATTACCTATGAGATGCAACACCTCTAGAGAAGAAAGGCAGCTGTATATCCTCCTCATAAAACCTTCTAAGAATATCACTTCAGATAGACAAATACACATGGTTCGCAGATTGCAAGGAAATGCATTCAAATCATTGAAATCATGTAGTTGCATAGCATTTGAAAAATCAAGCGTCATGTTTTTTAAAATTGGACACTTGTTAGAAAGCTCATGTAGTACTGGAGCAGTAATAAGTTCACTGGGAAGTTCAATTGTCTGCATGGTGTTTCCAAATCTAATGCCAATCAACTGCATTAAAATTTCGATGTTGTTCACATGAAGGCCACCATACTCTGGCCGAAGTGATACATTTTTCCATAACTGCGTGCTGTAAACTATCATTCTCCATTTTTTGCAGACTCTAGCTAGTTTACCATAATCTTGGTGTTTTATGTAAGAGAATACTTTCATTAACAGTTTCTCTGGAAGTTGATGTATCTTTAATGACTGAAAAAATATCAAAATATCAAAATTTCTTATATTATTATGATAATGAAATGTGTATTTCTGTATTAAATCACTATATAATGCGTCCTCCATACATTTTTTGCTTGTCAGGATAATATATTCTTTTTTGTTCGCTGATTCCATATAGGCAACCATCAATCAATCAAACGTTTGTGTTTCTTTGATATTTTTTGTACAAAACTATATAACTAATTGAGAAAGAAGGGATAGTTCAAACCAGAAAAAACTATATGTAATATATCTATATATATCACATTGCATGGATTTATAAAAATAAGAAGATGTGGTATGATTGCCAATGAGACATGACTCTCCACAAGTGACCAAATGACACAGAAATTAACAACTATAGGTCACTGTACGGCCTTCAAAAATAAGTAAAACTCTTACCGCATAGTCAGCTATAAAGGGCCCGAAATGACAAAGCTAAAACAATTCAAATGAGAAAACTAACGGCCTGATTTATGTACAAAATAATGAACGAAAAACAAATATGATATACAGCAACAAACAACAACCACTGAACTACAGGCTCCTGTCTTTGGACAGGCAGCCCAGCACATACAGAAACTGTGGGGGGGGGGGGGGTAAAAATGTTAGCGGGTGCCCAACCCTCCCTTAACCTGGGACAGTGGTGTAACAGTACAACATATGAACAAACTATAAAAATCCATTGAAAAGGGCTTAACTCATCAGATCGATACAATGCACAAAAACAAGTAACAAAAACACAGAGTGGACGTGGCAGGGTACTTATATATCCCTACAACAAAAAGTTGTTTATATTTCATATCAAAATTGTATTTAAAAAAATATAAGGATCACAACTTTAATAATCTAGGAATGTGCTATGAGGCTTTAATTTAGCTGTTCAGTTTTGGTCTAATAATCATTTTTTGTATGTGAAACATTTCAGCTTTTGGAAGATTTATGGAAGGGTTGGCTAAAGGAAGAATTTAAAGTAATACAAAAGGGCAATAATAAAGTTGAAATGTTTGCATTGTTTAATTATCCAATGACTGAAATCAACCATTTATACCAGATAAAGTAAAATACAACATTTAAACTTGTTGATAGAGTTAAGTAACCTCAATATTTTATCAAATATTGCACATGTACTTGATAAGATACAAATTTTATAGCATTGTTAACCACAAAAAATAAAGTTCATTTAGTTGCAGGAACAGATGTTTTTGCTGTATGATAAACAAATAAGTGTAAATACACAGAAATGTACTAGGATAACACAATATTACTGCAGCTATATAGATAAGAGAAGAACTTCTAATTGCAAACATTAAACACTTGTTACTATTTTAGTTTTCCTTGATTGATTGGAAAAGAAAAAATATATATTGTAAGAAAAGGATGATTAAAATACTAATTTAGGTGTCTTGGATTCAACTAAAAAGACTTTTTTCACTAAACAAATGGGGCCACAAAATGAAATATATAATGAAACATTTCTTTTGGTCAAATTACTGAAATGATCTTTGGACAATACCACTAAAAAAAGAGAATTATGTCTATTTAAAAAAGAAGTATTTTAAACAGATATAAATAAAACATATATTAAGGGTCATATATAACACACAGGCACTTGTATGTGAAAAAAAAATTCCTATATACCTTAATATAACAGTTTAGTACCTTGTGTTATATTAAGGTATATAGGAAAAAAAAATTCAGAGACAAGAGCCTGTGGTCATATACATCTTTTTACTTATCACTATAAACCAGAGTGCTTTAGCTGTTGAGGGGAAAATATATAGGTTTTGTAAATCAATTATAAAAATTGGCAAAGTTTTACATTTGAAATTCTTCATGTTGCAATTTTATGTACTAAATTTCTTAAATATGATACATGTAGTTTGTAAAATAGTTTTCCTTCATATCAAGTACTTAAAACAATACATCATGAAATTACAACTGTGCTTAAAAAAAAACAAATGAAACTTTAAAATGTTGTGCAATGTTTTGCATTAAACTTTTCATGTATTAAACAGGCAAGCAACAATATAAAATATAGAAAAAATCAATGCATTTACTAACCGATATGACAATAAAATGATCAAAAGTATCCTGTTGTGTGTTAGAAAGTGCTAACTTTGTCCTTGCTGAATCAATATCAACATCATAAATTGTTGATCTAGTAAAATCCATGATAGAATGTTTTTAATATACATCATACACTCCTATCAAAAATAATTTAACCTACTGACAAGATAAAAATGCTGGATGTTATTAAAATCGTCTGCAGACGGATTTCATTTTTTTTTGGAACACCTCTGAACTTATCTTATAATGAAATTGATAATTTTTTAATCAGTTAACCTTTTGGATCTATAGAACTAATTAGAATTGACATTGTTGAAATTGCATACCAATGCTATCGATAGATGTTTTAGAATATAATATTTTATTATACTTCATGAAATTATTGTCCAGTTGCTGTTAAAAACTCTACGTGCAATCCGTTGAAGACAGCTGATCTGTATTTAATGGAAAAGGCCAAGGACATTAACTTCAGTGAATGGTAAAAAGCCGAGGACTTTCGATATTCTATTTATGAATGGGATTTCCCCAGTCAACAACTCATCATTCGGAGATAGATAAATATGTGAACACAAACAATGACAGTCACCTCCCAATATTTGTTAACATTCACTATCTGTTTTGTACTGATAGGACTGTCAAATGGAGAGATACATCGAGCTAAAAGTCCACATATCAAATCTACCGGTAGAAACACGAGGACAACATCTGCTGAATCAAACGTGGCACAGAATTTCGAGGAAAGATCAAACAGTAACAGCAACATTATGGATGGGGAGAGAAATATGTACGAAGTCTGGATATATTCAGTGTGTGGTTCGATAGCCGTTGGTCTCAGTGGCATTTTCCCTCTGTTGATTATCCCGATTGAAGCTGGACCTGCATTGAAGCACGGAGGTAAGTTGTTCTCTCAGAGGTATCAAATTACAAACAGATGCCAACAATCAGGAACATGGGGCGACTAATATAGAGTGAACTCATGTGGAAAAGATTATTTTCTCTGCTTTCATGTTTTATATTATTATAAAAAACGATTAAAAAAATGAATAAAGAAATGAGGAATAAACATCTTAATAAAATATGAATGTTTTGTGGCTTGTGCTGAAACAATAACATAAGAGATACCCTTTATTTTAAAATTCTAAGATTTAAAAATTAAAATTATTTGTTCATACACTAATACATATTCTTAATACTTACTGACAGATAAGGTGAACAAGCTTCTCGAAAACTCTCTGAGGCTTTTATTTTAGATCCCATAGTCATTTTGAAATTTTCCAATCACACTTATACAAATGTGTGAATAAACAAATGTTAGCACTTTTAATATCACCTTCACAACATCAGCCTACTTAATTAAGTTTAAGAAGTTGCAGTTACATGATTTTGAAATATAATTTCAAGGTCATCATTAGCATCCATGTGCATTAGTTGTGCAGAATGATCATCCCAATACACAATTTGGCACAGATCACAGAAAATGATCTAATTAAGACAAGATGTACAAACATTGTGACTTTATTTGATGGCTTTGGCTTACATAGTTATTCTGTGATTGCTCTTTTACTACATTTCTATGTTTTGCAATTGTCAAGAAAATACAAATTAATTGTAGATTTATTCTAGGTTCAGATAATTTTCCCATGTACTGAGACAGTTAGGAATATGCACTGTTAATAATAATGACCTGTGCAACTTCTGACTTTATGTAATTTTAAAAGAAATTTTCCAACACAATAGATCATTATTTAACTATTAAATTCATAAGATTCAGTCTAGATTTTTTTATGTATCTCTGTGAAACTTTTTGAAACTTGAATAGGAATTCATTCAGTCAGTGAGTCACTGTTTATCCATATTTGGTTTTAATTGTGCCAAAGTGTCCACAAAGTGATTTTAATATAGGAAAATATTCTTCCTACAAACTATTAAAACATGCCATGTTTTATCTTATCTTTATCTTGTATATGGAATTTACTTAGATTTACACTCTAAAACTGTCTGCAAGATTTGACCTATTGTCAGGAACTGAGGTACATGAACTAATTCTTTACTTTCATATAACAATGGCAATTTATGTAATAAAAATAAGAAAATTATATTATAAAGACAAATTGATTTGAATATCTATTTCCTGGGGTGCATAATGATGATCAGTAATTACAATGTATATGCTTATATCAGAAAACAAACATATCATCTGTGTATCTTTGCTGTAAACTGGCAGACATTGAGTGGTTCATTGAAAGAGAATAATAGCAACAGACTAATTTTATGACCTGAACATATTTTAGTGTACTGAATATTGCTATGGTGTTCCATAGCTACTGGATCCCTGTATTAAAGGAATTTGGTCCAGCTAAACAATTTTACTCTATCATGTTTATAAGTAAGGAACTGAAAAACTGTGGAAATTTATATTCTAAGCTGTTATACTTTATAGCTGTGAGCTAGTTCAAATTATTCCACAATAAGAATCGTGAAAATGTAGCTGCTGCCTTTAGTATTTTAGTGTTTACTACATTTGTATTTGTCTGGTTTCATAATACTATTATATTTTACTAAGTGTTGAAATACAGCAATGTAAAATAAATAGTTTACCATTTGGGAAAGAGTTTCATATAATAGTCCCATAGAATAAACTGAAAAGTATGATTGTGTTTACATGGTAAGTTGGTGTTATCTTTTGGAAATGTTACCCATTCTTCACCCTGTCTATCCAGTACCCACCAAATAAGCTACTTACTCAAAATATTTATCTTCAAATTTTCATATTTGTTTCTTTTTTTTTTACTTTCTTTATTAGTCTATTGTGAAATTGTTTTTATACGACCGCAAAAAAATTTTGAGGTCGTATATTGGTATGACGTTGGCGTCGTCGTCGTCGTCGTCGTCCGGCGTCGTCGTCCGAATACACAATGGTTTTCGCACTCTAACTTTAGTTTAAGTGAATGGATCTCTATGAAATTTTACCATAAGGTTCAATACCACAATAGGAAGGTGGGGATTGATTTTGGGGGTTATGGTACCAACAGTTAAGGAATTAGGGGCCAAAAAGGGGCCGAAAATAAGCATTTTTGTAACTTCCAGACATAACTTGTGTGTTAGCATATGGATCTCTTTGACATTGTACCACAAGATTCCATATCACAAAGGGTCAATGCTGGGATTGATTTTGGGGTTAATTGCCTCAAAATTTTAGGAATAAGGGGCCAAAAGGGGGCAAAAAACAAGCATTTTTCTAGTTTCATGACAATAACTTGTGTGTAAGTGTATGGATCTTTCTGAAATTTTATTATAAGGTTACATTTCACAAAGGGAAAGCTGGAATTGAGTGTTGTGGTAATTGCACAAAACGTTTAGTAATAAGGGGCCTAAAAAGGGGTTTAAAATAAGCATTTTTTAGTTTCTAGACAATAACTTGTGTTCAAGTGTATGGATCTCTCTAAAATTGTATTACAAGGTACCATACCACAAAGGCAAGGCTGTTATTGAGCTTGGTTTGGGGGGAAAGGGGGTGGGGGTGATGAATCATAAGGGGGGCGGGGGTCAAAAAAGGGGTAATTTTTTTTTTCCCTTTTTTTTTTGTTTAAAATTTACATTTTAAGTTAGTTATTTTTTATCACGAAGAGAAAGTAGGAATTGAGTTTTGGGGTTAATTGCTCAAACATTTATGAATAAGGGGCCAAATATTGGTCGAAAATAAGGATTTTTTTAGTGTGCTCTAATGTTTAAGGAATAAGGGGAAAAAAGGTTAAAAAACAAGGGTTTCCATTTTAATTGACAAATAATTGAGTAAAGAACATTATTTAAAAGCAGTGTAAGGTTGGTAATTCAAACTCATTTAAATATCTCATCTACACTGCTTTTAAATTATGTAAATTGGAAATTTGCCAATAACTTTATTGTTAATAAATGCATTGGAAATTTGCCAACAATTTTAGTGTAATAAACTTCATTGGAAATTTGCCAATATAAAATTTTGCTGATGAAGGTTTTTTGTTTACCTTTAGCCTTGACTATGAAGTCATTTTCTATTTTTATAGCCTTATGATGTAGTTGAATTATTTAATACTTTTATGATGTGTTTAAATGGGGTTTTATCATGTTTATGGTTGCAAATTTATTGTTTTAGTATAATAAACTCCATTTAAAATTTGCCAATAAAAAAAGTTTTTGTTTATTTTTAGCTATGATTATGATGTCATATTCTATTTTACTTTTATGGTTGCAAAGAAATTTTTATTTTTAGATATTACTGTTAAATGATGCTGATTAAGGTTTTTGCTATGTTTAGCCATGACTATGATGTCATTTTCTATTTTAATATCTGTTATGATGTATTTAAATGGGCTTTTATGGTTACAAAGGAATTTTATTTTTGGATATTACTATAAAATGTTGCTGATGCTGATTAAGGATTTTGTTTATTTTTAGCCATGACTATGATGTCATTTTCTATTTTAATACCTTTATGATGTAATTTCCATTTTTAGATATTACTGTTAAATGATGCTGATTAAGGGTTTTTTGCTATGTTTAGCCATGACTATGATGTCATTTTCTATTTTAATATCTTTATGATGTATTTAAATGGGCTTTTATGGTTACAAAGGAATTTTATTTTTAGATATTACTTTAAATGTTGCTGATTAAGGATTTTTGTTTATTTTTAGCCATGACTATGATGTCACTTTCTATTTTAATACCTTTATGATGTATTTAAATGGGCTCCCATGTATTTAGATTTTTGATTATTTATACATGTTACCAAATTGGTCCACATTGAACAAAAACGGTCCAAATTTCAACTTTATTACATTACATCAAACATTGAATTCTACATATTCTTTGATATATTGAAATTAACAAACAATTTAGTTTATGGAGATTCCACCATAATAGGTAAATTAAATTTTTTCCAGTTCTTACACCACATTCATCCTGTGTCAGAAACCTATGCTGTGTCAAATATTTAATGACAATCCAAAGTCATAGCTGTATCAAGCTTGAATTTTGTGTCCATACTTGCCCCAACTGTTCAGGGTTCGACCTCTGCGGTCGTATCAAGCTGCGCCCCAGCGAAGCATTTTATTTTACATGTATGTTCTAGTCTGACACATTAAAAGTAAAAGATTTGTCAGTCTTTATAATTACCCAGTTAAAAATATTCAGGTAAAGATAGGATACTTTGATCCAGAGAGTACAAAATTAAGAATGTAACACATGCAGTCATTGATTGCACAACTATTTAGTCGTTTCATTTATGTAGCTTAAATGGCTTAGTTTAAAACTAAGACTTATAAGAAAAAGAAAATAGTGATTTGAATGATAACTTGCATAAATTACTACATGTACTGTAAAGATGTATGTTTTTCTTGTAAGGACAAAATAAAAATTTGTAACATATTGTATGACAACATCAATCATTTCCAGAGTTTAGTACAAGTACCCACATGACCCAAGTGGGAACTAAGTCTAAAAAGATTCGTAGATTTTATTTATCATTTATAAAAGTATGCCGTCCAAATTTCAATGATTATACTTAAAGAATATGTCATATGACAGTAGTTTGACCCTGATTATCATATATTTATGAATTTCTTGTACAAATAAGAATAAATTGTGTGTAAATAAAAATGCAAATACAAAAAAGTAGACACATCAGATAAATGTATACAACACAATTTTTGTTGAATCACTGACACTTTATTTAAATGGCACAGAATGCAATCATATTCGAATTCTTTTCAGCTTTAAATAAAAAGAGTTGCAGTATAAGTCATTGAGACAACCACCCAACAACAACAAAAAGCTAAGAACATCTACAGTCAGACATACAGTCTTCAGTGATAGCCATGTCTCTATACAAAATGTGAAGCTCTAAATTGACATAATGTATTTAAAAAATTGACTTTTTGTGTCTCTGATTAAGTAAAGCCAGTCTATGGAAAAATCAAAAATCAACAGACAGTTAAAAATATTTTCGACTTACAGATATATATAGAGAAGATTCCACTAGTTGTACTTCACTGTGCAGAGTCATCATTAGATATATCACCAAATTACAAGGTCATTCCAACAATAAAAAAGATAACTATCTCCCAGCAGGTGCTCTTTTATAAGCTGAACCAGCTTCTAATCACATTAATTATTTAATGGAAAATTATGCTCACAAATTGATTAATTGGTTCTGTATTTAACTTCTGTAAACTTTGGTGGGTAGATAAAAGAAAAACAGCCCAATGTCTGGATAGGATGATTTGTTACAGAAGATAGTTTGATGGTTTTTCCATAGTTTTTTTTCTATGGAGACATTAATATTTGAGTGCTAGTTTGTGGTCTAGTGGTGAGAAATCAATAGAATTATTTATGAACTTAAAAGGTAACATAATATACATCCATGTTCAATATTGGCTGATGTGAATTGTTCCTTGTTGAATTGAACAAAGGCTAATATCTATAATTGAAAT